CCCCTTCTCATCTTGACTTCTGTTGCTTTAAGGTGTCTGTATTAGTTCCTCTGGAGTGGGGACATCAAACGCTCTCATGTTTTCGGTTTCCTACCTATTCCTATATCTCCCGTATGTGCTCTCCCCTTGTCATGTGATCCAAGTCCAACCACATTGCTGCATTTGTCCTAGATCTAATGTCCACGTATGAGGGAGAACATACGATTTTTGATCTTCTGAGACTGGCTAACTTCGCTCAGAATGATGTTCTCCAGTTCCATCCATTTACTTGAGAATGATAAGATTTCATTCTTCTTCATGGCTGAGTAAAATTCTGTTGTGTATAAATACCACATTTTCTTTTTTTTTTTTCCTTTTATTATTCATATGTGCATACAAGGCTTGGGTCATTTCTCCCCCCTGCCCCCACCCCCTCCCTTACCACCCACTCCTCCCCCTCCCTCTCCCCCCAACCCCCTCAATACCCAGCAGAAACTATTTTGCCCTTATTTCTAATTTTGTTGTAGAGAGAGTATAAGCAATAATAGGAAGAAACAAGTGTTTTTGCTGGTTGAGATAAGGATAGCTATACAGGGCATTGACTCACATTGATTTCCTGTGTGTGTGTGTTACCTTCTAGGTTAATTCTTTTTGATCTACCCTTTTCTCTAGTTCCTGGTCCCCTTTTCCTATTGGCCTCAGTTGCTGTTAAGGTATCTGCTTTAGTTTCTCTGCGTTAAGGGCAACAAATGCGAGCTAATTTTTTAGGTGTCTTACCTATCCTCACCCCTCCCTTGTGTGCTAAAGCTTTTATCACGTGATCAAAGTCCAATCCCCTTGTTGTGTTTGCCCTTGATCTAATGTCCACATATGAGGGAGAACATACGATTTTTTTGTCTTTTGGGCCAGGCTAACCTCACTCAGAATGATGTTCTCCAATTCCATCCATTTACCAGCGAATGATAACATTTCGTTCTTCTTCATGGCTGCATAAAATTCCATTGTGTATAGATACCACATTTTCTTAATCCATTCGTCAGTAGTGGGGCATCTTGGCTGTTTCCATAACTTCGGCTATTGTGAATAGTGCCACAATAAACATGGGTGTGCAGGTGCCTCTGGAGTAACCTGTGTCACAGTCTTTTGGAATACCACATTTTCTTGATCCATTCATTCAGGGGCATCTTGGTAGTTTCCTTAACTTGGCTATTGTGAATAGTGCTGCAATAAACATGGGTGTGCAGATGCCTTTGGAGTAACCTGTGTTTGCATTCCCTTTGGGTAATGTCCCCAGGCAGTTGGATTACTGATTATACGGCAGATTCTATGTTTAGATTTTTTAAGAAAGCCTCCAAATTTTTTTTTTTTTCCAGATTGGTTGCACCAGCTTGCATTTCCCAACCAGCAGTGTGTCAAGGGCTTCCTTTTTCCCCAATCTTGCCAACACATGTTGGTGGTGTTTTTGATGATAGCTGTTCTAACAGGGTAAGGTGGAATCCTTTTGTGTGGTTTTGATTGCATTTCCTTTATGGCTAGAGAATAGTGAGCATTTTTTTCATGTGTCTTTTGGCCATTTGGATTTCTTCTTTTGAGAAGTTTCTGTTTTTTGTTCAGTCGCCCATTTTTCTTAATGGGTTTTCATTGATTTTGGAGAGTTTCGTTTCTTAAATTCCCTGTATATTCTTGTTTTATCAGTCCCCTTGTCTGATGTATAGCTGGCAAATATTTTTCTCCAATCTGTAGTGGTCTGTTCAAGTTTAGAGACCAATTTTCTTTTCGCTGTGCAGAAGCTTTTTAATTTTATGCCAGTCCCATTTGTCCAACTCTCTTAGTTTGCTCAGAGCTGCTGGGGTTCTATTGAGGCAAAGTCCTTTTGCCTATACCTATTAGTTCCAGAGTGTTTCCTGCTCCTTCCTATACTAACTTCAGAGTTTCGAGTCTGATATGAAGGTCCTTGATCTATTTTGAGTTGATACTAGTACAGGGTGATAAACATGGATCTAGTTTCAGTTTCTTGCAGACAGGTAACCACTTTTCCCAGCAACATTTGTTGAAGAGGCTGTCTTTTCTCCATCATATATTACTGGCACCTTTGTCTAGCTCTGGCTTTAAAAAAAAGTCTTTTGCTCTGACCCCATAATTGTACTTCCAGGAGTCTGGCGAAATATTTGCAGATGCAGACAAATGCTTCTGTGTATGTGTCTTTGCTTATATTTTATTTATAATAGTTTAGCAAATAGACAGTGGATTAATATTCGATAGGGGGATGATGAAACAAATTGTGGTCTAGCCACAGAATATTTGTTATCTGTATTTATCAGAATTCTTTACCTGCATGTAACAAATAAAACTACAATTAGCTTAAGGAAAAAGGCAAAAATGCACATTCATTGCTTCCCTGTAGGAAACTGTAGAAAGGGTAGAAGTGGTTCTAGCCTCAAGACACATTTGGATCTAGGAGTTTCAACACTTTCCAGACTGTTGGACTGCTTTCTTTTTCTATGTGCTGTCTTCTCCCTGGCTTTGTCTGTCTGAGGAACTGAGGATTGTAAGTAGCCTAAGGCTCTCACATTTAGTCTTGTGATTCAACAGGAAAGAGCTATACCCTAACTGTTGCAGGTATCAAAATCAAGGAGGGTGATTCTAATTGGTCTACTGAGGACCATGCCCATTGCTGGATCATCACTGTGCCTAGGAGAATGGGATAGGACACTTTGATTGACCCAGACATTCATTTCCAGGAAGCATTAGGCAAGGGTGAGATGGGGTGCTGGATAGACAAAAATAATAACCACTATAACAGCCATTAAAAATCTTGTTTCTGAATGTGTGGGAGATAATTGTGACATAATATTTATTTGAAAATTTCCAGATTATAATGCAATATGTAAATGATATGCAGTTTGCAAAATAATATGTGCACACATGAATACACAACCTGAATACACAACATATTTGCACCTATACATGAGATAATAAAAGACAAAATATGTCAACGTAATAATGATGGTTTTTTCTGGGTGGTGGAATAATGAGTGATTTGTATTTATATGATTATACATTCTTTTCCTGTAGTTTCTAAAGATTTAAAAATAAGCACCAATTTATTTATTAGGAAAACATATGCAAATAACCTCAAGATACCTTTACAGAAAAGTATTTATAGGAATGTCTGAGAACTTTTAAGAGGTATTTTCCCAACATTTTGAGTTGTTTCTTGTTCCAGAATATTGTGAATGGAAATGTCAAATGTGATGTTTATAATTCACAGCTGTTAGTTTCCAAGGTGTGGTGATTAACATTAAGTAACCTTGTACATTTACAATTCTCTGAATTTTTCATGTCTGGAAAATACTATGAAGTTTTGGTGCTGTTTTCTTATTTTCCACTGTGAAACTCCAAATTAATGTTGGCACCTTAAACTTCATGTGGATGTGATTGAAGCATTGAGCTTTGATACTATAGACTGAAATTTAATTACTGTTCCTATTGTTAAGAACCATGATATTTTCCAAGCCTTGATTCCCCATTTTTTGCCCTGGGCTAGTAAAGAAAAAAGTTCAGTAGTTCTGACTAGGATGTATATGCTTGAAATGCATAAGAACTTTTAATGTCTAAAATATTAACTGGAAAATGCTGCTCCATGGAGAATGAGAATAGACAAAAAAATAATGGAGAGAAAGTTTGCTTTTAGTCATTACTTAAAAATTTATAAATTCTAGTTATATAGGGATTCTTCCTTTCATGAGTCACCTGAATATATTCAAGCATAATAGTGGCATTTGTAGAGAAACCAGAGTTTGGTGTTAGACCTATGTCCTGAGGAATGTTCTGTCCAGTCTCAGGTAGTGAGGGTGACAGACCAGGATGCAAAGGTTCCTGGCAGTCTAAGCAAATGCTTATCAATAGAGGGGCTCAGATGGGGATGTGGGGCATAGGTCTTTGTAACAGGGGGTTGGATATAGCATGGGACCTCCTCTGTATATAGTACCTAGTAAGATTATATTCAAGAATAATTTCTTGGTCAAAGGAACTGGCAGAGAAAAAAGGACCCCAGCTGACCCCTCAGAGGACCAGGTTACCATGAAGTTTCAGAATAGGAAATTGGGCCCCCTATTGAACCTAGTTGAAAGAACAAGTATATGAAGAGATGATTAAGGTGTGAGGAATGCAGCTTAAGTGCTAAGATGAGCCCTACTGCTAAGGCCCAAGATGTTATTATGGAAGGGTCCAGCTGCTCAGAAAGGAACTGCATACTAGAAAAGTGGACAATAATATTATCTGAACTATGTTAGAAATTACACCAAGATATCTAGTAATAATAATGCCAATCAGTAGGGAACTTATTTTCCAAGAACAAGTAGAAAGTTAACACCCAATTTGTTCCATGAATCATAAATTTTCAGAAAATTTTTCTTGTATTCTCACTCATATGGTATTATTAGTAATTGCATTTACAGAATGAGATGATAAGATTTAAGGGTTTTTTATTTGGTGGTATGGAAAGAGCAGAGCTAGGTCAAAGCATCTTAAGCACTTCCAAATCTTCAGATGGCATTGGAGTTTACTGGACCAGTTCACTAAGCTTTGCTAACTAGAATTCTCTTTATAGATGGCATTCCTTCATCATTTACAAGTGCCAAGTCTGTGTTTAGCACAAAGGCCCTGGTGAAGATGCAGCTTTTGAAAGATGTTGTGGGAAATGACACGTACAGAATAAACAATAAATATGATGAAACATACCCTCCTCTCCCTGTTGATGAAGTCATGCAAAGGTCAGAATTTGTTATTGGACAGGAAGTGGCCTATGATTTACTGGTCAACAACTGTGAGCATTTTGTGACTTTGCTTCGGTATGGAGAAGGAGTTTCAGAGCAGGTGAGTTTTCTATAGGAGGCACAAAAAGTTTATTACCTTGAAAAATTAGTAACTATTTGCTGTGATAAACTTCACAGGTTTCAAACAAAATGAAAAGAACAAGAAAATATGGAAACACCATAAGCAGAGAAGGAATTTGAGTTTTCCAAGGTCATGCAGCAAGTTAATGACCAAACTGAGACTAGGTCATGAATATCATGAAGTTGGGACTAGAAAGGACTTGAAGTAGAATAAAGGCCACAGCTTTCTGTCAGTTTTACTGCTTTCTGTTCTTCAAAAAATTTCCCCATTACACCACCATACAACAATCTCAAATTAGTAATCTCATGTACTGAAAAGAATATGTTGAAAAGGACACTGACTTTTGAGTGAGAGTTAATTTGCCAAAAATATAGATGATTATTCTGAGATTCTGTTCCATGGGGGACAGAGGCCAACTGAAGATGTGTCTTGGTGGATTTATAGATGTTTTTCTATTTACTTGCAATGCTAGTTTTTAATAAAATATTGTGCTTTTAAGTAGATCCTTTGACTCATTGAACAATTGGATGACTTTTAATGAAATGACTTTAAAGTATCTTCCAGTCTCTTAATTTTGTACCACTATTTTGTAGTGTTATAGCAGATTCCCAACTAACTACATGCTTATTTCAGTTGCCTTCTCCCTACCTGTCATCCCACCAATCCAATTCCATCAACTGATGTCTTAACTCAGGTATTTATTAAGAGGATGAATATATAAAACTGTTATAAAAGGAAGTCTTTTTGATCCAAAATACATATGAAACTATTAATTTTTAAAATTAAAATACCCAAAATACTTTCATAGCTATTAAACTCCAAGAGGGTGTTACCTATAAAAATTTTTAAAAGGAGACTAAATACTCAAAGAATAATAGCATAAAATTTAATATACTTTAATAACTCACATTTATTCAAGGCTTCCAGTATCTTAGAATGTGGATCCAACATACTTAGAGCCACATAAACTTCTAAGAAACTTCAATTCTTCTCAAAAAAGCTTGGAAAAGAAGAAGATAGAACATAGTGAAAGAATACGTTTGTTTTCATTAGGAAATAACTTAATTGGAAATTCATTCTCATTAGTAAATGCATTAACATAATGAATTTTCTATTCACATGCAACAATAATTGTTTTGAGACAGAACAAAGAGGCCACACACAGATTCCTCTTCACTTCACATTTGCATTGAAACTAGAGGTGTGGTTAGGAAATAATTTCTATACTTCTAGGTTAATGACGAAGTTGTTCACTGTGTTCAGCAAGTGTTAAGTTTTATTTATTATTTTTTTGCAGACGGGGAGGCATTGGTCAAGCGGTACAAATTTCAGTTATACAAGATAAATCTGTTTGGAGATCTATTGTACAACATAGGTACTGCGATTAATAATACTGTGTTTTATACTTAAAATTTTGTCAAGAGGGTAGATCTTAGGTTAAGTGCTCTTATGAGAAAAGAAAATAAACCACAAAACAAACAAACAACAACAAAACCAAGGAAAGGTGGAGGAAACTTTTGTAGGTGATGGATAGTGAGTGACGTTGATCATGAAGATGATTTCATGGGTGTATACTTATCTCCAAGTTGTATATATTAAATGTCCACAGCCTCTTACATGTTAATCATGCTTCAATAAGGTAAAAGTGCAGTTAAATAAAAAGGGATTAAAGTCATCTCATCTTGCTTTTACTCTAATTTACAATCCGTTCTCTTTCTACCTTTCAAGACTCAAAACCCATGAAAAAATTATTCCTCAATAAATCATAGAATGTGCCTCCATCATATCCTCATAATGATAGTGCACTGACAACCTTAAGAACCTACGTAAGCTCTTGAGTTTTGCCAACCTGAGCTAGAACTCCATCTTCACCACTCATTAGCTGAGTGATCTTGGGTGCACTGTTAATCTGCTTTCTACTCTATACACTAAGGTTGTTTTAAAGACTATTGCAGATATTCAAAGTCTATTAGTATACTGTATTACATGTTATTTATCATAAGAAACAGCATATGTTCTAATTTGGATATGAAGTGTTCCCCATCAAAGGCTCAGGTATTGAGAGTTTGGACCTCAATGGGTAGATCCAATCACTGAGAAGTGATAAGATCATGAGTGCTCTGGCTTAATTAATGGATTAATACACTGATGGATTCCTAATTTGATGGCAGTATTGGAAGGTAGTAGAAACTAGGAGGTAGACCTGGTTAGAGGAAGTAGGTCACTGGAGCATGGCTTTGAAAGGAGTATGTTGTTCCAGCCCTTTCCTTTGCCTCTCTATGCTTCTTGTTTGCCACAAGGTACCCTTTGATGAATGCCTCCCCATTTGCAAAAAATAATAAAAGTACTTGCTGAGCATGCTGCCTCACTTCTCCCTATAAACATATAGCCTTATACCACATCAATATCTCATATCAGTGTGGTATATTTCTTTAATGAACCAACTTTGGAAAATTATTATCAAAGTTTGTGGTTTACATTAGAATTTACTCTTTTGTGTTGTACATTCTATGAGTTTAGACAAATTTATAATGACACATATCCACTATTATAACATCAAAATACTTTCTTTGCACTAAAATATTTCTGTGTTCCACCTATTCAGTCTTCCCTTGCCTCAAACCCTGGCAAACATTGATTTCTTTTTAACTGTCTACAATTTTAGCTTTTCTAGAATGTCATACAGTTGGTATCAGGTAGTATGTAGCTTTTTGTTGTCCATACTGTTTTGCATTCCCACTAGCAATGTATGAGAATTTCACCTCTTCATCAGCATCATACTGATGCTGTCAGGATCTTGAATTTAAGCTATTGTAGTAAGCCTGTGGTGGTATCTCATTATTATTTAATTTGCAGTTACCTGATTGCATATGATATTGAACATCTTTTCATATGCTTATTTTTCATCCTCATATTATCCTTCATGATATGTCTCTTGATATACTTTTCCTATTTCCTAATTGGGTTGTTAATTTTCCTGTTGATTTTTAAAGAGCACTTTGTACATTTTAAATATACAAAGGGATATTTCAGATTTGTCTTTTACAAATGTGTTCTCCCAGCCTGTACCTTATTTTTTCTGTGGTTTTCAAATTTTCTAAAAACAATGTTTTACTGTTGCAGTCTGAAAAAGTTATTAAAATGTATTTATCTCTGTATGAATGGGCATACCCTTTAATAAACCAGAACAAGTGAACACATACATACACCCTATTTGTGCTTTAGTGCACCATTGCAGCCTTCAGTTCTCTGAAAAGAGAAATTTGATAAATCCTACAGTCATCTGTAGCCCTGTTATACTGATGTCTGTATGCATCTACTCCAGATTCAGGTAATGTTTCATTGGGTGTGCACAGACCCTCAGCATGAGGCCTTAATTCTAGCCCATAGACACAAAGCCTTGCAAAAGGTAAAGTATGAAGAGTCAGATTGTTCACTTTATAATCCTGAGTAAGCCACAAAACAAAAGCTGTTGTTCATTCTACTTCACCAAGAACATCCTAAGATCCCATTCTACATGCCTCCAATTGGGATTTTTAAAATTTAGAATGGGGTTTGAAGCAAATGAGAATTTGGGCTTTGGAAAACTGCATGCCCTTCTTTAAGTAGCTTTATTGTAAAAGTATCTAGCTTGAGGTCTCAAGGAATTTCGGCTTGGGATCAAGTTGCAAATCCCCTCCCCACACCTCCTATATTTATGAGATTTTTCTAACATATTTTTAGAGACTGAAAGACACCTAGTCAGTTAGACTTGGATCTAGCTAGAGCCACCCTATCCTTAGGATCCAACCATTTCTCAGGGCTAAACCCTGCTGTCGTTTGACACTTGTGTTTAAAGATAACAATTGTACTTTCATGGGTTTTTTTTTTTTTTTCATTTCCTGACCCATTTCCCTATAGTAGACCCTTTGGGGTCTCAGCATCTGCCTGGAATCTGCCTAGTGTTGATCTCTGCTAATTATTAACTTGGCCCCTTCTTTGAAATTTTTTCTTTTACCCTGTATCTCTCTCTCCGGCTCTCTGCCCCTCCCCTACATAAGGTATATGAGTCCCTCCATTCTGCAGTGGATTCTGATTCTCTCCTGGGTAGTGATTTAGGTGAAGATTAATTTAAAATTATTTATTTGGTTATTTGTTTTACATTTATTTTATTTATAAAGTTAAAATTATAAACTAAAGTGGGACTTGTTAAGATGAAGGTCAAGTTATTTGGCAGTAGTAACATTCTCCTGACACCGGAGGTTGGAGCAAGGACAGGGAGCCACAATACAGGACTTGTCTCTGCTGACTACAGGATAGTGTAGTGCAGTGAATACACTCCACAAATACATGGCGCAAATACTCCAGTCATGAGCCTTTTTCCTGGCCCTGGCCCTTCCTGTCGATTCCCAACAGGGAAACAGAGGTTAGGGAGGAAGCATTGTGTTGCAGTAACATGTGGGAAGCAGGCTCAGTGGGGGAGCCTGTGCATTAGACAAAGGCCTTGATCAAATGGAACCTGTAGAAGGTTTGCAGCTGCTAGACTGGTCAACAGTCATTTGACAAAAATGTCTTGCTTTATTTGAAAGCTCTGATTCTTAATTCTCAGAGAATAATTGCTGTTTTCAGAATACCTGATGACTCTGAAGTGTCTGAATGTGACCTTTGGGTCATAAAATTTGCACTCAAATGTATGTGAATGGAAGGTGATATTAGCTGAGGGCCATGAAAGCCATGAATATTCATCAGCTCCCTCACCAAGATGATGATTAATACCCTTAAAGCTGTAAGTGTCTGAACTCCTTTATGGACAATTGAGCTTGAGAGTGGCTTATTTTATTTTCTCTATATGAGAAATTAATTTGACATGATAGTTAACATCAGTATTGACTTTTCTTGACATTTGTTTATTAGAACAGAAATTGAATCTGCTAAATAAGAACTTATAGGTACTTAACTCAGATCACATCTTTAAACTAGTTTATTAATGGATATCCTATGTGCTTGGAAAAACACACACATGCACAAAATACTCACCCTGATGGAGATCCAACCACCTGAAAGTACATTCAAGGAGAAGGGACTTTTAGAGAAAGAACAGGGGTTTCAGAAAACACAACTTGCTTCCAAAATGCAATTTATCTTGGTAGTGAGATCTTGGTCAAATCACTTATAACCTCTCAAGTTTTGCAAACAGGGTATAGCGCAAGCTCTCTCACTAGTGTAGTATGATGATTAACAGGAATTGTAGCATAATGAGTTTATACCCTATCATGTGTTTTCAAAGTATGGGGAATTATAACTATGTGTTTATCTATATCTTTTATTTGTAAAAATTATAGTTAGCATTGAACTTCAAGTTTTTTCATTGCACATTAAAACATATCTTCCATTTAAGAAACGCACTAATAAAGCTTCACTTAGGACACTGAGATGTCCTTAGAATCACAGCGTTGTTTTTTGTTTCCTTTTAGGCCAACCGAGCAATAAGTACCATTGGATTGGTGACAGCTGCTGTTGGTGCCCTCTCATTCCTGGGCTTGTTTCCAAAAAGACAAAGAACAAAATACTATTAACAATTTATAGAAGAAATATTGGAACTGAAGGATTTGTGAGAAGGAAAAAAATCCTGGGATGAATACTTATTTTCAATGCATCATTATGGTTCCAAATTCCAATGATGGATGGGGGAACTCTTTAATAAATTGCTTACTGATAATATCATTGAGCCAAAGAATTTTTTTTCTTACTAGCACAGATATACTGTGACAGCTTAAGCAAAATGCCATACGTAGCCTTTTGAGTGAATCAGCAAAGGATCTTAAAAAAAAATTTTTTTATTATTGTTGTGCTGGGTGGGGGTACATTGTAGCATTTACAAAGGTCCTTACATTGTATCAAGCAAATAACATTGTAGCATTTACAAAGATTCTTACAATGTATGAAATATATCATACTTGAATTCACCCCTTCAATTGCTCTCTTTCATCCCGCCCCCCTAATTCCTGGAACAGCTTCAACAGGTATCATTTTTGCATTTACATACATGTGTATACATTATTTGCATCATATTCACCCTCCTACCCCTTTCCCTACCACCTCTCCCTTCCCATAGGTGTCAACCCCCTCCCCCACCCTTCTGGGCAGGACCTGTTCGCCCTCCTGTTCTCCTGTTTTGTAGAAGAAAAATCATAAAACATAATTAGAGAAATATGGCATTTTCCAGCAAAAGAACTTAACAAAATCAACAGCACATTTTATCTTCTACTATAAATACTGTTTACCTTTTCCCTAAGGATGGCTATTTTGCCAGCAATGGAGAATCATTTATATATGGTTTTGAAAGGAATATTAAGAGCCCCAAATTGTTAAGGTTGACCTCTAAATTCATATGCCTTTTCTTGTCAAAAAAAACTGGGAAATCCAGTGTCTGGTTAGGCAGCTTAAAGAACTTTGAATGACAAATCATTTGACGGTGTGCCCCCATCTTCCTATACCTGTGTGGGTGTGGGTGGGCAGGAAGAGGAGAGGAGGGACTCTTTGGAGTTTCATATGCTGTGATTTCCCTGGAATCTAATTTCTGGTAAGGAATATGTGACTCGCAAGATTGGGCTATGTTTCTACTGAGTTACATAGTTCCCTTTCTTTTTTGAAGTAGTTCAGTGGTTTGACAAAACTTGGAAAGACATTATTAAATATTGGTGTAAAGTGCCATATTTAGAAAACAATATCCCATATTATTTTTGAAGACTTTTACTATAAGTCAAAGAATGTTATGATTTTATTCTTGCATCTGACTGATTGTATGTTGAATTAAACAAACTACTTTTTAATATAATTCCAGTAGAATTCTTAGTGGCAACTGGTGAGGAAGAGTGAGGTGCAGGTCTCTCTACACAAAGATTACATCAAACATTGTAATATCACCCCATAGACCACACATTCATCATGGCCTCCTTCTTGTGCCATCATCAGAAGCATAGCGTTCAATAAAGAAAATGTTTCAGTAAATATGGAGGTGGGGACAGGGTGTGATGAGAGAACTAGCAGAAGATTGAATGAAAGTCTTAGACCTGTTAAACTGATCTAGATTTTACCCTAGGGTCAGAAACACTCTACAAGCTAACTGCAGAGTTAAGATAATGGTAATAAAAAAGCTTATCTGCTGCAATCCCAGCCAGCAGAGATTCTATCACTCTTCCTTTTTTTCCTTAACTAACACATTCCCTTTATTTTTTAGCTTTTCTTGATGACTTATTTTTTATTAGTGTATATTAAGTATACATAGGGGTTTCACTGTGGTATTTCACCCACACATATATTTTACTTTGATCAGATTAACCCCCTCTGTTTCCCCATTCCTGTCCACCCCATTTGTCCATAGTTTTCAGTGGATTTACTTATGTCCTTATGCCATCTTCAAAGGTAGACACAATGTATTTCTATATTATTCACCCCATCATTCTCTTTCCTTCTCCCTCTCCTCCTTGTTCCCCCAAACAATCCCACAATTTCAATCATGTGTACACACACACACACACACACACAAACTTTAGGTCTAGATTCTGCATATGAGAGAAAATATGCAACCTTTGTCCTTCCGAACTTGGTTTGTTTTGCTTAGAGCATGATGATCTCGTTCTATATGTTTTCCTGCAAATGACATAATTTCATTCTTTGTGGCTGAATAATACTCTATTGTGTGTTTGTGAAAATATATATGTCATCTAGGTTGATGGGCATCTAAACTGATTCCATACTTTGGCTGTTATGAATAGTTCTTCTACAAACATGTATGTGCGGGTATCTCTATTGTGTGCTTACTTACTGAAGCACACAATAGAGATACCTAAAACTAAGTTACACTTAGTTTTTTGAGGAACCTCCATATCGATTTCCCTAAGAGCTGCAGAAATTTTCATTCTCACCAACAGTGTATAAGTAAACCTTTCTTATGACACTAATTGTTTCTCTAGATAACCCCCAAACTCTCTCTTCCTCCATTGAGCTTCTGAGGAAATGTGAGATTCAAAATTACCTTTTCGTTTTTATTCAGGTCTCTGTTTCTTTATGCACTGCTCCCAAGTAAAAGTCAACAAATGAGCAGTTTTCTAGACTTACCAAATTAAGATAAGACCAACAAGCAGCTTGTGTCACTGTCCTCAGGAGTGCTTACTTTCAATAAAGATGTCTACAGAGGGCAAATCTTAACCCAAAGCAAACTGGCAGAATTACAATACTGGTCAGTGAGGGAGAGGAACTTGGGACCAAGAACCCACTAAGGGCCTGAAATGTGACTGTTCTGGAAAAGTCTGAATGTGTCCACTACAGATGACAGTCCTAGCTGTGCCAAGTAGTATCAGAAATATGCCTTTTAATTCATGGGTTCATTTTCTCACTCTCAGAAATAAGCTCACAAAGTTAGCCATCAGTTCTCCATAAAAATAGTCACTTTTGGGACTGGACAGCTCAAGACCACCCAGCCTGTTTCTCACCCAAGATCATTTGCTATGTGGTTGTGGTCATTGTCAAACATTTTTTTCCAACATTTATCAAACATTTTTTTCCAACACCATGAAACCTTTCTTTGAGCATGACTTTAACAGTCAGTCAGCTCAACTTGATAAAGTTCTAAAAACAGAAATGTGAAATAAAGATCATCACCCACCAGACACCTAATAGATTATTGGTAAAACTTTGGCAGGGGAGAGAGGGCTGTACTTTTATTGAAAAAGGGATTTCAAAAATATTTTATGCTATTTAAATGTCATCCTGTATCAATTGAATCTTTTCATTCTAAAAGTCAAATAACTGGATACAAATATGTCAACTCAAGGAATCTGGGCTACCATATATTTTAAGTTGATATACATTTCTTAATCATAAGCTAAAAATATCTTTTTAAAAAGTCTTTTATCTTGTTATTGGTAGCAGCTAAATTAAGCAAGTTTTAAAAGAACTATGAACACAAGAGGTTAAAAGACAAAATGTAACAGGGTTTGTTTTTATAGGAATTTGAATTACTGCTGCTGATTTGAGTAACAAAGTTTATGCCATTTACAACCTCAAATTGTTAAAATGTTGAAAAGAGTTTTCAGTCTTAAAGATTTCAGAATTGTAAACTAAAGGCTATCTTATATTGAATCCATAAACCATGGCATAAGGTACATATTTGGTCCTTATGGGATGAAACTGGTTAATTAATTGCTTATGATCTATAGAAAATCTGTTAAACTGGCAAAATTAGGTTTATTATTCTAAAGAAGTCCTTGGGGGTAATTTTAAATGTTCAAATACATTTCTTCTCAAGCAAAGATGATGTATATTCATGGTGATAGTGTACAGAATATATTTGTGAAGAATGTACCTTTTCATGGTCTTTAATGTACACACGAGATGATTCCAATAATTAAAAGATGAAATAGAATGTAAAGTTTTCTCATAGCCTGAGAATTGTCATGCTGGAGATACAAGCATCCCTTCCCTAAGATTGTCTTTTAAGATGAATAATGTTGAGTTTGGGCCAGTTTTGAATAGAACTTAAAGTTTTCATGTGCCAGTAATAATGAGTAAATAAAGGTATAATACTTTTTAAAGTGAAAGCAAATTTTAGGTTTATTTTATTACTTTTGTAATCTACTCTGGACTTTCTAGCTAACTGGTCCAAAACAGGATACTTTGGGAATTGCCAAACTTTGGTGATTGTTTAGATATTTGTTATGAAAACTACTACAAACCTCTGCCATTCTCCACTTCCACAAAACTCTGGCTTACTAGATAGGTAGGGTTGAATTTTCTGAAGTAAATGTTAATTCTTTCTTCTATATTATTTAAACCATATGAAAGAAGCAGAAAAGGGGGAATTTCGTGACCTTGGAGAAAGATATGTACAATAATGTGCTTCACAAATGAACGTAAGATTTAAGGAAACTTGTGACAATTAATATATTGGTAAAACTTTCAAAGAACAAATGTTTCCTCCATTTTCTTTCCTGTATTGATGTTCAAACTTCTAATGTCATTACCATGAGACCTGTGCAATGCAGTATGAATAAAGTTTATTAAAAATGATAATCCAAGAAATGAATTTCTCTAAATAGTAAAGGATATACACAAAATAGATAAGTGTAAGGTCTTTTGTTGCAAGACTCAATACATTGATAAACATGTGTTGAATACTCAGAAGGAGTGAGGAAAGATAAAGGTACACTATTTTTACCTCTCCACAATGTTTTCATTTGGGGAAAAAAAAAGGTGATACTGTTAAAACATGCACGATAACAATTCTGATCACAGTCTGGTCCAAAAGTGTTGTTCTGTGGTTTGGCCTCCCAATTTGAGTTTTTCTTTGGGAACCTGTTCAGGACTTTCATAGCCTCTGTTGATGTAGAATCCATTTTTGCCATTGCCTGAATAATCTGTCTTGTCGATGGGAGGCCAGGTAGAGTCTTCTGCCAGCTTTTTTTGCCAGTTCCTATACTGACTTTTGGAGTGGAATCCAAATTCTCTCTTGATTAGCAGCCAGAGCTCTCGATTTTGAAGAACAGCATCCTGGAAAATCAAGTGGGAAATACAAACCACTGTGCATGTGCCCCTGCCACTAGGATATCTCTCTAGTCTGTGTCTCAGCTTCCTCTGAGATCTGCCTATGGCTGTTGCTACATCTTTTTCGTCTCCCTGATTCATCCCTCAAGAAGTGAGAGGGTATTTCTGTTCACAGAAATTTGCTCAAACTTGCTACTTCTTATCTCTACTGATTCCCTAGTTAAATCCTAGCTACTATCTTACTTAGGATTCTTTCACTAACAAGCTGAAATGATAGCAATAATGCACTAAATATCAAGAAAAGTTAAAAAAAAAAGCTATCAGTCCTGCTATCTGCCTTCTGCCACATACAAGATGCCAAATATTAACATTTGTTGAATGAATGTATGAACTGTAGCAATCAAATATTTGTTTTCCATTTTTTGAGATCCCTTTCCTTTGTTTTCATGATTGTGCAATTTATATACATATACAATAATAGAAGCTGGGCATACATTACAGTTGTCTATGGTTCCAACTCTTAGAAGCCAGAGGTAAGAGGATCTCATTCTGAGACTGGGTTGGGCAAAAGCAAGTGTGCTATCTGAAAAACAAACTAAGAACAAAGGATCTTGGGTGTGGCTAAAGTGGTAGAGCATTTGTCTAGCAAATGTGAGCCCTGAGTTCAATCCCCAGTGCAGTCAAAAAGAAAAAAATAATTAAAATGGTCCAGTTGTGCAATATACTTTTGTTTATATTAGACTTTCTGTCATATGCAATTTTATGTAACTATAATCCTTAAATTTCTTTAGTTTTACTGTAGCAAGAATACAGCTAAGGTCTTCTTTATATTTTTAATGACTGTAGCATTTTTGCAAATTGCTGTATAACTATTTAAATGCAATGCTTACATCTTATATTTTGCCACTGTAGTTAATACGATGCTGAATATCTTTAAACGTGTAGGTTTCTAGTCACTTTTTTGGTTACTTAAAAAATATAGTCTCAAAAAATGGAATTCTTGAATTAAAGGTTATGAGAAATGTTAGATTACTGTATATGGATTATATATGTATATATATTGTATATGTATGATATATATTGTATATGGATTACACACACACACACACATATTTGGTTGATCCCTTTTCCCAAGGGATTTACTCACATTGCATAGATCTTTTATTTTTTAACTCTCCCTTTAAAAACCTGTTCCTGAGGCTTTTACTGAGTGGGTAAAGTCGTTTGATGACACTGAGTAGCAGAGGAATGCTAGAGGGGGAGATTGTCAAGGGTTGGGGTTGACGAGAATGAGCAATGGCAACCCTCCGCTGCTGATTAGGGAACCCCTCCTGAAGTCAGCTCTTCACATAAAAGGTCTCATTGGATTTTAGGGCTGCAAGGTCGCCTGGCTACCTCTCCTAGATGACTGGGAATGTTAGAGAAGTACAATACAATGCCTTCACATGAAGCAAAATTAGAGTTGATTTAATGTTTTGCTTTCTATGCAGAAGATACCAGGAGCATTTTCTCACCAGCTTTTAAAGAATTTTAACTCATTCTCCAGGGAATTTCCCCCAAAGAGAACATGAACATTTTGAAAATAATTCCTTAGTAACTACTGTTTGGGGGGGACCAAAGTAATTGCTCTAAAAAATGAGCATCTGTTGAGAACGAGAACTTTCATTTGTTTATCTCACCAGAAAAATAATAAAAGTCATACAGAAATTACCTCTACAAAGAAGGCCACACAGAATTGGAGAAAGGATGTCACCAAAATTGAAACTCTCCATGATGTTATGGTTGGGATGAACTGTTGGAGAAGAGACACCAGTATTATACATTGTACAGCTTAACACTTTGAAAAAGCACATACTCATTACCTTTCATTATATTAGTTAAGTATTTATATACTTTTAATAACTCTGAGCATTACTTTCTCCACTTTACAGATGAGAAAATTGAAGGTCAGTACCTTGCCCAAGGACTGACTCAGAGCCAATAAATAAATGACAGAGCCAGAACCCAAATGAGAACTGACTCCTCGTGGCCTGTGCTCCCTCCATGGCCTGACAGCATCTATCAAGTAAGTGTGCCCTGAGTGGCAGACTAAGACAGAGGGCACTGGAACTTTAGTAGCTTTCTTCATTTTTATCCTTCAAAACATAGAGAAAAGGACATAAGATTATATCATTCATCTACTAATTTTATTGCCTCTAATTCTTCCAAAGCAAAATCCACTTGGAAATCATTTTTTTTTCCAGTAAAATTGACATAAACATAAAATATAAGGCAGGACTGAAGAGCACGTTTATTTTGATTGAGATTAAGTACAAATCTTTTGACCAAATATTCTTGACCATACCCCTTTAAAAGGTCACAGATTCACCACCAAATATCCTTATTGATTACATGTGAGAACCACAACTTTCTATGGCTGCATGCATAGTGAAAGGGTGGCTACACAGTCTGATTTCTGATCATGGAGTCAGTGTGGGACTGAGCTCCTTTGAGGTAATATAACCACAGCCCCTCCCCATCACAAATACATACCCTGTAGTGTCTAGCCACTCATCCTAAGTTCTAATCCATATCCTCACAAGGGTTTTTTCAAGTTAATAGTTGGTCATTATTTCCCCAAGTGGAGACAGCCTTTATCAGGATTATGGAATACAGCACATTGAGTGGAAGGGCTGTTTGGGGAAGGTGGTCAGATCTGAGTGGAGAACCTGGCCCAGCAAGATTGCACTGCTGCCACCACCCTGATCCAGGAGGGCTCTTCTCCAATCCTGGGCCTGGAAGGCACTTGATTTGGAACTACTTGCTTACACGTTAGATTATTTACTTACACCTTAGTCTTCCTTCTTAGATTCTGAATAATTTTAGAGCAGGGGCTGCATCTTACTCATCTCTGCAGCCCTGGTACCATGAACTTACGATGTTTGGTAAATGAATAAATGATCTGAGTTTTCATTTCCTAGCTGCTTCTCCCTCCATGGCCATTCTGCCTTCCTCCCATCATGTAATTAATCTGCCTTAAATGTCCTTCTAGAAAACCAACATTGACTTCCTGTTGCTTTGGGAGGAAGTCCAAGCTTCACTGACTGCCTTGGTCCACTCACACCTTGCTTTATTCTTCATTCTTGTTCCTTATATACCATAGTATACTGCTTCAATTTTAGAGACCCTTTTAACACCTCTGTAAAGCAAGCCTTGCTTCTAATTTTTATCCCTGCCATCCTATATTCTTTGCATTTCCAAGACAAAAGAAGTTCTTTCAGCCATTTCTGCTTGTGTTTAGGATAGGCCTCAGGTCAGCAATGTCTTACCTCGTAAAATCCAGCCTAAATGTTTAGACCTCAACCAAGTTGGATTACCTCCATGGAGTCTCCCATGATGGTCATAGTCACAGCAAGAGTTTCTTCCTACATTCTTTCAGTTCTACCTTTATGTTCTCTTCAAGCATGGATGGCCTCAGGTGGCCATGCCACCATTTCACTCAAGAATGGCTCATCTCAACAAAAGTATGGCCTACAAGTCAGGGGCGAATCCTTTCCTTCTCTTATACATCTCACAATACTGGGGTCTAAGAATAGGATCAATAACCACTCAATGAATTTAATTTTAACCCAGTATATCCTGGACCAGGTGATGTCCATTCATATAAAATTGCATATAGTCAATGTCTAAACAGCATGATGGACTGATAAGTCTACTCTTTCTTACCTCTTACAATAACATAGTAAAGGGTTTCTAATATTTGTTTAAAAATAAAGCCTGGAGAATTAATTATTATATTAGTGCACTAATTTCATTGAATTGGTGTAACATGGCAGAATAAAAGATTCAACAATCTTTCCAGTATGAATGAGATAAATGTGCCAAATGATGGCACTAATAATATGAAAACATATGTGAGATACAGAAATGCCATTTTCCCTTCTAGCAAATAGAAATGGTCTCACAATATTTACTTGTCAGAGAGAACACAGTAATAACTGACCTGCAAATTGCAACACAAATATGGCTTATGGCACGTACGAGTCATACCAGATGTGAAATTGATAACACTTACCTCCATTTTAAGGTATATATCTTGAAAATCAGAAAATAGAATGAAAATTGTGATGCCCAAGGCAGATGTCAGCAGAAATGAAAATACATCTGAAGAAACATCAAACATTATTTTTAGATGCTAAAAGAATGCTTCATACACTTTGGCACACAATGCAGAATCAATTATCTATGTTGGGCAAATACTAGATTTACTTTCAGATGTTTTGATATATCATAATATGTCTTAAAATATGTTCTAATTCTTATAAGATAAAGGTGATATCATAAAATCTTCCTTCAAAGGTTGGATGTAGAAGCTGTTCATCCCGTGTTTTCATAACTTGCATAAAGGAGTTTTATTTCCATTGAGGCTTCCTGGGCTGGGACCTCCTGCAGTGACCAGTCCACCAGAGAGGCCCTGGTGCATCATCACCACTGTCTAGTGAGCTGTGCATGTATGGCATAAGCAGTTAGTCCTCCTGGCAGCATCTCCTTCACTGCTAGGAAAATGAGGTGCAAGGATCTGCCGTTGACACTGAAGGCCTTCCACAATCTGAAGCACCAGCCTTTCTGAACTCACTTCTGTTCAGCACTCTGGTTTCTGCACTCTTGCTCACAAAATGCCCTGTGTAGACAATATTCTTCCTGTCTTAGCATATTCCAGTTTTCCTGCACTTAAGGATCTCAGTTCAAGTACCACAGACCCCCTTACAACGCTATTAATTATTACCTTAGTGCATTAATTTCATTGACAACATGGAAGAGTAAATTACCCAAAAAATAACATTTCAAGTATGAACTCATGTGTCTGTCAAAGCTTTTAGCAGAACACTTTGTAAATGGTGCCTTAGAAGTGTTTTTTTTAACTTTTAATCTCTTTTTAAATTTTTTCATTTATTGTACATTAATAATACAAGGGAATTTTATTGTGATAATTCCATATATGTGTGCAGTGTACTTTGAACACGTTAAACCCTCCATTACATTTCCATTCTCTTATCCCTGTCCCTCTTCCCCCATCTTTCAGGTAGTGTTTGGTGGGTTTCATTAGGCTGTCTTCAAAAGGCCAAATATCACATTCTTGCTCATTAGTGGAACCTAGACCTAAAATGATGATTTTAATGATAATAACACTAATACTAATACTAATGATGTACATGGGGGGCTGTGGTGGAGGAGGATAAACAGGAGGGAGAAAGGAAAGGACACTGAGAGGTGGAGAGGATGGAGGGATGCTGCATATAGAAATGCTATGACAGGATTACCACCTTCAGGCCCAAACACTAGACTTTAATCAGTGTTGTCATGATAAAATGATTCTTACACTGCTCATAACACATTAAAAGAAACCAACAATCAGATTTCCTCTCCACTTCCTTTATTCTGGTGTTGGTGATCTACTTGCTCTCTCCCCTCAACTTTGTACCTGTACCCACCAAAAATCTGAGGCCACTGCCTCTCCACTGCACTATTTTGAAGCTGCCAGAGATCTTTCAGCACCTACTTACCCTCAGTGCTAACCCATACCTCACTTTATGTATACAACTTGAGGAAGCACCTCTTAGGCTTGCATGGGGGGGTATGAAGCAGAGAGAAGAAAAGTGGGAACTGCAACTTCTAAAGTAAAGCAACCTGACTATCATAGTGATAAGAAGAGCTAGGGAGATGGCTTTGTGACTGTCTCATTGCTTCATTGTTTCAGAGTCCCAGGGACCCAGATGCTGGGAAGAAAATGTTGCCTCAAATGTTCATCCTGCTTAAATACTGGTTCTCACTAGCAATTGTGCAAAGTCATCATAAAGTTGAGCTTTTATTAAAACCAATGAGAACATATACTTTTCTACTGTTTCAAAATAAAATTGTTTGTACCCTTGTAGTAGCTCCAAAGACTTTTGACCTACAACCTCATGTAGGTATATGATATAGAATACATGATTTATATGATTCTGTTTGATCAATATTTGTTTTGAAAGCTTTTTCCATTTAGAATTATTAGTTGTGTTTGGCATAATGGTTTCAGTTTTCCTACAAGGTTCAAGTCACTTATGATGTAACTAATACAGCTCTAATTCACTCAACACATGTAAAAATACTTTGCAGCTACTATTAAAGTTCTAGCTGAAGAATATATCTTCCTTGTAATTTAAAATACAGACTATAAGAAACTAGCTTTGAAATATAAAGAATATTAATATGTGCAACAAGAACCAAGGGTGCTCTGGAAAATTATGAGAAATTCAAGAAGTTTATATGAAATATAAAATTACAGGGAGATCTTAGCTTAGCATGTTTTCAAGTCTTTTGACAAAACAGCTATGGCAAAACAAAAATTAATAGGCAAGAACAGAGAGTATTTGAATAATATAATTGCTAAAACTGATTTAATACACTTACTGTACATTTCTAGTTTAGGAATAGGAGGTTAATACCTATTGATGGTATAGAAAATTAGAATTTAGAGTTTTATGCCATGTGACGTACAAAACTGCAGTAATTTCTCTCAAGCAGAAATTTTAGCAGTTAGATTGTTTAATCATGATAACGAGGGATTTTTTTTTTTTCTTTTCAGTCTTGTGGTTTTGAACTCTCAGGGCCTTGCACTTTTTAGGCAAGCACTCTACCACTTGAGCCATACTCCAACAAATTTTATTCTTTTTTTGATGGTATTGGGGTTTGAACTCAGGGCCTTGTGCTTGCTCGGCAATCACTCTATCACTTTGAGCCATGCCCCCAGTCTTTAAATAATAATAACAAATAATTGATATTATTAGCCAAATTTAAATGAAAAATCCCTCCCAAAATGCAAATAAATGTCTAAAAATTTATTGAATCAAAAAGGAAATCAAACATGTACTTGTGAGCTATTGAGAAAAATAGATGCAGGAGAATGAAAACAGAATCTTCTTCCCCTTAACAACTAAAACTATTCTGAAAACTACTGGTCCAAAGAGGAAATTAGGTCACAATTAGAGATTCATGGAAACAAAGAATGCAACCCAAACTATAGCTGTTGATCTTGAATGTTTCTCTAATTTTATAAGAATGGAAGAAAATACATGAATTGTAAATTTGACTCAAACAAGAAAAAACAAAGTAAGAAGAGGGAAAAATAAATCTTAGTAAATTAGAAAATAGAAAACATACAGATTTGAGAGCCGGTTCTCTAAAAAGAATCAGGAAAAAAAAAAAAACGCATTGATGGCTAAAAAAACAAAAGTGAAGAACAACACTTATTGTTATGGTTTGGATCTGAAATGTCCCCCAAGCTCATGAGTTGAGGCTTGGTCTCCAGTGTTGCAGTGTTCAGAGGTGCGCCTTTGGAAAGCGATTGGATCATAAAGGCCCTAACTTCATCAACAGATTAATCCACTGATGTACTGAAAATTAAATGGGCTATTGGGAGTTGGTGGAAACGTTAGGAGGCAGAGATCTATTTGGAGAAAGTAGGTCATGGGGGAGGGGGTGTGCCCTAGAAGGGTATGTTTTGTTCTTGGCCACTCCCCCACTTGTGCTTAGGGGACACCATGCCACTACAATTTCCGCCTTGCCACAGCCCCAGAAACAATGGAGCCAAATGACCATGGACTGATGCCTCTGAAGTTTTGAGGCAAAATAAATCTTTCTTTCTTTTAAGTTGTTTTCCATCTCTGTGACAAAACATCTTTGTGACAGAAAGCTAGCACACATACAAACATAATTAAGATAAGAAGCTATTAGAGTTACAGAAGATGCTTAAAACTATAATAAAATACCACTCAAAACTCTGTGCTAAGGTTTGATAATATCAATGCAATGTATCATGTGGACAAAAATATATGGTATTTTAAGAAGTTTAAAAAGAAGATAACCTAAATGAATCATTAAAAAATTCTTTCAAAGCAAGGATTTAGGTAATTTTTTTTTCCAATGGTAGGGATTAAACTTAGGGCCTTGCGCATGTTAGAAAAGCAGTTTTACCACTGGGCCATCCTTAGCTCAAAGATAGGATTTGGAAGCATATGATTTTACCAGTAGAATTTATCAAGGAAAAGACCACTCCTACCTTGTATAAAATTTTGTATAGAGAAAAGAAAAAGTCAAAGCATTTTCAAAGCTAATACTCAAATCTAATAAAACCCTACATGAAAAGCCTCAGACTAATCCCATACAAAATGCAAATTTAAAAAACTATAAAACTCAAATTAGTAAATGTAAGTAGGAATGCGAATATATTTAATAGTAAGTTTATTCACGTAATACATTCTGGCATGAGATAAAAATCAAAAAAGACAAAATAGTTGCCTTGGTACATGATTTGGAAGCAGTCAATGAAATATATCTCTTATTCTTGATATTTAAAGATACTCGATTAACTGAAATACAATGATATTGTCTTTACATGATGTAGGCTACCTTGTATAAATATTTAAAATCATGTTTATGAGTGAAAACTACTAAAAGTATTTTATTGAGGGAAAAAGTTGTCTGCTAGCTCCACTATTATTTAATATTGTTGTAGAAATTCTGGACCATGCACTAAGATAGAAAATGTAAAAATATGCATTTCAGTTTTGAAGAAGAAGAGGAAACACTGTTGCTTTCAATTACTAATAGTTGTCTATTAGAACACACAAGACTCAAGGATTGCTAGCAAAGTTCAGACAGGGTTCTGCATAGAAAACTCAATGTAAAGAACATTTTAACCCCCCCACAGAGTAGTAATGACCAGTTAGAAAATACAATGGGGAAGGTCATTCTCAATACAAACCAAAATATAAAGCACACAGGATTAATTTCTTTTCATAAATGTGCAGAATCTATAATGGAAAAAAACAGAAATATCTCCTAGGAGGCAAAAAAGGAAGCATGAATAAGCAGAGAGACTTGGCATGTTCCAAATGAGAAGACTAAATTAAGTAAACATATAAACTCTTCCCAAAGTATCAAAATCTCAAATGAGACTCTTTAAAATCTTGCTAATTTATTCTAGAGAAAATCTGGAAGAAAAAAACAGTAAAGGAAAGGAAGAAATTCTGAAAAATGAAGAGAAATGGCAATATGTTAATCTTGCCCTTGTTAAATAAATCTAATAAAATTGAATTTTTAAAGCACAGAGCTAAACCAAGAATAGGCTGGCATCAATGAAACAGAAAAGATAGTCTGCAAGCAAATTAACTACATATAAAAGTAATATATAAACTTAATAGTATTTAATATGTTATATGTAAGAAAACCATAGCTATATAAGTATATATAGCTATATAAGACTATAGGTATGATGAAGTTGATATGTACAGTTGGAGAATAAATGAATGAAAGGATATAATAGTCAAAAAATATGCTGGGAAAACTGATTGACTAGTTGGATAAACTAATTTGATTCGTACCATCAACTATACAAAAATTATATCAGATTTTTAAAAGTAGTAAAAGAAAATTTAAAACTAAAGAAGTGATAATTTATCTTATTTTGCAATTAGGAAAAAAACTGTCTCTGAATAAAGACAATGGAAAAAATCACAAAGGAATAAACAGCTTGTACAGATAAAGGAAAATATCAGTAATCCAGATGAAAAAAATAGTCTTAGAAATGTACATGGACAATTCACAGAAGAAATGGCTAATATAAAAATATGTTTGCCTTCACTGAAGATAAAAGTAAAAATGAAAACCAAATAAGATAACATGTTGAAAAGTTTTATCAGATCTTCAAACTTTAATTTTTTTAGTATAGTACTTTTTATAAGCCATGTTGACTATGCTGTTATGAAAGGAATCCTCTCAAAAACAACAGAGAGGACTGAACATTGATACAGACTTTCCAAAGAGCAATTGAAATTGTGTATCAAAAGCCAAATAATTGAACCTGGTTATCCAAGGAAATGAGAGATGAGGCCAAAGTGATTCACACAAGTGTATTTGTTGTAGCATTATTTGCAATACCGAAATACAGAAACCACGTGCATGCACACAGAGTGTTCATGTGTCCTTGGTTGCTCAGCATTCCCTGTTTGAGCCTGATAAAATTAACCGTGTCTCTTTTCACTCTTAAAAGTGTCCAAATGTTTTGTGACAGGGCATATTCTCTAGCTTTTCTCACTAACACTCTTGATTGTAGCTCCAAAGGGGATGTTTTTTGTTTTTCATTGCTATCTTTATTATTATTATTATTATTATTCTAGTTAGATGAATATACTGGGAGTGTACACAAGAATATTTGAGCACCTGTTATAAATGATGGACCCTTCATTTATATTGTGCTAGCCCTCTATATAAAATGTCTCACTTAGTTCTCTTTATAAGACTGGGGGTTATGTAACACTCTCAGTCTACAAATGAGGAAACAGAGGTACAGAATGGTTAAGGTAACCACTGGGCAGTTGCCCAAGCTATCATGGGATCAACTTGTATTGAATTGGTTAAAAGCCTTTTAGAAAATACCATGACATATATGTTTGTGTTTAAAATGTTTCCTGATGACGCCCAGCAGACAGGACTAACATCCCTGTTGAGCGATGTCTGTGCTTGTTTGCAAATGAGCGAGTTTCTACCCATCAACTGTCTCTCCCATTGATTACATTCAATAATCATTTTCCCTTTCACAGCGAGCTCCAACTCAGGGAGGGTGGGAGAAACAGAAAAATATTCAGCATGAAAAATTAAAGCTCACATACTTACAGTTTGTGTAGATGGGTTTTCGAAATGGCTTTCCCTTAGAAAAAATAAATGCCACTGTGATGCAGTTGATGGTGACGATGGGCCACAGCGTGGTAGTTTCAAAACTTAGAACTGAACCAGGGATCAGAGTTGCATTTCCAGTCCAGTTTCTTTCCAAACTCATATTGGTAGAGAAATTACTTTGGTTGGCCAAAAAGCACTCACTACAAAAGAATTGTCAGCATTTATGGGACTTTCTATTCTATTTTTATCCATTAAGTGAAAAAAACAGTTTAATCACTATCATGGGACTTTAGCTTTCAACCTGTTCCAACTGGTAACTATCAAGACATATTTTGTTCATTTCTTGCAATGACAATGCAGAAATAAAACTCAGAGGAAGTCAAGAGGGTTCTTTGTCTGGCACTCCATTTAGAACAAGTAATCTGTCTTGAAAGGGTTTGGATGACAATTTTCTCTTGAATTCCTTTCAATACAAAGAGTGAATGTACATGTGAACTGAAAGTGTGTATGAATTCTCTTCGTGCACTGACGTTAGCCTCCTGACCTGTGTCCCGAGTCTGTCTCCCTACTCTAATTCGCCAAAGAACCTTCCTAAGGATCTGAGCATTGCACTATCCTGATTGTGATGTGTTTGTGGCTCTGTTTTGCTAATAGAGCTCAGACTGACCTAGAAGACTCTCACATTCTGTCTCAATCTACCTTTCAGGCCTAATCTTTTCTTGTTCCTCCTACACTCCTTACATTCATAACATATAGGATTATTCCTTGTTCTTCAAATACTGCAATTTGCACTTGTTGAGTCAGACATGTTGTTGCCTTTCATTGAAGTAATGTTTTCCCTTTAATCCTCACTATATCTAAATTACTTTTGCTGGGAAGTGAATCCAGTGTGCCTCGTTCTTCCTTCTACTACTGCATACAGCTCATTGCTTTGTAATTATTTTGTCAATATATTTTTATCTTCCAACTGCGGAATATGAGTTTCATGCATATGAAAATTTCCTTTTATTTTGCTTAGTTTACACCAAATCCTTGGCACTGAGCAGAGTGAGGTTATATAATATTTATTCAGAAAAATACTTATTTAATACTTATTTAATATTTGGGCTTTCCCAGCCCTGACTGATCTACTTACAATGTTCCTTTTCTTCCCTTACCTAATAATGAAACCTACAAATTAGTTTCCATTAGTTTTCTCATTTAGCTTGAAACTTTTATATTGCTATTACAACTCTTTATAGATAAAATTTATTTTCCAACTGTGAAATTCAAAACTTTTTTTTTTAATTGAGACAGTATCTCACTATGTAGCCCAGGCTGGCCTCAAACTCACAATCATCCTAATTGCTGGGATTATAGTGTGCACCACCATGCCTGGCTAAACTTAACTTTTATTATCCCGGCCTCTCTAGAGTTCAGAAGTACGCTTTGCATATGGAAAATGCCCGGTTAATGTTTGCTAAATAAATGAATGAAACAATCAGTAGTCACATTCTTGCACAAAGACAGATGGTAGGCTAGATGGCCTGAACTACACAGTTTAACATGGAAGAGTACCTAGTTCAGTCACCCACATAGCAGATAAGAAAGTTGAGTGCTAGCAAGGTGCAGCTGATTAGTAACAAGCAGAGTCATCCTGACTTCCTATCTAATCCCTTTGTCTATGCTGTGTTTTCTCCCATTTTCATTCAGAAGTTGACTTTTCTAAGTGCATGTGCTCCAGGCAAGTCTGATTTTAAAACTAAATGGAATTCTGTATTCCAAATGACAGTCATAAACATCATTGGTGTTTTTCTGTCTGTGTTTCACTGATGTTTGGGGTTCTGATACCTTCAGGATCCTGGTGGAATGAGGTGGAGTTTGTACATGTCCTACTCTTTAAAAAGCAGCCCTTTTCCTGCCATTCCATGATATAGTCTACCCCTCATCTTACCTTTGATTTGTATTTGAAGTTTTTAAAGCCGGAAGAGCTTTGTCCTGAGTCTAGTGTTTTGATTGAATCAGAATTATGATATCGGCGAACATGTTAACATTCATTTGAAAACCCCAAAATAATTTAAGCAAATCTCTCTTGAATGTTTGTATTAGGGGCCAGCAAACTATGGCTCACAGGCCATATCTAACTCACCACAGACTTGTATAAATAAAGTTCTATTAGAACACAGCCACACCCACTTATTTACATATTAACTGTGACTGGTTTTGTATTATAATAGCATCATTGACTAGTTATAACAGAGACCATTTCACTCACAAAGCCTAAATATTACTGTCTGGCTCCTCTAGGACCTGCTTACCAACACCTGGTCTATAGGCAGTCCAAACCACTGAGAATGAATGCAGTCACACAGTCAGCCAACTGTTAGATGTATACATCAATACCCAGGGTAACAGACTTTTCCCACCCACTCTCCATGGCTCGCTCAGCACCTCACCCACTTCACTTCATTCTGTCTTATCATTTGTGTTTTGAGGCTGGAGACCCAACTTTTCTTAATTAAAATATCAGGAAATAGCTTCAAGTCAAGTTGGACAATGTCATTGCATACTTATTATGTCACTTTCAGAAAGGAAAACTAAGAAAATGAACTCACCTGTCTCGGTAGACCTCACAATACCAAGGCTGCTGCTTCACGTACAGGAATGCACACACCTGCACGATGCAGGTAAAACAGGAATTCAAAAAGACTGAGAGCAGCAAAGGGGGAGAAAGAAGTTGTCCTGCTGGACGATATGGAGCCAGTTTTGGGTAGGCATGAGTTGAACTCACTGAAAGACAAGTGTATTTTTTCCTTTACAATTTCATCATTGAGAATAAAAACAGAAATGCATATTACCTTGAGTCTTGCATTAGGATTCAGACTGAGCAACTGTAAACTGAAAGTTTATACCCACAAAAGCCCATTACCTGGTTTCATATCCACTTCTGCTTGCCTTGGTATCATCCATGCTTTGGTTTCCCCTTCAGAAATGAAAACTGAGGGGCTATGTTTACCATATCACATGAGGATAACACTTTTCAGCAACCAGACTAAGCTGGGAGGTTGTGTGGAACAGGAGCATGGTCTTCCACAGGGGGTAATCAGTACTGATATCTCTCAGTGAGGATGGGAAAGTGGAGAGCTGAGATGAGGGGAATAAAAAGGCATCTAGCTAGACTAATCTTCACAGGTTGGGTAATTAAAAGAAACCACTCACTCCATGAGTCATTCAACCAACATTCTTTTTTTTAAATTTATTTTTTATTTTTTTATTATTCATATGTGCATACAATGCTTGGGTCATTTCTCCCCCCTGCCCCCACCCCCTCCCTTAACACCCTCCTCGCTCCCTCCTTCTCCCCCCCACCCCCTTGATACCCGGCAGAAACTATTTTGCCTTTATCTCTAATTTTGCTGAAGAGAGAGTATAAGCAATAATAGGAAGGAACAAGGGTTTTTGCCAGTTGAGATAAGGATAGCTATACAGGGAGTTGACTCACATTGATTTCCTGTGCGTGTGTGTTACCTTCTAGGTTAATTCTTCTTGATCTAACCTTTTCTCTTGTTCCTGGTCCCCTTCTCCTATTGGCCTAATTAATTTTTTAGGTGTCTTACCTATCCTCATATCTCCCTTGTGTGCTCTCACTTTTATCTTGTGATCAAAGTTCAATTCCCTTGTTTCAACCAACATTCTTGAGCACTTCAATGTGCTAGGCATTGTGATAGACACTAGAAATGTGTTCTGTTCCTTCCTGGTTAAGCATGTAAAGGGGAAAATACTAGGGCACATTCTATTCAATTAGGAAAAAAAACTCATAAAAAGTCTTGCTTTACATAACATGTTAAGACATATTGCATTTTTGATCAAAAATCTTTTTTAAATGGGCAATTAAAAAGGATAATTATATTTTAAAGATGACTACATCCTTCTTAGACACTACATATTCTAACAAGCAGATGAAAGCAAAATGCACTCTAGTTCTCAGGACACAGCAGGAAAGAAGTCTGAGGATGTCAGGGGTTAGAAACATTGTGTTTAAAAATTAATATCATGGTCATATTTTTGTCCATGTCATACTATCTGTCATCTCTCCTCTTTTTCTCAGTTTCTTTGATGCAAGAAGAAAGTAGAACATGCGTACTTAGGTTTACGTTCACACATATAGGGGCAGAAGGCTAGGGAATTGGTGTCCAGTAACAATACTGTAAAGTAGGTCTTCTGTTTGTTCAATGTGTGTTCTGCAGTAATCATGTACACTCTTTGGTTCTTCATTTGTTCACTGTGTTGGAAAATTTAAATGGTACTTATAGGCCTTCCACCACATTTATTCTAAGGCTCTATGAACAGCTCAGACTTCACTGTTGCAATCCAGTCAATGTTTCCACAGCAGGGTGCTGGGCTAGAGGATATCTCAATTTCCTTCAAAGTTTGAAGTCCAGTGGAAGACAGAGAGAGTAAAGAATTTGGCAGGACTTTGTCCACACTTCCTGGAATACATTCGTCTTTTTCATAGGATTTTTATAGCATAACAAGTTATGCTAATAAGATGGCTGATGATGGGTCTGAGGGGAACTTGTGTTAAGAATGTGACTCAAGAATGGGGCTGGCCATGCCCAAAAGAGCAACTCTGTGATTAAAGTCAGGACTTTGAACCACAAATGAGCCTGACCTCCAAGAAGGTGGGAAGTGGCAGGGGTGGGGGGATGGGGGGGGTGGTTAGAGACTGAATTCAAGCTGGTAGTCAATGAGTCTATCAGTCATGTTCACATAGTGAAACCTAAAAAAAACCCTCTAAACCTTGAAACTCAGTTGAACTTCCCTGGTTGGTGATACTCTGCACATTATCACACACCTGTGTGCCAAGAAAGTGAGGCTTCCTGACTTCACAGGGAAAAGACAATAGAAGTCACATTTAGAACCCTTTCCAAGACTTTACCACATATATCTCTCCCTTTGGCTGATTCTGATTTGTATTCTCTTACTATAAATAAAATTGTAATCATTACACTTCTCTGAGTTTTGTGAATTGTTGTAACAAATTATTGAACCTGAGAGGGTAGTGGGAATCCCTAAGCTTGTAGCATGCTAGTCAGAAATGTAGATGTCTGAAATGAAAGTAGTCTCATGGTGGCTGTGTCCTTAAACCTGTGAGGCTTGTTCTAACTCTGGGTAGTTAGTGTCAGAAATTGCTGCTTGGATACATGAAGAAGAGTCAGACAATGTGGGCTATGGCCAGGACTGAACCATGATATGGAGCTTCTGAGTCATAAAAGGCAAAGACTGCAGTGCTTGGAGTTCTCTCTGCACCCAATGGCCATGGTGGAACATGGCTATTGTGTTTATAAAGAGGCTTGAAATCCAGGAGTGGTGGTTCACACCTGTAATCCCAGCTACTCAGGAGGCAGAGATTGGAGAATCATGGTCCAAGGCCTATTTAGGCAAAAATGTGAGCCACTATCTGAAAAATAAAAGCAAAAGGACTGAGGGCATGGGTCAGGAGTTTTTGCCTAAACAGCCTGAGGCCTTGACTTTAATCTCCAGAAAGAAAGAAAGAAAGAAAGAAAGAAAGAAAGAAAGAAGAAAGAAAAGTAAGGAAGAAAGCAAGCAAGCAAGAAAGAAACAAAGAAACAGAAAGAGAGGAAGGAAGGAAGGAAAGAAGGAAGAAAGGAAAGAAGAAGCTATGAGCATGGGAGAGAGGTGAAATTACATTTCTGTGCATTTATCCTTTACTCCTTCGGTCTTCTTTCTCCTACATGCTTATTTTAGTCTCAGACTTTTTTTTTTTAATTTAAACCCAAGAACTCTGGTATATTGAACAATTGACTTTGTAGGAATGGAGTTAATTTTGGGCTTCATGGCATAACTTTGGGCAAAGAGATATTGAAATTGTTTTGGGCTTTCTTGCATGAATTGCCTTGCTCCCTGACTCTTCGCCTCTCAGTGAGAATATATCCACCAGCCAATGCAACCTTGTCTTAGAGTGAAAAATGTAGAGTAGACAACCAACTCAAACTCCACAGCTTGGCCAAGAGCGGCTGATCTACATCCTAAAGCTTGGCAGCTCAGCTGAGCAACCCAGATCAGTGGAATACCAGTCAACTTATAGCCTGTGGATGGGGAGGATCACCACTTGGTGGTATAAGCCATTAAATTTAGGATGGGTTATTATTCAGCATTACAATGGAAATGGCTGGTTGATATTTTTACACAGAATATTTTGAATTTTTCCATATTAGTGATTCCTAATACTTCTAACAGGGAATCTGTATTCCTGACTATAAAAATGGAGACTACTGTTTTAGAACACCTATTAGGTTCCAGAGATTGTGCCCCAACTGTTTTATAAATATTATCTTTATTTCCTTAAAAAGCAATGCAAAACTGGTAAAGCTGACAAATGAAGAAACTGAGTCTCTTGCTTGAGACCCACTTAGTGAGTAACGAAGAGATGATGACAATTCAAGCCTGTCAAACTGTGAAGTCCTGTGTTCTCTGCCCTGCAGTCTAGTGCAGTATGAGGGATTTCACCAATTAGGAAGAACAAAGTGAGGAGCCCGGAAACATCAGCTTGCCTAACAGTACTGTTTATCAGTAGGCAGAACTTTTCTGAATTGTCCAGATTTTCTTAAAATGCTGATGATATATGCTATCAGGTTGCATGCAGAGAAATGCAAACTGTGCAGTGACTTATTTTACTCAGAATTAATCATTCCCTTTTCTGAGTTCCCATAGCACATCGCTCATATTGCTGCTATAGTGCAGGGTGCCTTGCATTAAATCTAGTTGTTTACATATGTGCACTGCAGACTGAGAGCTCCCTGAGGGAGTCAGCCCTGCCACACTCCGCTCCCAGTTCCTTACTAACCCTAGCACTGGGCCTGCTGCAGAGAAGGACTTTGCCATTTTAAATTCCTTCCTCAAAGTATTGTTTTTAATCATTCAGCATCATTTGGATGTAATTTAGTTGATTTATATTATGAATATTGCAAATCATATAAAGCAAATTTAAGAGGCGCATAACCCACTTAAACCTTTGAGTGTGCATCATGAGATTTACTTCTTTATGTATATGTGTGTGTGTGTGTGTGTGTGTGTACACATATATATAGGCAGTACTGGAGATTGAACTCAGAGTCTCATATGTGCTAGAAATAGGGTCTCACTTTTTGCCCATGCTGGCCTGGATTGCAATCCTTCTGTTTTATGGGTGCATAACACCACGTCCAGTATTTTTCCATTGAGATGGGGGTCTCACAAAGTTTCTTTTTTGTTTTTGCTTTTTTGCCCATGGTGGCCTGGAACCTTGATCCTCTCAATCTCTGCCTCCCAAGTATTTAGGATTACAGGCATGAGTCACCAACACCCAGTTCTTCAGTTATTTTTTGGATAGGTTTCATGTTTTTGCCTGGGACTGACTTCAGACTGAAATCTTCCTACCTCTGGCTTCCTGAACACCTGGGATCAAAGGCATGAGCCACCACACCAGGTGTATTGGATGAGATGAGGGTCTTGCTAATGTTTTGCCTGGGCTAGCCTCAGACCATAATCTCCTACTATCGCCTCACAAATAACTGGCTTTGCAGACATGTATCATCAGCCCCCCAGCTCATCATGACATTTCTACGGTGAAAAGATCTGATCTTCCATCAGATACTCCAAGAGGATCACCACCCTGAAAGGGCTAGGAGTTATTGAAGCTTTGATAGGGTTTATATAAGAAGTGTATATATAATAGAGGAATTCCTTCCTACACCTACTTCTCTGGATACAACCTTCTCTCCATGATGTCTCAATGGAACTGAACAGACTCCACCTTCATTCACAGAAATGACTGGCCTAGACATGGGCATTTTACCCAAGTTAGGTCAATAAATTTTCTCTCCAAAATATTTGCAAATGGGACAGTGAGAGTCTGAGCTTAACAACTAAGGGAAGACAAGCAGAAAGGCTGTGAAGATTCAGTCTTGGTGTCACTTTTTTGGGCTCATTTGAAATGTGAATGAGTAAAGGATGTCAGATTGAAACTATAAGAATGAACAGAAGAAAAGAAAAAAGATAGCTGCCCATTTTTTACCTTTAGTGCTCTAGTCTTCCTCATGCCAAGGTGCTTCTCAGTTTCTAGTCTCAGACTCTTTCGAGAATTATATTCTTAACCACTTCCTTCCTCCATATTTTTGATCTAACAAGTGGGTCTTGTTGATGAAGGCAGAGATGTTGCTAGCATACATTTTCATGAAGATTAAGGATCGAATTGGACTTGCATTTTCCTAATTGGCTTCCCTCCTGACATCATATTATTTTTTTCTTCTTGGTTTTCTCGTCAATGTATTACATTTTGTCATATTAGCTGCCTTTGTTGCCTTAAAATTTTGTGGGAACAAGGCAGGGTATGTATTGATAAATAAGTTAATAAAATACATATATGATGATATTATCTTTCACTAGCACGAAGCCTGGGAAACATAAGGAGCTTTGCAGTGCTCTGATCCAATTGTCTATGACTTCTAAAGGGTAGATCAATGTCCACAGTTACCAGCCTCACAGTCAAGACTGTCTGAGCTGGCCCAACTCAACTTTTCAAATTGTATCTCCTCTACACTCTACAGTGTGATTAAATTGAAAATCTCATACCCCATATTTATCAACTGTCTCCTACTCATGCTGCTTCCTTCTACTTGAAATGTCCACCTTTTAGCAAAAGATTTTTTAAAGCTATCCATCTTTCCATGTTGGTATGAAACCTCCTTCTTTCATGAAGCCATCCCTAATGTCTCTCTCTTTTCTCCATTGCTGTCTCCTGCCTAATCCCAGATGATCAGAAATATTCTCTCCTTCCTCGAAACTCCTAAAACCTCTGCTGTTATCTGCCACTTATGACTTTGAACTTGCCTCTCATTCATTTGTGTATGAAAATCTCCCAATAAGCTCTAAGCCTGAATGATGAGTCTTGTTGTGTCCCAGGCACCTGTGAGCCTAACACAGAGTAATAGAATGCCTGTGTGAGAGGGTATTGAATAGTGCTTTTCCTGTAAGGTGGAGAGTTTTGCTGATCCTTACATTTGAGGACAATGAATGGTAAATAACAATTTAGTGTGAAGAGAAATGATCACCACATCTCCATAGTACCTTGTGAAGGAGATCCATACTTGTCCTTCAACTATAAGCATGCCCCCCGTGCCCATTTCTATGTACTGACTCAATAAAAGAAAACTGTAGAGATTATCAAGGGATTCTTTAAAGAGAATTGTTTGCAGTAGCATGAAGTGTTTTCTTCTGAGCAATGAAGTGAAGTCATAAGAACTATTCTAGGAAGTGATTTTGAGAGGAGATTTTGGCTTTGCTCACTTCTCTACTGTAATATAAAAAGAGAGGGGTAAATGAATGAAAGCAAGCTACACATCTACCACTTGGAGGTCAGATAGAGGCCATGGAACTTACCCAGTCTAGAGCTACCCTGAGTCTGGCTGCAAAGTCTTTGTGGTATGTACCTCTAGGGCGGCAACAGCAGAAAAGATTCCTGAGGGGTCAGAGGAAGAGAGCACTGCCCATGTGAGGAGGAGGTCTACTCTAATCCAATCCACAGGAAAGCTCGAAAGAACCTACAGCGAACTCTGAATGAATGTAAATTGCCTGAGTTTAGATGGCTGCCCCATTAGAAGGCATTTGCCAGGAGACAACTACAGTCACCCTACTTGAATGCCTAGTGCTCTGCTCTTGTTTCTCCTGTTCCTTGAATCAGGAGTAGAGACCAGGTGACATAAGGGAAGGCGAGGGAAGAAATAGCACTACCCTTCTCTCCCATTCATTGTTAGCCTCAAGCCATAGGTCAAGCTTGATCTAGGGGAATAAAGGCTTTGAAACAGATTTTTTAAGTGAAATATTAATTTACAATAGCTGGACTTCTCATACCTAAAGAAAAGATCATCTCAACATCTGGAATTGACTAGGAAATGATCTGCCTGTGGGATCTGCCTCTATCTGCTTGAAGATAGAGGGTAAAGAACAAACAAACAAAATGCCCACTTCCTGCCTCTACTTCACCTTCCAATCTCTTCAGTATTCAGCACACTTGTAGCCACCTATATGAATGTGGAATAATAATTGTATAAGGTTGTCATACTAATGAACAGTACGCTTCTGATTTTTCACTCTTCCAATGTTTTCTTCTCTTAGAGGTAATCATGCTCCTGCCTGGAATCAACCCAGTATTGTGCTGAGTCCACACTGAGCTGAGAGGCTGAGTTTCACAGGGTGACCATTTGGCAAGAGGGTCAGTGGGATATTGGTGTGGGAAAGAGTAAAGCAGCCCCACCTCCATAGGAATCTACGCCATGTATGTAAAAGTTCAGAATAACTTGCTAAAAGCCATAGACCTATTCTGAGGCAACACTTGAACTACTGCCCATATTTGGGAGTTTCTAATGACACCCAAGTCCATTCTGATTCCTTTCAAGTATTCACCAAGTTAGCCAGTCTTGTGAAAATGGAAAAAGAAGAGTGATATAGTGTGAGACCATTCAGCTTGTTGTGAGTGCTTAGTGTACCCTGAACTGTGAAGAATATTTTATAAGCATCACTTTACCTGATCCTCAGAACCCTCTGAAGGTAGGAGAGTTAAAGGAGGGCCATGGCCTCTTCCCCCATTCCTCTGCCTGCTAACTTAGTTCTTGGGCCCTCCTGATCGTCCTTCTTCTTTTTATCATCATTCAAAATAAATCATGCAAATTGCTTAAAAATACAGAAGCAATATCATTGATTCAAAATTATCTAGTCATATTAATATTAATACATGTGGAAAAATATTCAACGGGCCATGAATAGACACTTCAACCCTAATAATCAAAATTGATATTACATTTTAGATACTGGTAAGTTTTGTCATTGGGTTGATATAATAAATGACTTCAATATGAGTTTCATGTTTTGAGATGCTACATGAAATTCTCAAGGTTATTAATATCCTGCATTGCCTGATACTTTATCTGTTATTTTTCATCATACTCCATTGTTGAACAAAGAAAAGGAAGTGACAATGCCATTCATTTTCTGTGCTCTCCGTTGAGGCAGTCACCTTTCTCACTTATTAAGAGTTAGTATCGAGCCCTGAGTTCCTTGATCGGACATACTTTATCAATGTCATCTCAAAGGAAGGAAATGAACAATAGCTGCTGTAAGCAACACCTTGCTTTTGAAAGAATTCACTAGAATAAAATGTTAGCATTTTTTCTCACACGTCAAAGACCTAGCAAAAATCTAGTTTCATGTCAATATGAAGCATTGCTGAATAATGGAAAATGACCTTTGGGTTTGAAAAAAATTCCCTTTCTGGATTTCTTTTTCATTTTTTTATGTAAGAGACAAAAATCTACAAAGAACTCAGAATACATTGGCACATTTTTAAGACAAAGACATATTTGTTATTGAGCTATTTCACTGCTAAGTCTAGGGACGTCAACCCCCAACCTCACTTTAAAAAAATTGATATGCTATGAGGTTTTAATAATTAGGTTGCCAATTTTTCAGAAGTTCTCATTTGTGTAAGTATTTCTAGAATTTCACAGATAAATATAAATAATTCAATTTGCTAAAGAGCTTACTTGTTAAACAGACCATCAAGGTAATGGCCACATCTTGCATGAGATACTGGTAATTCCCAAAAAGTTGTAGTTGCTAAAAAAAGAAAGAAAAGTAATATAAATGTAGCTTCTGTCATTGTAGCATTTTTGTTATTCTCAATATTCTTTTTTTAGAAAGTATAAATTTTTTATTTTTATTAGGATAAATTTATTGTATGAGGGGATTCATTGTGACAATTCCAGATAGGCTTGTATGGTATACCAATATTCTTTTTAAAGCAGTTAGAAGGCAATTATTATTTCCATTTTTGGGACAAAAATAACTAAGATCATTAGCATCTCATTGGTTAGAATGAGACCAGGTCACTATTTTCCCAGTATTTAAATGAATTTCATATCAGCAATGAGTAAATCAGTATGGAACCACCCTCCTGTTGGCCACAATAACTCTGGCAGTTGTTGTCCCAACCTGGGCAGTTGAGTTCTCAATGTTAAGATATTAAAGCCTGAATGTTCCCTTGGGAAATTTAAGCTTATAATTTGTAGCCAAAGCCTCAGTTTATTCAACCAGCATTGATTCCATCCATGGATTAAGTTCACAACACAGCTGTCTTGGAGCCCATTCACTTTTATTCACTGAATAAGGGCCATTCACTAACTTAGCCCATTGAAGACTTCAGTCTTGTACCCGTTTCTCAAAGGTTAGAGTAGATACAGAACTTAACTTTTCAGTTCACATTAATGAAGCTGAAGTACTTAAATATATTTGTATTTAAATACAAAAGTCAAATCCCAGGAACTGTCCTTGCCATACCTTTTGCAGGTCCGTTTCTCTATGTCATCTGCATTGATTCAGCTCTAAACTAATCTAGCTCTGAGCATGTAAAAGACCAGATGGATGCACATGTAAAATGTGACTGACTTCTTACAAGGGGAGCCTAAGGCCCAGTTCTTTTGTAGTTGTTGGACAGCACTCTTCTCTACGTTTAGAGGATCAGAGTGAATGACTTGTGAGTGATCTGCAGTTCTAACTCCATCCATGGATTCTCCTTTCACTTGTATGAAAAGTGGCAACTGGTTCTGCAGTACCCCTCCCAATTGTCATTTCTTTCTGCATTCTTTTTTTCTTTCTCATATCCTTTCCCCTTATTTTCCCTTAAGAATAGCAAAGTTATATATATATATATATATATATATATAGACACACATAAAGAAATGGAGAAATTTCCAACAGCATCTTTAGTTTTTATTCTAAGAGCAGCTTTCATAGGACTATGGAGGGCTTCAAAAATCAACCAGTCCAACTTCCTAGAGGCAGGAATTACACAAGGACAAGACCTAATTGTGCTTTGGATGGAGGCAGAACTTGAATCCAGGTTTCCTGACTCTCTGTCCAGTTCTTACTTCTCCCCACCTGACTTCCCATTAGCCCTCCATGTGTGAGTCTTGCAGGCAATAGCCCAAGTCTGTGGCCCTCTCATCCACCTCTTTAAATCTTCCCCAAAGCAATAAAATAGCTCTTTCCTTAAAGTGTTCTTTGAGCCTTTTGGAACATTTTATTGTAGAGCAAGCTATGCTTGGACTAATGAAGATTACTTTCAATCTATATGTAGTTATTTCATACAGCTAATGAACTCTTAAATGGTTATTATCATTTAAGAGTCTGTTTTCAATTTTAAAGAATTGCTAAGTCTTTGCTAATGATATGCCTAATTCTGTAAGTTCTGAGTAGGTCTGGGAGTAAAATTCCAGTATGGGAGATTTTCAGAATTCTAGTGCTTCAAAAGCAAATTCAACAACTTCTCTTCCTTTTTATCTCTTCTTTTAGTCTTTTGCCAAAAATATTTTCTAGCTGAAGACTGATCCTTTTCCTGCTGAGTTATATTTAGGCTACTCTGAAGCTCTCTTCATACTCCAAGGGAAGAAACGGGGGCTTGCAGAGGTCAAGAGTCCCAGGTTATTTAGAGAAAAACAACATCCTAGAAAACTGATCCACATTTATTTATTTCTAGCTCCACATTTTTTACAACATTATGCCAGGTTCCCAAGTTTATAGGCACCTATTTTGAGAAATGTCATTTATTTATAAAACACTAAATCTTGTGTAGGAGCCACATCCCAAAGAATAAACCAGAGATGTAAATGCAATTAGAACAAGGAAGAAATAATTTTGGTTCATACCCAGTAGAGCAGTAATGTTCCAACAAACTGGATTATGCCATACATGGTCAAGTACTTAAATATCCCAAAGGATGAAACCAGAGCAGCTCGGCCCTCTCTGTTAAAAATAAATAAAAATAACTGGTTATGTATGCTACACATCTCCAAGTCATTTCAAAGGGAGTTCAATTTTTAATAGCCTGTTGATATATATTCACTTAATCATCGATTGATCTTCTATTTATTTAACCATTCACCCATTCACTCATTCATTCATTCATCCATCTGTTCATTCTCTCCTTCAATCATCGCCTCCCTCATTGTTTCTTGACTCACTTTTATTTAGGTCTTATGAGGTACTAGCATTACACTATCAGTCATGAAGGATGTAAAATGAATCCAATACAGTCTTTTCCATGAAGAAAGAAGATTAGCATGTATATTATAAACACAATGCAGCATTATGATAAGGTGCAAAATGTCAAGCATTGACTTCATGATAACTCCTTATATCTTAATAACATGCTTCCTGGAAATTGTGTGTGTGTTTTAGAGGCTCTTAGATGCATAAATCTAAAGGATGGGTACTCTCAAATTTTAGGAAGTGTAAATGTGACAAATAGTTGAAATGGAATGGGTTTTTCAGGCTTTGATATTCCAGGAAGACCAGGATAATAATCTGACCTTGCATGCAGATCAAAAGATCAAGGCTGCTATAAAAACTGCAGCTTAGAAAGTAGACATTCCCCCCTTTTAAAAATTCCATTTAAGCTATTCATTTTTTTCGTTCTTTTTTATTAGTGTATATAAATCATACAAATGGCTTTGTTATAATATTTCCATACATGCATATAATATCTGTGATCAAATTTACTCTCTCTGTTACTCTTTCTTAACCCCTTCCCCCCTTTTTGAACAAATTTTAACAGGTTGCATTATTCTATTTTGAAACAACTGAGCTTTGTTAGATGGTGGATGGGTCATGGCAGCCAGCAGGAGGCAATGTGAGGAAGCAGCATGTGTCAAGTCTGCAGCCTCTTCTTATCAGGACATAAATCCACATGAGAGGGACCCACGTGCACTTTTTTCCTAATCCCCAGTGACATGGACACCTGCTCTGCTCAAAGGTTTTGTTAACCAAACAGGAGCATGAAACGGAAGACCTAAAAGCCGAACTACTAACCACTTTGCCTTGGAAAATATAAGATGGTTAAGTGTAGAGATGAGCCATGTTCCACCAGGCTGGGAGGTGCTACCATTTGTTTTTGACACAAAGGACTGAGCAGAAACAAGCTGACAAGAAGCAAGTATGTGAAGCCTGAAATGTTTTCCCAAGTCTGACATAAACATTATGATTCTATCCTTTTTCTGCAGTTGTACTTAATTCCACCAAGATTCGATAAAAAGTGCAAAAAAACATTCTAAGCATAGGGTAAAAGATGTTTCTATAGGCCTCTAAAATTACTGACATTGTTAATGATTATAAATTTTAGGCAGCTCACACGTTTACTCATGCATTCAGTAAATATTCATGTAAGGTGCATTGCTTGATACAGAAATGAATAAGATGCAGTCCTTGCCCTAAAGGACTTGAACTGTATCAACTTCATGCTTCAAAAAGGATGAAAAAAAAATCCTGTGGATCCAGACCTATGCATCCAAGTCTGTACCTCACTGCCCACCCCCACACCAGGAGTACTTTCTCAGGAATAAGCTTTCATTAAGAACTGCAAAGGGTAAAATGAGCTGAACCATATCTAATTTTTATGAATCTATGAAATATAAAAGCAAAGAGTTTCTACCCTGAAGTCTTTCTAAGCCTTCTGTCACTAGAGAAATTTCACATCATGACTTGTGTTTTAAAACAGCACATTGCATTCATAAATGCATTGGTACATATGCATGATGAAAAGCACCTGAAGTTCAAGTGTCAACATTTTGGATGGATCAGGTAGACCTACAGAGCCCTCCTTGCATGCTCTCCAGCTTAACTTCCATGACTCCCATCTGAGAATACCTGCCCAGCTGGACTAACTGCCCCAACGTACACCCTCCACTTACAACCCTGTTTCTAAACGGGAAGCTTCTCCATTTTCTCACCTAGAATTCCCTCTCGCCTCCTTTCTGTTTACATAAGTCCAATTCACCCTTTAAGTCGCTGAACTATCCCTCATGGCTTAGGTTCTTACACTTAATTTACTGAACATAGATATGTTGTCTGGATGTTAATTTATTTAAGACAATTTTATTGAGCACCTCTCATTTTACATCAGATATTTTCTGTGTGTGTATATATATATATACACACACACAGTATATATAAATATATACTGGAATTTAAGTTATTTAGGGCAGACTCTGTCTCATTCTTTGTTCACCCTATTTCCAAACTCTGCAAAGACAAATCTGTAAAACTTAATGCCTGTTTGATTATAGGTGAAGAAGAAGAAAGAGTTAAAAGTACTCTGAGGTTCTGAACCTCCATGCCTGACTCTAGGGACCAAATCTTCCTTAAAAGCAGGAAACATAGAGTTGGGAAGAATTGCTGCTTAGAGGTGGAGGGGGTGATGGTGTCTGAGGTTGGGGAAGGACACAGGTATAGGGTTCAAGGACATGTGTCAAGCTGTCTTGCTGATATGCATCCAGAGGCATAGAATATTAGGGCTGACATCTTCCTGCCAGTAACCTGTTAGCTTTAAAGCACCAACAGACATAATGGAAAATTTCATGGTTATCCTTTTTGTGTAAATCTCAGAATTTGATGATGACTTCCAGACCCTGACCATGGAGATGCCCAGAAGTTACCCCAAGTGCTACAGAAAGCAATAAGGGAAATATTTATGGGTAAAATATGACCTAATGTTTCATTCTTAAACACATTTAAAATAGAAGTAGAGATAAGATCAGAATTGAAAGTGGAGTGAAGGAGGTATACTGAGAAAATAAACTGTTCTTCCTTCCTTCCCTTTGCCTAGTCAGATGTAGTATCTTTTATATCAACATTTTGGATATTTGGGAACTTTCATTTTAGAGACATACAACAGTATTTGGACAAGCTATCTATTGATGTCTGCTTTCTGCCTTCTCACTCATCCTAAACTCCTGAGAGAACTATTCCAGGAACATATGTCCCACCATACAAAATGAAAGAGAGAAGAAGAAATGCAATCAGGTTTTAAATATCAAGTCAAACTTTCAACTGGTCACATGACACATCACCTTATTCTTTAAATCTCTGCAAAATTAACTTTTTTTGTGGCTTATTCTCAAGCAGCACTAATTGCCCCTTAATTGGTGCTCCAAAAGAACTTCACCTATACCTATGTCCTGACATTTATGACCTTAAGTTAGCATTGAATTCTGTCCCTAGAGTCAGATGACGAGCCTGCTGGTCAGGGAGATAGAAGAGAAACCAGTGTCTTACCTGATCAGATGAGGCACACACTCGATGTTTGCTGTTTTTGAGGTAAAAGGCGATGCCACAGATGCTTCTTGCTCTGATAGTGAGATGCCTGCATGAGCCATTTTCAAAGCCTGGAATGATCCATTCATGTGAACCCATGACTCCTCAGGCCAGGCTCTAACTACTCAAACACCAAGAGGCTGTTCATCATATGACTGAGTTATAGCACTGTACCCAGCCATCTCTGGGTCTCTGTTCATGCTATCTTTATACCTGGAATGCCCTAACTCTCCTGACTCACAAAGTCACCAGTGAAAGAGGTGCTAACGAGACAGTAATCCACAGGTAGAAGAGTGGTATACATGTATGCTTGTGAATGTTTGTATGTGTTTCCACACATGTTTACATTATTTACTGGCTGGCAGGACTTTGTTCTAAACTCTATATGACTAGTAGGAATGAGTATTAGTCTAGATTTTAAACAGCAAACAAATGACTAGCTTCTCAGGAAACACAAAGCAGAAAAATTTTAAATGAATTTCTAAGTATGAACACAGTTTTTCACAGAACTTTGGAGATAATATTCAAGAGGAAAGTAAAACAAATACACAGATCTTAACTATCTAAAAAGCTTTGAAGATACAAAGCAATCATAGTCTTCATTTTTTTTCAGTGTTGTGGATCAAGCCTTCACATGTTAGGCAACACCCCCAGCCCTCTCTTTCACTTCTTTAGCTACCAAAATATTTCATTATGTACATAATAAAGGTAGACTCTTGTTTCAAGCATATTTTAAAATTCAAAATATAAAACATGTATGCAAAATAATCTGAGAATCACTTAATTTAGGTTTTGCTATAGTATGTAATGACAAAATTGTTTAGTCTAGAAATTCATAGAGTATAAGTGTTTTTTGGTAGAGCTAGCTTTAAAAAATTACAACCAGAGGGGAAAGTTGATGGAAATAAAATTTACACATAATTCATAACTTTAATCATCAGTTTCAAACTAAGGCTTTATCAACTATGTGCTCGCTAGCAAAAAACACTTCACCTCCAAGACACTTCATTTCCTTACTGCTAACACAAAAGATTTAAACCAGCTAATCTTGCAGAGTCCCTGCTGGGTCTGAAATATGGAAGTCTACGTAGTGTCTGCTTGTCTTGGTTATTCTAGAAGCTCCCAGAAAACAGCTGAAGTAACTCATCTCACTCTACTTCTTTCCACTACCAACCCACGCTCAGGTAGCCTGGGCATACACAGCAAAATGATCAAGTGGCTGCCAGTGAAAGGATAAAGAGTCAGAACCCAGGGGACTTTGGGTGTTCAAGAGAGACACTGATGAGCTGTCTGTGACAGCAGAACTTATTCCTACTCACCCCACAGTCATTGGCTCCATCTCCACACATGCCCACATAATAACTGCAGGGAAAATAATACCAAAAATTAATAGTTTAACAGCCCTCTTGACTCATTTCCATCATAGCAGGCTCACACATGATTTGTGTGTATGTTGTGTGTGTGTGTGTGTGTGTGTACTGAACACACAGGGGATCAAGCTGAAGGATAATGACTTGAAGAGACATAGTCTCAGAGGAAAAAGGCCATTGCGTTATTTAAATTGTTTCAGTCAATCACACTGAAAAGGTAGTAATACTGCCAAGGACAAAGGCAAAAATAGTAATCACACACTTCAGAAGAAGTCTTCTTTGATTACATCCATGAAGGCCAAACTCAAGACTATGCAGTCGTGATTATAGCACTTCCCACACAATCTAACACAGAGATGTCACCTAACCTGGCTGTGTTTTGATTGCTGACTGCTGTTGGGAGTTCAGAGTTCACATACTAGGATGAGAAACATTTGGGATGTAATTTAACTGATTTAACTAGAGACATTCACACATATTCCTGAGGCATCTCAGAGTGACAATGAGACAATATGCTCCCCATCAATAGCACCTTGATATGTAAACAAAATACGAATAGAAGAGTAAAACTGAAAGCTGCTGCCAGGGAAAAGGAAGTTCTGATGTAAGACACTGTCTCTTATTACCTCCATTATAGGTATTGATTAATGGCAATACTATAAAAGAGCTAGTGGCATTTTTTTCCAAAAACAGGTAAAACTATAAAATCAATAAAGGGTAAAAGTAAAGTTAAAAAAAAAGTTAAAGTTCTCTTAAAATATTCTTTATATTAGTTGGAACATAAGAAATTATCCCTCTATAGATCAAAATAGTGAAATATAGACAAATTCATATGGTTTGGCCTAATATGGGGCTGGATTGAATATTGGGCAATAATACTGGATGAAATCACCCTTAAATATTTACATGCCTACTATTTCACTACATATAATTGTCAAAAATGCATTTCTTTCTTCACACTTAAAGTACGTTCCTAGTCTCTACTTGACACCATCATCTTACATCTTCTGGTGGCCCCTGAATTCAGAAAGAGAACCTAGATATTGCCAATGATAAACCATGAAGAGGAAGATAGAGAAATTGAGAAGACAACTCATTCTGAGATAGCATGTGTCTTCCTAAGTTAATTTTGCTTTAGGGAAATATAGTTTTTCAGAATTATGCATTTAGATTAACAAAATTTCTTAGGCATTTGAGACAGGTGAAATTACAGCCAGTTTAGCAAATATCATGTAATGACCACGTTAAGTGAACTAGTCGCTTTAGATACTGGAGACTTACTCCGTCTTAAAGTATTATAGGAGTCAATAGGCAGTGTTTGAGTCTCCTGATTTCACCTATTTACCAGCAATTGTCCAGAGTTTCACTACTTTCTGTTCCTTTTCACTTTCCCCAAAATCTTCAAGCCAGAAACTACAACATTCCCAAAAAGTAATAGGTGGATCTGGTTTCAGCCACTTCGTCATCTGTGTTTTTGAAGGAGGTAAGAGAGGACATTTCTTTGACATTTCACTTCTTGCCAAGAACACCAGAAATTCTGCACCTATCTTCTAATGGACCAACCTTATAACTTTAGAATATAATTCATCTACTTTCCCATTTTTCCATTCTAAGGTATTACCGCCTCCCCCCACCACACACATTATTTCTTTCTCCATATTTAAGTAAGAGGTCTTCCAATACAATATGCTCTATGGGCCACAAAACAAATGCTCTTGGGGGCAGGTAGCTTCAAAATGACCCTCACTGGTCTCCTGCTTCCTGGCACTCATGTTGTGAAATCCACTCCCTTGAGTGTAGACTGGACCTAGTACTTGATTTTAATGAAAAGAAGACACTTAACATCATGTTAAGTGAAATAAGCCAGGTTCAGAAAGACAAAGGCCACATGTTTTCTCTCATATGTGGAAGACAGAGCCAAAAGATAAATGTACACACAAAAACAAACATGGTCAGATATACATTTAAATAGAGAGCACATTTGCAATAGTGGAACTACTCTATGGAACTCCAGGTAGGAGGCAAAGGAGAAAAGAATGACAGAGAGTCAACGATGTTAAAATACATTGCATTTCTGCAGGTAGATGACAAAATGATACACGCTGAAAGCTATAGAATAATATGGGGAAGGAGGAAAAGGATAAGGGAGAATAATAGAAGGTTGAACTGACTCATGTACAGTATATTCACACCTAAGATACATGGAGAAACCCCTTTAAACACTTGCTTAGGAATTAAAAATTAAGCCAGGGACTGGGAGCTGGTGGCTCATGCCTGTAATCCTAGCTACTCAGGAGACAGAGATCAGGAAGATCATGATTCAAAGCCAGCTCAGACAAATAGTTCACGAGACCCTATCTCGAAAGTACCCTTCACAAAAAAAGGGCTGGTGGAATGGCTCAAGGTGTAAGCTCTGCTTTCAAACCTCAGTACCACCAAAAAAAAAAAAAAAATAGGTCTGGGGTGAAGAGATACTAGGAGAGGAAGGGTGAATGGAAAAAATGAAGGAGGGTGAATATGGTAGCTGTGTTTTGTATACATATATGAGATAGAACAATGAAACCTTTTGCAATTGTTTAAAGTGGAATGAGGAGAGGAATGAAGGGGGAAAGATGGTGGAGGTGAACCTAACCAATGTTTAGTATAAGGCTATTCAGAAATGTCACGATAAATCCCCCTCTGTACAATTAATGTATGCTAATAAAAATGAAAAAAATGTAAAAAAAGAAGACAGAAAACATCAATTCTGAGATTAAGATTTGAAAAAACAGCAATCTCTCTCTCTCTCTCTGTCTCTCTCCTTCTTCTTCTTCTTCTCCCTCTCCCTCTCTCTGAAGTAAACCAGTGGCTACATTATGGATTGTCTGTGAAATGGCACATGTCTCAAGGAATTGAGGGTGGTTTCTTCCAACAGTCAATGAAAGATTGAGGCTCTTAGTTCAAATATCCAAAGTAACTGAATCCATTCAACCACATGTGAGTAAGGCAGATGGTGGGGCAGAGCCATCCCCACTGAAATCTTCAGAACACTGTACTCATGGTTGACACCTGATTACATCCTGTGAGAGACCCTGAACCAGAGACTTACTGAGCCACACCTGCATTCCTGACTCTTGGAAATATAAAGTGATAAATGGTGCTATTCTAAGCCACTACAGATTGACAGAATTCGTTATGCTGCAGTAGATAGCAAATACATTCTCCTTTCCATGGCATACCACCTACTTTAATTTCTGAAATTCTTCAATAAGACTTGATTTTTGCGCAGGAGACATTCTTGCAAAAATGGTTCCATTTACCAGAATCTAAAGAGAAAAATAACCATTGCAATAAGATTAGGGAAAAAGATCATTTTAAAAATGGAAGTCCTGAAAAATCATTTCTGCTTACTGATTTAATATAGCATTGGGTGGTGTGTCATTAGACCTAATGTCAGGAAAGGGAATAAAGGGATTTAATGCTTTAATATTGAACTTTCACTTTAAGTCCTCCATCACAACTCTATTACTTTTTTCCAGACCATTTTTCCAAGATGTGGTGACCTCTAATTAATAATAATAACTAAGAAGCAGCAGAGCATAGGAATGAAAATATTTAAGGCAATGCAGCTGTATTTACTAGATACTATCTCTAGAGTTGCTGCATAGGCAGAGAAAATAGCAAAAAGACAAGAAGTTGAGAAACAAGGTTCTGTTCTTAGCTGTGCAAACCTTAGACAAGGGACTTAGCCTCTCTGAGTTTCAGCTTGCCATCTCCACAATGAGAAACTGGACAAAAGAGCTTTATATAAGGCTTTAGTCTGGATTCTTCTGTTTCTGACTGGTAAGGTGACCAAATTTTTCAAACTCTGCTAACAGATGGTTGCTGCCCTCAGCTTTTGCTCCATTTATTTTCTCAACATGGATAGCACAACCCTGCACAGCACTATTTTAAAATAGGACACGAAGAGGACAAGATAACAAATGATTTTGAAAATAAACCACGGGGCCTTTTGTTTCCTCCTGATGTAATTAAGAATCCAGACAAGAAGGGAATGGAGATTACTTGACATGAGTTGGTGGCTTCCAGACAGGATGACCTATTAGATAGGAAGCATGTTTGGAACTCTCTGGAAGGTCTCCCTGAGGGGAGGGAATGAAGGAGGGAGGCTGAGATTGAATTGGACATAGAGGTAGGAGGATGTACTATAACACAAACTGAAGAGAAACCGAGTGTGTGCAGGGCCAGGTGGGAGCAGGCAGGATCAGGAGCCTTCTGCAGGAGCAGGGGCCCTTCAGAAGCCCTCTCTAACTCTATCAACCTCCGTGATTGTCACTTTCATTGTCTCCCCCACTTTTTATCTTACTCATATGAAGAGCAAAACAAAACACTTAATTTCTCCAGTACTTACTTTTGGGAGCAAGCTGTAGAAATGCTGAAATATCACTTGGTATGTTTTCCCACTCATTGCAAAATGGTAACGGCTTCCTCTGTCCCCATCAGGTATGGAACTGTTTCCGGTGTTAATGTAGGTCTCCTAAAATCAAGAGGGCATTATTTCTACATTGATTCTCAAGGACTGTCTCTGCTTTCCCGTGTTTCATGGAATACAGTATGCTCTTCTTGCGTAACAAAGTGAGAGTCAGTTAAAGCAGAAGTGTAACTTGCTCAGGGAATTTTGACCTCTAGGAAGAGAACACTCAAAATGTCCCCCACTAATTTTATGAAGATATGATACTCAGACACCATGGATTTTCCTGGAGATAAGCTTTGTGGTATCAGTCTACTGGGGAAATCATTCCAAGGTACCAACTGGTAATTATAAGAGCAGGAAACTTCTTCCATTTCATCCTTCTCCTGATGCAACCTCGTTTCCTGAAAGCTCTTATATTCATTTGTTCAGTTTCTTCAGTGTATAGTAGCAGATGCTTTTTTTTTTTTATCACCTAACTCCTTTTAGCACCTGACCTCTGACTTCTGTTTTGTGACCCTACCAAAACAGGTGACCCCTATCCTCATGGCACCCAGATCCTCTTCCACACCATACATTCCATTACACCAGCACTACTCCTTTTCCCAAACCTTCCCCCTCCTACCTGTGTTCCCTTCTCTGTTCCCACCCCACCTGGCTCCCTGAGGGGAGAAAGCCTATGATGACACTTATGTAGCTATGTCAGTAGCTAATAATGTTTTTTTCATACATTTCTCTGAAGGCCTTATGTTTTTGTAGGACTCTAAATTCAAATAGTATAGGAGGTGGGAACATTTCCTTCACTAGAGAAATTCATCTCAGGGAAAGCTTTGTGTTTGGAAGTAAAAAAAGCTGCTATGCTGAATTGGGAGGCAAGGTTAAGACACTGCTAATTGCAAAACAACTAAGATAAAAGGAGCAATAAAACATTCCACAGAAACAAGGACAGGAATCTCCTTTGCTTGTATGAGGAAGGTGGGGAGAGGAAATATGGTAGAGAGAGCCAGAGAGGAGAGGAAGGCTAGACTGTGATGCAATTTCACCCAGAGATGATCAAAACTTCCGAAAAGGTATTAAACTCATGGATAAGTAAGGTGAGGGAACCGTTCATTAAAATTAGTGAAGGTCCTAAGTTCCATCACACAGTGAAATCCAGGCAACATGCATCAATGCAGATGCAAAGCAAGTGGGTTCACAAGGAAATTAGCACTGAAAATCTGCTGAAAGCAATGAGAAAGCTGTCGTCTTGGCGACTGAGTGGGGCCAAACTAACCCGCCTCTTCCCAGGGAAGGGACCAGGCCACTCTATATAGTTGTGTAGTTTGTGTACTGTACAAAGGCCCACTCTATACTGAACAATCAGAAAGGCTGGTCAGTCTGGAGCAAGGGAGCATTTCTGTCCTTCATCACCTGGAGGGTCATCTCTTTGAAGTCACATAAAAGCACAGGTACTGCATTTAGTGATGGAATGTCAGGCTGTGGCCATTCTCACATATGAAAGAGATTTTCTGTGCCAGGTGCACAGCAAATCTGTACTCTACTCTGTAGAGAAATCCAACACCTGTCGACTTCATGTCACAGGCACAGTATAAACTAAATGCTTATGGATTTTTCGGAATCAAACAGAACTGAGTCTGATTTCTGCTGTGCAACTCACTAGTTTGTAGGATTACTTCTCTGAGCCTGTTTTCTTATTTGCAAAATGAACAATTCACCCAACTGCATACGGTTATTATGACAATTAAATGGCAAACATGGTCATCATTTGGTGGTTCTCAGCCATGACTGCACATTCTAGCCACTGGTAAAAGGGGCTGATGCCACCTTCTACCCTGGGGATTTTGATTTATCGGTGCAGCCTGCATTCGGAAGCTTGAAAAGTCCCCCAGGTGGTTGTGATGTGCAACTAGGGCTGAGAAGTGCTGCTGGAGATATTTTGTAAACTGTGGCCCTCAGGACAGATGTGAGGGAGTTTTACTGCGATGACTTTAGAACTAAGACAGCTGTGTGTCCATTTGCCATCAGCGCAGGCCCAGGGCAGGGGAGCTTCTACATTTGCTCACATTCTTCCTAGGTCCCATCTCTTGGCTCTCTACCAGCTGCCAGGTCACAGAAGCAGGAATAAGCTCTTCTGGCTCATTGGCTTCCACAATGATGATTTGGCTGCCCGGAGGAATCATTTCAGAATTCTTTGCAACTGTAATAGCTGTTTGTAGATTGTCACCTAAAAGGCAAAGAAACCATGATTGTTTTAAGCATAAACCTCCTATCAGCACCCAACATTAAATTATCTCTTTTCTCTTTCACTTTGCTTCATGCTTTCGGGGGTCATTTATTGCTTTCTGCTTTATTTTGTAATCATTTGCCTTGTCCTCTACCCAAGACTGCCCACCACTAGTGAGCAAACACAAAAAAGTCCACATCAGTCTTCCACAACATTTAGCATTGTGTTAAACCAAAACACGCATAAGTGAGTGGAAGAATGTTTAAGCTCTTTATAAATAGCTATCCTCAGAAGCAGATAGCTCTTAGTAGTGACCATAATACAATTCCAGTCCTGATAACATAAGGCCATCCTTGGGCTCTGGATCCCAGTTAACCAGAGAAAAGAACACTGAGGGCCAGGCCATGCTTGCGTTTGCTGCCCACATGATACCTGGTCTTCTGCCCTGGGGACCATCATCCATAGCTTACATCCTTCGTACAGAGATCTCATTGGGATTTTTAATAGCACATATGTTCACATGTTTAAACATTCATTATGAGTCTATTGGCACTGTACAGATTCTTGATAAGAGGAATGGACGTTAGACAAAAAGAATAAGATGTGGTTCCTGCCTCTAAAGCTCCTGGGATATCTGGGGGAGCTACACAGGTAAGTCAACCACAAGGAACAGAGTCAAGAGCAGAACATCTTCCTTTCTGCCTCCATCACATGAACTCACTCAGCTCACACATCTTTTCCTTATGCCTAGGATACAGTCAACTTGCCAGGCCTCTGAAACAAACATACCAGTAACCATCACAGTCCGGATGCAGGCCTCGCTCAGTTCCTTCAGGACTGGTTTGGTTTCCTTTTTCAGGCGATTCTCCATTATGAGAAGTCCCAAAAATGTTAACTCTGACTCCACTGTCTCCCTTTGGATTCAGGAGAAAATCAATATTAAAGCATAGCTATATATATATTTATTTATTTTCCTTTCCAAAAGTATTTTTCTATATTTTATTAATGCACTTTTACAAAAATTAAAAAGAAACCAAAGCTCATAATGAAAATCTAGTCCTGTTTCCACAATACCTCACACCTTTTTTCCTTCCCAGAGACAATCCCTTGTAAATCTTTTAGCTAGTTATTCTAGTTTTCAACTCCATTAAAAAATGTTATTTTCCAACTCTTCCATTATTTTTTAAAATTACATTAACCTTATATATATTTAAATTTCTATGATCTTTCTATCTTTTTCGACTTTGTGATAAAAATATCAGTTTATTTTACATGTGTTGGGGCACTCTGCATAGAAGACACTGTAGTAAGTTGAATATGGGTCCATTCATTTTAGCCTGTAACTGTCACTTCTGGTCAATCTATGGCCTCCACTCAGTTTCTGATGAGTTTTCAAAGTTGAAGCTGGAGGCCTGGAGTCTAAATGGGTTACATCATCTATGTAGGACCTCTCCTCTGAAATGGAAAGAATCTTAGTTGGCTCCTTTTAATACTCATTTTTTAATTGTACAAAACAGGGGGTTTTACATGCATGGAACATTCTTTGATCACATTTACCTTCTCCATTACCTTTTCTTACTCCCTCCTCTTTTCCCCCTCCACATCCTTAGTAGTTTGAATGACTTTTTAAAAATTAAACTTGGACCAAGAACTTTTCCTGATCCTTCACTATTCATTTTTCTGTGCAGAGTGGAGTTAAGCTTGAAGGAAAGAGGAAGGGACAGGAGAGGGAGAGACAAGGATCCAACTTCTCTGCCTACTGCCAGGTAACCCAGTTGTCAGCCTGAATCTCATATCCACTTCCCACAGCCTAGTTGTCTTGGCTTTCTCTGGTTCCATGGGGTGAGTCAGCTTTCCTCTTGCTATTTCCTTCTCTGGCTGTGGTGTGAGCTCTGGATCCTTCCACCCTGCTGGCTGTGGTGTGAGCTCTAGATCCTTCCACTCTGCTCATTCAGCTACTGCTGCACCACCTACTTTAATCTTACACAATGCATCAAAATCTCTCATCTGCACTTGTCACTTCTCCAGTCTCCTTTGGTATTGTCTCTCTATCATCCTGTTAGGCATTCTGTGGAGGGAAGGAAAATAACCCACATGATAGGTAAGCCTTCTTTAAGACAAAGACCATAGTTGAATTCTTGATGAGAAATATAATTCACACTTGAATGGGAACACAGTGAAGTAACTTTTCTGTGGAATAAAGTACAAGTTATTCCATCATTTGTTCAAAAGTTCACTTACTAAATAACTATTTTGTCTTAAACCTTAAAGTAGGGACTTTGGTAGATTCTTTACTAGTATCAGTATCAGAGAATACTATTCAAGAACATCTATCTTAACATGGAATTTATTATAGACTCTTCCCATCATTTAACTTTCTTCTTTCCCTCATAAATTGGATTAATATTTTCTAATTAATTAGAGTTAAAAGATCCAAAAATTTTACCAAATTGTTTTTTGTTAGATTTATAAATTATTTAGTTTTATTTTAATAGCTTTCTTGAGGTGTGGTTTTATACAAAAACTGCACATATTTAATGTGTAAAATTTAATGAATTTAAACAATATGCACATATGTTTACAACCATTACCATCATCAAACTAGCAAACACACCCATTGTTTCCAACAGTGTCTTCCTTCTCCTGCTTGTTTGGTTTTCCTTTCTTTTTAGGACCAAATAATATTCCATTGCATGTATATACCACAGTTTCTTTATCTATTCATCCATTGATGGACATTCAGGCTGTTTTTTATATCTTAGCTATTGTGAATAAAGCTGCTGATTCCAATTCTTTTGGGTATATGCCTGGAAATGGAATTAAGGGATTGCTGGATTATATGGCCATTCTCATTTTAACTGTTTGAAGAATATCAACATTATTTTCCATCACAGGTTTACCATTTTACATCCCCACTAAGTGTACATACCGTCCAACTTCTCCATATTCTCACCAACATTTTAATCAACCATCCTAATGGGCATGAGGTGATCCATTGTGGTTTTGATTTGTATTTCACTGATAATTAGTGAAGCTGAAAGCTTTTTCATGCACCTGTTGGCCACTAGTCTACCTTATCTGGAGAAATGTCTATTCAGGTATTTTGCCTATTTTTTTAAGAAAAAAATCAGGCTATTTTTTATATTGAATTATGTTCCCTACACATTTTGATTATGAATTCCTTATTATATATATGGCTTGAAAATATTTTCTCCCATTCCATAGGTAGTTGTTTCATTCTGTTGATTGTTCCCTTTGCTGTGCAAAAGCATTTTAATATCATGTGCATATGCAAAATATTGAAAACAGACCATGCACCATACACAAAGACCAACTGGAAATGGATTAGACTTAAACATAAGATTGGAAACTGTGACACTCCTAGGGGAAATTTTTCTTGAGATTAGTCTTGGCAGTGATTTCTTGGGTATGACACCAAAAGCACAGGCAACAAAAGCAGAAATAGACAAATGGGGTTTTTTTTTGTTTCATTTTACAAGTCTTCCTCTCATTCACTGCTTCAGGCACTTTGGTCTCTTACTGCTCTACAATATTGCCAGCTATACTGTGTCATGGCCTTTGCACCCACTACTTCTATTCCCTGCATATCTCTGCATCTGGAGAGCTGGTGCCTTGCTCATTTTACTCATATCTCTGTTCAAACATTGCTCCTCAGGGGACTCTGCTGATCATCCTATGTAAAATGGCACTCCATCTTTTCAAAAATTCTCTTACGAATGACAGGACTGTAAAATAGGTCCAGTGTATGTGGAGGGGAGAGCACTTGTGTGTGTGTAGGGTGGGGGTGTGGATGAAGGATATTGAGGCAAGGGAATATGGTGGGTGGATTTCATATACTTATGCAAAATAGAACAAAGAAATCTCTTCAATTGCTTTAAGTGGGATGGGGAGGGGGTTGAGGAGGCAAGACAGTGGGGGTGATCTAACCAATTACAATATAAGCCTATTCGGAATTGTCACAATGAATCCCCCTTGTACATGAATATATTCTTATTAAAAAATTCTCTTAACTTGCTTCATTCCCCCTATCCCCTCAGGGCATTTAAGAATCACCAATAAGACAATATTTTATAGATTTGCTTTATTACCTGTTTTCCCCAATTGATACAGGATTCTGGAGGGCAATGAGTTTTATTCACTTCCAAATGAACCCAAAGTTACTTCAAATATCTAACACATAGTAAAGGACAATAGAAATTTGCTAAATCAATGAAGGGGTGAATCTTGATGTATTTGTTTTGTTTCTCAGTTTAAAATAATTTTTTACTAAACAACCTCAACACATTCTTTTACCTCCCTTTTAATGACTCTAATTTTTAAGAAGCTTTTGATTTTCTCGATTGGAAAACAGCTAAATATAATCTGATTCCAATAAAAATCAAAACTCTATCCCTTTACTCTGTTTGAAAATAGTATCTAAATAATGTGCATAATGTACTCCTGATATCCCCAGGAAAGCATGTGATGGTTAGAAATCTAGCACATTTGATTATTTTGTTATATTTATAATAATGTGACTCTCAAATGAGAACACAGCTGCATTTGTACGTGGCAGCTGGGTGATGGCTACACTCCATTGCTAGCTATGTGAATCTTTTCTTCACACATGACCTTAACATTTTTTATTCAAATTTGTGCTTGAAATATTACAAAATCCCATGTGTTGTGGGCCTTTATGGTTGCCCAAGAATAGTCAACACCTGGAATGTTAAATAAAAGAGTATCATTCATATATTTCAAAATGAGCTATGTGATTCTATTCCAAAGTTTAAAGTGTCGCAGCTGATAGGTTGTTTAGAGACCATCGAATTCTACATTTTGTAGATGGGGAAGCAGGCACAGAGTAAGGAAGGGAAAATGATCCTGATTATCTCAGATAGACTTGGATTACAAGTAATAGTAAACCACGGGTATCAGTATCTTAAATGAAGGAGCTAATAATTTCTCAGTGAGGTAATACAGAATCATCTATTCAATTTCCCACAGCATTTCTTTACTCCTTTGTTATAGATAATTTTAAAACAACCATTAAAATATGAGGAACATTGAAAGAAAAAAATAATGTATAGATTACCTGTAATGAGAGCAATTCTTCCCCTTAATGTGCTTCGTAATATTTTATTTCTTATAAGGATTTTAATGTACACTCATTACCTCCTCAGAGCTGAGGGAGGTATAATATTGAGTCCTGAAAAAATCAAGTCTAATGGATTTTGGAAATCTTTCACATTTTCAACTGTTTCCTTCTCTTTCTCAGCTCCTTAGAGATAGCCAAATTTATATGAGGCACCTGGGTTTAATATGTGAGACACTGGGAAACCCAAGTCAGTCAAATAAGCTCAGAGGTGGAAGCAGAGTTGCTTGGTTTTGGAGGGCAGGATGTAGTGTGGGGAAGAGATAACACGTTATCTTGAAGTCGGAAATCTCTACTGACTCTTTGTTTTGCCGCCAGCCAGCAATGTGACCTGAGCAAGTCTTTCCCAGTCTTTCCTCAGTCTTCCTCAGTCTTCCCCTATCTTGCCTACAACTGCCCAACTCCCAATCAGAGAACTAGATGAGACTGTTTCTCCATCTCAAAGAGATTTCCTGGTGATGTGCATTGTCCATCTCTGGGACTCCTTCACTTCATGCACACATAGCCTGCCCTAGTGCTGGGTTCTGATTCCTTACCTTGCTAACTGCTCCACTTCTGAAAGCTTCCCCACCTTCAGGGGTCTATGGGCAAGAGCAAGGACACGGAAGCCTTGAACTGTGTAGCTCCTTAGTTCCTGGGGAAAATTCTCAGGCACTATCAGGAGAGAGAGAAGGAGTAAATATAAGTCATGCTGATGGCTGCCCTGGTGGTAAGCAACTTCAGGATGCTGTCACTATACTTTGTTTCAACTTTTACTTTATAAAGATGCTTTAGCAGGAAACTTACACCTTTAGCCAAAAGCCAGAAACAACCTCATCAAGATGTTCTTATCACTCTGATGGAAATAAATGCCAAAGATGTGTTAGTCATCAACTGTGCTATGGACTGAATGATTGTGTGGCCCCAAATTCACATGTTAAAGACTAATCCCTAATATGATTGTATTTGGAGGTGGAGCCTTTAAGAGGGATTTGGCCATGAAGGTGGATTATGAGTGAGATTATGACATAGTAAAACTCAAGAGGTTATCTTTCTTCACCATTGGAAGATACAGCAGGAAGGCTGCCATTTTCAAACCAGAAAGACAGACGTCCAGAAACTGAATTGTCCAGCACCTTGATCTTGGACAGCCAAGCCCCCAGAAGTGTGAGAGAGAAATTTCTATTGTTTAAGTCATCCAGTCTATGGCATTTTGTTATAATAGCCTACCCTGACCAAGACAAACTAGATGTTTTGATTGGGCTCTGGAAGGACAGACCTCAGGACTATTTCTACTTGAATGGAATGAGAAAAACAGCTGATCTGCTAGATCAGGGGTTGATAAACTATGGTGCACAGGCCAACTCTGACCCATTGATTATTTGTGTAAATAAAGTTTTATTGGAACACAGCTGTGCTTATTTGTTATCTATGGATGCTTTGGGATTACTGTGGCAGAGTTGAGTAGTTGATATAAATACTGTGTAACCAGAAGGCCTATCTGGCTCTTTATAGAAAAGTTTTTCAACCCCTGCTTGACACAATGCCAACATTTGTGTGTTTGAATAAACTCTTCATGGTTTATTATGTACCTATGTGAAGAGAATGCAGCACAATGGGAGGTGTAGTAGCCTAGATGGCAAAATAACAAAGTTCTATTCTCCATTCTATTCCTGCATAGCTTTCTGGCCTTGGCCATGTTAAGTCTGTCTTCTGTACCTCAGTTTCTCATCCACAAAATGAGAGGGTTGCAGATCCATATGTCCCTATTTAAATCTCAGAATTTCTGTAATTCCAAAATATTCCTGGAGATGAGAATCTAATTTCAAGGAAGCTTCTAGCGCTCCACTTCTCATATGCAGTTGGGGGGGTGCCACTGAAAATGGCATTAGCATATGTGAAAGATGTGGAAGATGAGTGGTTAGGACAGTAGGAAGAAATGAAAGGGCTGCCACAAGGAAAAGATGGTAGGCCCAGTCCTTCTTGATAGCAGAAGCAAAGATATTGTCTAGTTAATGTCAAGAAGATGCTCACTGTATCTGCATGGCTGGAACCAAACAGAACAAAGCCAAGTATAGTCTATAATCTGTAAAAGACAAGTTAATAGGATTTACAAGGCAGAACAAAGTCAGAAAAGAAGGGGGCACATCTTAGGTTACAATAAAAGACTCTAAATAGAGAAGCTAGAGCAATCATTTGCAAAATCTAGAATTCTGTGCACGAGTTGATGACTACCAGCAATCACAAGGAGAATGTAGGTGAAAATCAGGAGGAAAAAAGACAAATTTTATCCCAATGAACTCATTTGAATACAACAATATTCTTACAAATCTAGCTGACACTTAGAAGGTGCATATGTTTATGAGACTAAGAAATACTACAAATTGTCTCCAAATCTGGTCCAGAAGGATAAAATTGCTGTGAAAATGATCAATTACCTTCCTCTAATATCATCTAATTTACCCTCATTATGTTTTTTTCCCTAAAAGATTTACCTTCTCTATATTCTCCTTCCACTGATCTGTCTGAGCCCATAAAAGCTGAGCCATCTGCCCTTTCCCAGAGGCACCCCTGTCTGCAGAACTAGTCTGGTGTCCAGACTTCACCCTTGGTTCCCTCTGAATGCTCCTCATTCTTGCCCTCCTGGGTCTCTGGCTCTGAGTAGTTCCTTATTCTGCCTCCTGTTACTTTGTTCCCCATCTCCTTCCCTGGTGCCACACTGTGGCTGTACTTTTCTGGCTGGACCATGGTCAGATATTTACTCTCTGTCTCTGTGCCTTGAAATTATTGCCTCTGTCTCAGACCCCTTTCCACCCACCCCCAAGTGGCCTGCTCCACATTCTTTGATTTATGTGTTCTTTTGGTATTGTTGTGGTGGTGATAGTGGAGGGGTTGCTTTTTATTTGGCCTTTTAAAATATTTTACCTCTTGAAAGAGAAAAGTGTCACTACCTGTTTCAGATTTGCAGAACCTGACCACCATCTCTGGGGCACCCTTCATGTAGACATGGAAGTGACCTTCTCCAGCCAACTGAACGACCACAGACATCCTCTGCAGGCTTGAGGAAAATGGAAACTGGCGCAAGATGGTGATGGCTTCCACAGGACTCTGCAGGGACATCAAAGAAAGGGAGCTTAAAAAACTTCCAAGTGTTACTTAGCAGATGCATGCCAACAAAAAAGGGCTTACTCTGCCATGAACCCAGCCACACCATGAAGTAGTATATTTATCACAATGCTGTTTTTTTCTGGCTATTTCAGAGGTGACTCCCTCAACAAGTTGTCTGGTCTACTAGACAGATAACTTTCCCTTGGCTGCCTGAAGAAATCCTAATCACCTTTCAGGCTAAGCTCACCTTTTCTGTGATGCTTCTCTCTCCCAGAAACAGTATTTACTTCCACCTCTGGACTCCTGCAGCTCTTTCATCATCCTTTATTACAGCACTTGGCACACAATATTGCACTTATTTGCACCTGTATTGATTTCCTACCAAATGATATGCTCCTCCAACACAGAGCCCAGCACGTCTTGTTCTAAAGTCTAGCACAATATTACAGCATAGCCTACACCCAGTGAGTGAGTGTTGCATAAATGAATAATGAAATAATGAATTCAGGACTTAAGGAATGACCAAGCCAGTGATGGAATTTGTTAAGATACAGCTAAATTATCAAAAGATAAAAGCATGTGGAAGTCAGAGAAATCTCACCAGTTTTAAGGAGAAAGAGCTCTATGATTTAAAAAAGCAAACCATACCTGACTGGCTTTTGGTCCTGGTTTTATTATCGTGTTTGAGTCTGACATACCAAATTTGTAGGAGTCTATATTGCAGTCTTCCATTTTCTGTCATAAAATGAGAACATTTGTAAGATTCCTTAGAGTAAAATAAGAAAGAAATTTTTTTTTTATTTTCACATCACTCTAATCTTTTAAAAGCCTTTGTGTATATTTTCTCTTCCAGGACAATTACCTTAAGGTCATCATTGTCAAATTTTGTTGTGTTGATTTATAATAATGACCTTATTGTAGAATGCCAAAAGCCAAAAATATTGTGAATACATTCTATGTAGTAACTGATGGGAAAAGGACCAGATGAGTGTCAATGGCTCTTCTGAGTAATTGAGGGAGGGATTAAGTAGAGATCTATTCTCCAATACTGTGGAGCACGACAGCTCTTAGATGAGTTAGAACTGTGATCTGAGATAAACATGAGACTACTTCTTTATGCTGTATCTATGCTACTATCCTAATTTAGTTGAGACTTAGCAAGTTAGCTGCCAGCAAATTAGAATACACATTTGAAACGCTTGTTTGAATGTCACAAAGGTTAATACCACTGAGAAAGCAATATTAACCAATATTAAAATATGGGAAAGGCAATAATATATAAATAATAGTGAGCAGAAAATCAGTAGTGTCTGGTCTCCACTGTCACATACTGGCTTAACCCTGGGGACTTGATTTCTTAGATCTTAATTTCTCCTGAAGTTGAACTAAAATTCTTGTAACATATAGAACATTTTTCCTTCCTCTTATGTTTAGTGGAAGGTTCTTAACTAGCAAAGGATATTTTAACTCAAGACTTCTGACCCAGTGACTAAAAAATGAACAAATCTTGCATTTTTATGCTCTGTGTAGGTGGATACAACTGTTCTAACAGACAGTGCTTTTAGAGCTAATACAAAGATGCATGTTCACAAACAAGACCCCAATTTGTACGTCATTGGTACAGGTGGATTGATCCTCTATTCAGATGGAGAAAAGGACACTATTGGCACCAGGATCAAAGTCACATGCAGTAACAATGACTCTACAACTCATCTTTGTGTCAACTCCGGTGATGCTGGTAGGGGTATTCATTTGTAATAAGAGTACTCATTCATTTCCATTCAGATCCAGGAAACTGATTGCTGCTTTGTCTTTGTGTTAAAAATTTCTCCATATCAAGCGCTCTTATTTTAATTTCCTAATTTTAGAAATGTCATTTCTGGGTTTCTTCTTTTATTGATTTGGCTTCTAGAAATCTAAAATTTCTGTATTACTCATCCTTATAGTAGCCTTTTTGTGGGGTGTACTTCATGCCCCTGAAATAATTTGTTTCCATTTTTTAACAAATCTGTTTAATTGCAGTTCTAGCCTGGCATGGTGGCACACACCTGTAATCCCAGTTCTCAGGAGACTGAGGCAGGAGGATCTCAAATTTGAAGCCAACCTGGGCTGTATTAGTAAGACCCTGACTCATAAAAACTAAAATAAATTAACTAAACAAACAAACAAATAAATAAATATCCTGAATTTTATGTGCCATTGTAAATGACTTTAGAACTCTGTTTTTGGAAGGCAGCGGAATGAAATTAATTAATTAATGAATATTACCTACTTGTTCGGCACTCCATGGTGCTAAAAGCCCTTCAGTTTTGTGGTCTTAGTGCTCTCCCAAGCCTTTGAATGAGGCATTATCATATTAATGTGCAGCTAAGATGACAGAATCAGAGAGGGCAGGTGGAGTGCACAGCACTTCCTATGTGTCACAGCCTCCTCCAGGACAGGTTTATGGTGTATGGGGTATGGTGTATATCTTCCTATTGTCATTCACACTTAATTAAGAAAACAGAAGCAACTGGAACAAGGGTCCTTCAGTTTGGTGCCAGCTAGCATGGCTATTCAAACTTAATCAAAACTAACTGAAATTAATAATTCAGTTCCTCAGTTACATTGTCCCATTTTAAGTGCTCGGTAACCACAAATGGCAGTGTTCAGACTATTGTCTCTTCAAAGGTGTTTGGAGAACATTTGTACCGTGTTATGGCCTGTCAGGAAGGTTTTGGGGATGGGGATCAAACAGGCTTGCTAAGTGTGCATATCATGTTCTCCTGAATAGTCACAGTGCATCACAGTATATTAAAGAAGCTTTGCTCAAACAGCAGTTCCCAAATGTACTTGGCCATGGAATGCTATAGCATGTTGCACTCTTAACAGAATTCTTTGCAGCAAAGGTTGACAAATTCTGAATTCATTCATTCACTATTATTCATTCATTCACTATTATTAATCACTATTAATAGAATTCATTCATTCACTATTATTAATCACTATTATAAATATTTATTATCATTATGAACGTGGGAATTTTCTCTGGATTTTAATTAGAGTTAGAAAGGCTTCAGTTCTCCCAGTAAGAGTTTCTTCAAGTTCTTCTCATTTGACTGAAGAAATGATCACCTTACCCAGGCAGTGCCTTCAAACATTTTGAGGTCCAGAGGGTCTCCCTGGATGGTTCCATCAAGAAGGATCAGAGAGTGGCAGCTGGCCATGGCAGCACACAGTGGGCCCCATGGCAAAGCCTTGTCCAAGACAAAGCTGTGGACTTCCTGGAAACTTGTAAAGAAGATAACAAGTTTAAGTCTTCAATAAAATCATTTGCATACTCTGCCCCTTACATCTTACAAGGTAAAGCTCCTCTCCTACCCCTTATCCTCAAACCCTTCAATGGCTATGCTCTATATGATGAAGTCCAGGCTCTAGCCTGGTAATCAATGTCCTCTCTGTTCCGGGTCTACCTCACCTTACAGCTGCTACTCCTACTAATGTCCTTCATGCCCCATCCTAGAGCCAGACTAAACTTCTTGCTATTTTTATACTTGTCTGGTCACATCCCTGGTCTCAATCCCCTGCTTACTTGGTTTCTTGATTTTTCAACCTGGATATTCTACTTGCAGAGCAATCTTTATACACGTCTACTTTGATTTGGATATGAATTTCCTCTCAACAGAGATTGCCACTGGTCAATCAAAAACATAATTTCAGAGGGCACAGATATAATCACAGAGACTTGTGATGTTACTTGCTGCCATCCCACACAATAAAGAACCTTGGGAAGACACATGAGCAGGCAGCTAAGAGCTGTACCTAGGGGCTTGAGCTAAAAATACTTACTTAAGTTAGAAGTCTGCCTGGTGGTTCCAAGCAAGTAAAAGCATACAGGGGTTCTGAAGTTGTTCCGCTACTCAGCTCTTTGGAGTTTACCACCATTTTCTGAAAATCCTAGCCCAGCCATTCTGTCTTTAAAGCCTGTTTTCCTCTCTGACAGTGCATGCCTTCTTCTCCTTCCACCTCAGAGCTGAATAGTGGTTGTGGCTAGTTGTTTCTACTGCCTCAAAAGCTTCAAAGTGCTAGGGGCATGGGAGGAGAATGGATAGAAGGAGACTGAAAACATCTTTTTACCTTTTCACTCTCTGGCCCTGCCTGTCTAGAAAAAGGCCTAGTCAGGACATCTGAGCAGCCAGGAGATAAAACACATGAATAGAGTTAGAGCCGGAAGTTCCTTGTCCTTAGCCAAGGGTGTGTTCTGCAGTTGGGGACAGAAGAAAGACAGTGTACCTTGTGCTTATGCTGCACCTGGCCCCATCACCATCTTGAGGAGCCTGGGCATGACTCCTTCTCAAACTGACACTGCCTCAGCCACTGTTTGAATCCAAAGTGGGGTAACCAGAGTTTAAAAGCAGAGGCCATCACCATGCACACTGAGAAGGGGAGTCTTAGCCCTGAAGGGAAGGAGCTAGGAGCTGGGGTGGGAGGGGAAGCACTCTCTAGGGAGGGCCCTCATTTCCCTTTCTAGCTCTGCTCTGGGGTAGGTAATTATTTTCTTGTTTCTCTAGTGTCAGCCTTTAATTCACGTCTGTAAAATTTCTAGCTACACATTCTTCAAAACCCATCTCAAGTGTTATTGTTTTCAGGTAGTTTTCATTGATCTAGTAGATTTCAAATGAATTTCTACCTTTACTTAACTATGTTATTATAAAAATCGACACTGTGTGTTATATCAAGCAATCTTTATTGCTTCCTCTCTATTTTAATTTTCTGTCTTCACAGTAACAATTTTCATGGCCTAGGCTGTACATTGAAGGTGATTACATTTGCATACTTTTATCATACTAGATTGTGAACTCCACGAAGAAGGATATGGAGCCCTTTTTCTCAGGATCCCCCAAAACATATTTGCACCAGGCCACCCAGGAAGACGTTGTGCCTTCAATTAAGCATGTTCCTTAAAAACAACTTTTTATTATTAGGATATATTTGTTGTACAGGGGGATTCATTGAGACAATTTTGAATAGGCTTACATTGTACATTGGTTAGATCACCCCACTATCTCTCTCCCTTAACCCCTTCCTGCCCCACTTAAAGCAATTGCAAGAGATTTCATTTTTCTATTTTCTATAGTTTTATGAAGTCCACCAACCATATTCCCTCACCTTAATCTACTTCATTCTCCTCCCACATGTACCCCACACACACTGTACCTATTTTACAGTCCTGCATTCATTATAAATTTCTAAGTCAATGTTCAAAGGAGTTTCTCAGTATACCCCCACTGTGAGTATACTTTACTTTGGTCAGTCCACCCCTTCCATAAGCATGGTCTTGATGTCATTCTTTGTTGCTCTGTTTCATTCATTTGGCTCTTTTAATTGCCAACCTTGTTCTATTCCATTTTTCACATGGAGTTTGGTGACCTACTTTCCTGCCTGATTCAGAATTTAGGACTCATTTAATTAAATGACTTAGAATAACTGGGAGTAGATTCCAGCCCATTACTATATATGTGACTCTCATTCCTCCACACTACAAGAATGGTTTTGAGTATGGCCACAGCATCGCCCCCTCCATACACACCCCTACTATCTTCACTTAAGAGGCCTACCAGTTGTCAGCAGTGGGGACAGTCCCCCAGAGGTCCAACCCATCTTCTGTAAGAGTACCTGTCTGAATAAAAATGAGAATCGATATTACCATAATATTTAAAGCTTTTATGTCATGAGTAAAGCAAAACTCAGGTTCCAAGACATTATAGTACGTCAAGTTGTTCAAACCCCTTGTTCGTAAGCGTCACATTTTAAATCTGGTGACACATAATTCCCTAAAGATCATGTGGTAATCAGGTGGTTCTAGTTACTATGATGATAACATTCATGAGCTTTGTTTTGGTTTTGTTGGTTTTTGTCATGTTTGTTGCTGTTATTATGGGAGAGGCTCAGTAAATGGAATCCAATAAGAGCCAGCTCAAGTCTGGCTCTTCAGTTGGTACCTTTTGTCTATCCAAAGCAGAGTTCAGATTTTGTTCTTTCTTTCCAAGATACAATTTGCCATCTGGTTCACTGTAATTTTCTAAAAATATGGGTGACATGGTGACTATCCAGATTAAGAATGAAATGTCAGTAAAGGGCTTTGAGATTATAGAGAGAAACCAAGTGCTAATAATAAATATTAACATCCAGGAATGGGTTTTATTGTTAAACCAAGAGTAAAATGGTGCCAGGTGCAGGTGGCTCACACCTGTAATCCTAGCTACTCAGGAGGCAAAGGTCAGGAGGATCCTGGTTTGAGGTCAGCCTGGGCAAATAGTTCACGCGACCCTATCTCGAGAAAACCCATCACAAAAAAGGGCTGGTAGAGTGGCTCAAAGCGTAGGCCCTAAGTTCAAATCCCAGTACTGCAAAAAAAAAAAAAAAGAGGAAAATGGTTGGGAGATATGATTTGCTATATTATGGGAAAGTACTTGTCAGATAATGTAACAAAGAAAGCAAAATAGAACTGAGTACTATCTACCTCAGCACTTTTATTTTCTTCACTGCTTGTCAGTCACTCGTTAATTGCAGGATGGGGTCTTGCTGCAGGAGAACAGCAGCATCAGGCCTGCGCAACACCCAGAGAGAGTGGAGTTGGCCATAGCTGCTCCTGCACTACTAAGGCAGGGGGGCATTCCCAGACACTGCAGACTACCCTGACCCTAGGTCTCTGACATGAGTTTTATAAGGTCACCTCGTATATGACACTGAAATGTCTAGTTTCCCATCAGTTGACATCATTATAGCATATCATATTAGGATAGCAGTTTGCAGTGAAGTGCTTACAGTGCTTTTCCTTCTTACAGCTGAGCAGGCAGAGGTAAGATCAGCAGCCAAAATGGACAGGCAGAACCAGAATCCAGAGACTTTTCCACCACTAGAAATGCTAAGTGAATTCTGTAAGGCATGTGGACAGACAGAGGCCATTCTGGGTTTCTGAATTAAATAATTAAATAATCTGTTTGACTAATTCATTTGGATTTCCCAAAGAAAAACCTAACATGCTTGTGTGAGTTATTTCTTGAACAATAGCAATTGTTTTTAGAAAGCTGTTTTCTTCACTTTCCTCCTGAATTCTGTAAGGGCCTCAATCTGTGCATTTACTTTCCAAATTCCCTTGGCTTGTTCTATTTCAAAAAGAGTTAACAACTTAATTCAAACAGAAATGTTTTCTTGATGACTAGATTATGTTTTTAAACATCAATATTTTGAACATGAAAACAGAGACAATGTTGCAGCAAAAAAAGAAGTGAGACTATATTATTTTGTTATGTGAAAATGAGCCCTCTATAATAAAACTAACCATAAATAGAAAGAAAGCTAAATTATAGTTGAAGTTCTAAAAGGAATAAGACAGAAAAATAACACCTCTTAGCATAAATACAAGACCAGGCTTGAACTGAATTGAATAAAAAGAAATAGAGACTTTGTCTTAAAAATTTCTAACAAAGCAATAAAAAAAAGTTGAAATAAATATACTCAGAAGCCCAGTGACTGATACCTTCTAAATTAAAATAACACTGCATAGAATTTTAATTAATTGTGATGTGTTTTATTGCAAAATCATGTTGATAGAGTTCTATAATATGAAATTAGAAAAAAACCTGGAGATAAGTATAGTTGAAACTTCTTAATCTCAAAAAGTTATATAAAACCTTAGTGTCCAACTAAGATACTCAAGCTTAGCTTTTGCATTTTGCCAACGCCCAGTCAACAGCTCTTTGTACTATAATGTGTTTTCATTCTGTGTGGATTTTGGCCAAGTAGGTCTAGGAGCAGCACCTGCCTTTGAATCTAGGAGATGCAAAGGAAAAATTTTACACAGGAAGTAAAATGAACAGCCTCTAGGTAAAGTTAGTCTTTGAACAGAAACACATGAATATGTAATGAACATATTTTAAAATAGCCCTCCTATATTCTAGACACTAGTGAGGCTGTTGGATAAGCAACACGAGTTCCTGACAGAAAACTGCCAACAAGCTGTAATCTGGCCATGAATCTAAGTTAACCCTACTGGTTCCTGATTGATGGCAATTAGAGACTTTCTTTGCCAAATGAAACACAAAGAGAAGAGGAAGTGAAATAATCCAAGAGGTATGTCACTTCAGTGGAAGACTAACAGTGGCCAAGCCTCTTTATGCAGCTGTTCCAGTTGTCCTCAACTATTTGTACTTGTTCTCCTTGTCTAGGACTATGAATGGAATCTTCAGTATCCCTGGGTGCGCCTTCCCTCTGTCCTATCTCTTTTCCCACTTTTCTCACTGATCTTACCAATAAAACACCCATAAAAATGTCACTAGATTAGCTGGGCACAGTGGCAAGTGCCTGTCATCCCAGCTATGCAGGAGTCTGAGACTGAGAGGATTATAGTTCCAGGATAGCCTGGCAAAATGTTTGCAAGACCCTGTCTCCACAGAAACAAATCTGGTGTGGTGGCACAGACCTCTTATCCTGTCATCCAAGCTGTGGCAGAAAGCATAAAATAGGAGGATTTAACCAGGACAGCTTAGGTAAGGACCCTATCTCCAAATAACCAGAGCAAAAAGGGCTGGAAGCATGACTCAGGGGTAGAACACCTGCCTAGCAAGTGCAAAGCCCAAAGTTCACACCCCAATATTGCCCCTCTCACACATGTCACCAGATGCCATGTATAGTGGAGCCGCCTACAATCCCGGAACTTGGGAGGCTGAGGCAGGAAGATAGTGAGTTCAAGGCCAACCTGTCCTACATAGTGAGTTTAAGGCCTGCCCAAGATATATAATAAGACCCTACCTCAAAAAACCAAAACCAAAAGAAGATCACTAGTCTCCTATCAGACAAGCCCCTTATGTTTACCTTGTCATATTAGCCTCCAGTGTCATTCCTACAAAGCAGCCCATCTTCCAACCACACCTAGATCTCGGTCATCTGTCCCCACATGCTTCATGCCTCTCACTTCACTGTGCTCTGAAATGGCCTCCTCTGCATCTTCGGCCATCTTATCTAACAAGGGACACTACAACTTCAAGATGACCTCCTGCCAACAGCAGGTACGCATTAGGATCCTTGCTCAGACCTCTATTATGTAACATCTCACTGCACAATGGCTGTCTGCACTCCTGTTTTCTCAGTGTCCTCAGCTAGACCAGGAGCTTCTCGAGAGCTAGGAATGCCTCGTCTTGGCACGCTACCAGCACTGTGCACCGTATTGACTCTTTGCCAATGGGGGTTCACTGAAAACTGGCCAAAGCCTTGATGAATTTTTCAATGCAAATGAATCGAAGACAGAGAGAGACCAATGCAGGCCCACCACACTACAGCAGTTAAACGGATTGTCCAAGCTGAGGGCAGGATCCAAACAGCAGGTGGCTAATGCTCAATTTCTTCCATGTCCCCATAGAATAATCATGAGAGGGGAGCTCAGGACCTGCCCCATAGTAGCAACTCTCCCTAAACGGCACCTATCCACCCCACTTCCTCTCCAGGTCCCCTAAGCAAAGGGAAACCATCCCTAGTCTGAACACCTGAACCCTGGAGAGTGAAGGGATGAAGAGCCATATGATCATATGGAAGCTGGCCTTTGACAACTTCCTTCTTGTCCTTACAGGCAGCAGAGGAGGAGAATGAAAGTGCTCACTTACTCTCTCGACAAAGCTTTTCTGGCAACAGAAATGTTCCGCATATTTTTGCTAAGCTGGATGTGGTACCTGGCTGGGTGTGGTGGCCCATTCTTGTAATCCTAGCTACATGGGAGGCAACGGGTAGGAGAATCTGAGGCTGGTCCTGAACAAAAGTGCAAGACCCTATCTGGAAAATAACTACAGCAAAAAAAAAAAGTCCATTATAAAAGTTTTTAAAGCAAGAGACTATTTTAAAACACAAAGCAGGCACAAAAATACTAAATTTCATGATGTGATAGCTAAACGGCCACCTTCAGAATCAGCGAAGTAGGCGTCTAGAATGTGACCTCATACCAGCTCACTATGTGATCATCTCTGGCCTCAGTGTTCTCATCTATAAAGTAGGGGGAGCTAGAGTAGACATTTCCTGGCCCTTCCCAGCTTATCTGTGCCTCAAAATCAACACCCTTCCATTTGGAAAGTTTGGAGCCTACTTTGTCAAAGCAAACGAGGTTGATTTGTCCACACATATTGATTCTCTGTGGGGAGATACAGAAGATTTTCTTTTTCTTCAGCCTCTTCTGGGCATACACAATCCCTATGGTCAGGGCAGCTGGCAGCACAGGAGGGACCGTCACAGTGAGAAGGATCAGGGCCATGGTTGCAGTATCCCTTGGAGGGACCTGAAGAAGAAAGGGACATAGACACAGATTAGCACAGCAGAGGAGGCTGATGCCGTCCTAACAGTACCTTCTGCAATACCATAAGGGCCCTGGAGACCCTGCACAGACCACTCCTCAGCAGTGGGCTCTCCTGGAGGGGTTCAGTGTTCCCGTGACTGTTCCTAAAATATGAACACCTTGTCTCCCAGTGCCAAACAATGGAGACCTTTGATCCCTTTTTCAAGTCCACCTGCCCTTTCCTGACTTGGTTTCTTTCCCCTTAACATTCACTCTCTGTTCCTCATGCTTCCATGTGTTCTCTGAGCCCCTAGGATCAAGTCTTGGCCCATAGGTTATAACATTTCACTCAGTTGACTGACTATTGGTTTCTAAATCTCTCTTTCCCAGCAGGCTGTCAACTGCTTGGACACAGCAGCCATGGCTCATTCATCTTTAAATTCTTTCATTCATCTATAAGTCTATAAGTTCAGAGCCCCATCTCAGCACAGGGTCTATTGCAGAGGAGATGCTCAGTACACAGACTGAAGGGGTATGACTTGATAAAAACTAGAGCCAAGACTCTGACACAACCTCAGCATATGTTACTAGCTATAGGGAAGCCAATATAAAGGTAGCTTGCTCTCACTGCGGCAGGCACTGAACGAAGCTAGATACATTATTTAATTACTCCTCACAGAAACTGCTTCCCCAGCAGCACACATAGAGATGTCCAACCCTGAGGAATTAGCCTTGTCTAATCCTGAACCAGTGCATACAGAGGCAACCAACAAGTCCACAGGTTCTGACCCACAAGAAGATGAGGCCTGGGATTCACTTGCTGCTTGGTGTGTATTGGATGCTGGGTTCTTTCCAGGAAAACTATTCCTAGTATGTGCCAGGCTTCCATTTTGCTTTTCTGCTCAGTGCTCCTGCTTCTCAGATGAAGCTGGCAAAGGGCTCACATTCTGAATCTAGTGGCCTTGACATTCTGCTGAGCTCTTCCCAGGCTCTATTCTACTAGTGTCAAAATACACCTGCCTTCCCTGCCCTCCCTTGTCCTATACATGCTCCCTGAAGGCTTATTTCAGGTTTAAATGATATTTGGAGGTTAAGTTGTAGCATGAACATTGCCCAGAAATTCTTGTGACTATGTCTTTGCCAACAAGTATCCATTCCTTGCCCCTCCACACACACACCCCTTCAACCTTCAGAATTCATTATTGTCACCAGTTTGGACATTGTGATTAGGCCACCCATGCCTGGCTTCACACCCATGTTTAGATATATGGCATAAAATTTTGGGGATTACCTGGGACACTTCTAAGTACTTCAGGAAAAACATTCAAGATCCCCTTCAATCTGATCTGCTCCTACCTTGCTAGACTTCTCTCTTAATTTCTAACTGGTTCCAGAAGGCTGGAGTGCATTTCTTTGTGTTTTCTCACTCAAATTAGTGAACCCTTCTTACACTCTGACCTGACTGATCAAATCTTCTCCTCCTTATTAGGCTTGTAAAACATATATTTCATGGTTGGGGTAATCCCTCATTCCTAACCAAATGGTGAAAACAGCCAGGGAATTGTGCAACTTCTCATAGCTGCATTATCCAATATGATTGGATTGCTACTAATGCCATGTGGTTATTAACTTAATCAAAATGAAATAAAATGGAAAGTTCACTACCCAATAAGCTTATGTGGCTAAATTCTGCCACATTGGACAGTGCAAATGTAGAATATTTCTACCATCTAAGAAAGATTTTTTAGACAACATTGATTCACAGAACAATGGGATCAGGAGGTAGCCTTATCTCTTCAGTTGGGTCACTTGAGAAAGCTATACTATTGAAAAGCCTTACCACCAGTACTTACTTCATGGTACATATATACTCCTAGGGCATAGAAAAAGCCCACAACACCAAGGCAGGCAAGGAACACCATGAACTTGAAGGCATCACTGTATAACTTGAAGTTTAGAGGCCGAGGGTAGAGGATGGATCTCACCAGGTCCCCTTTTGCTGTATTATAACCTACATGGAGATAATCACAGAGGAGTTAGGTCCTTTAATATTTCTCTCCAAACCCAAAGTGGTTGGACCAGTGGAGTATGGAATGAATGAAAACAGTATTGCTCTAACCTAACAGTGTACTTGCTTTTTCTTACAAGTCATCGGGAGCAATCAATGTATTCCCTGAGCCCTGTTTAATTCTTCTTGTTCTGAGAGTCTGTGCTTCAGAGGCTCCTACAGGGCAGTTCCCAGCTCACCCATGGGGTTGAGGAAAATTAGACTAAGGAGTTGAAGAATGTGGTGACCAAAGAAAATAAAATGCCAAGAGAAGAAGACTTTAAGATATGTCTTGAAAACAGATATGTGCTATTGCAAATTAAGAGAAAAGTACAAGGCAAGTAATTTCTTAAAAATATACATGTAAGGCCTCAGATCATGCCTTGTGTTCCAAAACCTTCCCCACTTTCATAGTATGAAGTTCAAATTTCTAGGCGTAATATTCAAGGTCCTCTTCTATTTGATCTACTTCTACCTTGCTGGACTGACCTCTTAACTTTTCCCTGGTCCCAGAAGAACCTTATACTTTGTTCTTTTGTAAACTCAAATTAGCCTACTCATCCATCTCTCATATGATTGGCTACATCTTTTCATTCTGTCAGGTTTGATTCAAAATGCTACTTCATCAAATATGTATATCCAAAATTCTACTTCCATACTTCATACCAAAAATAATTTATCTCATTCTTTGGAATGCCGGCACACTTGGTACATGACATTATCACCATACCGTATTTTACTTGGCTCTAAGTCCATCTCTCCCCTACAATAGATCACAACCTTCTTTGAGGGAGCAGTGTATCTCATACATTATTTTGTTAGTTAGCTTCAGTGAACAGCACATAGTAAATATTTAAAATCTGAATTACTGGAGAAAATGATATAAATACAATAAATAAATATAAAGCATGATTTTCCCTCTGCTGAAGGATACCTGGTCTTCTCAAACATGGCTTTGCCAGAGAACAGAAGTATAGTTTCCTCTGACTTCTTACCTAAGCATTTTACAAGTATTCAGATAGTTGCCATGACCTCTAAACATTAGCTTCTGTGTAGACAGCAGGCTGAGGAATGCTCTAAAACCCATGAACTGGTTTTAATGTAAAAAATCATATTTTCAACAACAAAAAACGTTTGGCTAGACCAACTGAATCACAGACCAAACTAAAGCATAGTGGTATAAAAGTGCAAGTTATGTTTTGAATCTATGAATGTGTAAGGTGGCAAATTGAGGTGAGGGGAGGACATTGAGCCAAAACCAGGAAATGGAAGGCCTTGTTTGTGTAATGCCATGGGAAAGACTGAAATGGATGTGGCTAATCATGGAAAGGTATTGAGCATGGTGTGTGCGGCCTGCTCCAAACTATGTTTTGAAATGTGACTTTAGTACAAGTTGAGGAACAGGTTAGAGAAAGATCAGGACAAAAGTTGGAAGGAAACAGCTGAACGAGTGTGTCTACCGTAATAGTTCAGGCACGAAGTGATGAAAGCCCACATTAAACAATAACCATGGGAATGACGAGGAGGGCAGCTGAACTCAGAAGGTACCAGTAGGATTCTTGGGATTTGATCTGAGAGAAAGTGAGGAGTTAGAGATGATATCAAGAGACTAGCTAGACAGTGATGTTGTCAATAGAGGCAATGCAGGAGGTGAGCTTACATACAGACACTTGACTTTGAATGTATATAGAGCACCCAGGTGGCAGTATCCAGCAGGGAGTCTAGCATGCAACTCTGAAAGAAAAAGGCCCTTGCAGTCATTGTGGTTGACAGTGATTTTTGGGCAATTACTTAAAGGGAATGTTTATGGAAAAGAAAGTAAGCCTATGGACACTAGCCAAATCGAGAGCAGTTTTGCCTGTGCATATCATTCATCACATACAAGGATTTCATCTAATGAACCACTCAAGCAAAGATGGCAGCAATTTAGAATCAGAAGGTTCTGATTAGAAGAGTATAGCTGTTATTAGCAGAAGGTGACAAATTCTAAAATCCTAAAAACATTCCCTAACCTAACTCTCCCCCATCTCCAAGCATGGCCTAAATTCACAAAACTGAAATCACTAACCTGTCTGCAGAACCACGGCTCTTACAGGGCCCTGCCCAGAGGGCTTAACCTGGATCACTTCTGTTCCACAGAAAAGCACGTGTTTCCTGTAGTCTTCCAAGCTGTGGGATTTCCAAGGCATGGTGCTCTCCATTTGGGGCAGTGGTGTTTTTGTAACAGGTATACTTTCTCCTAAAAAAAGATTGTATTTTATTGATTCAGTGTAAGCTCTGATAGTTATTCAGAACTGGTGCTTGACAGTTTCAAGAAATTATATAACAACTAATCTAGTCTTAATATCTATCTCATGAATCAGATGACTGTTCTTAGGGATACTGGTGGTGCAAGCAATGGTAGAGTTTATTGCATTTCAAATATTTATATAAGACCTATTTATTTCCTATACTTAGTCTGCATAGTTGTCAAAATTTAAAAAGCATCTTATGTCAGCTCCCAAGCATTCATTAAGCCCAGCATTATTTCAGGCAGTGAGGGAGCTTTAAAGCACACGCATAGCCATTGCTATTTGCCTTTGGTGCATTCATTTATCCATTTGTCCATTCATTTTCCTATTCACTCAACAATTTTTATGTACTTCCTATACAAGAATTAATATAGAATTTTTAAACTTGTTGAATTCACCATAGAAGGGCCTAAGATAGAAAGGAGAAAAATAGGGGAAATGAACCAATGAACCAATTTGGATTTATACACACACACACACACACACACGCACACACACACACACACACACACACACACACACACAGAGGACAGCAGACAAAACAGTTCATGTCTGGGGGTTGGTACAGTAGAAGGGGAGAGGATATAAGGAAAGGCTGTAGGAATATAGTGAATTCAGTAAAAATATTATGTACCACACGTGTGTAAATGGAAAAGTGAGACCTGATGAAACTACTCTAGGAATGTAGGAATGTGGGGAGAGGGGATAAAGGAGAAGGATGGAGGGGTGAATTTGACTATAATGCATTGTAAGAACTTTTGTAAATGTCACAATGTACCCCAAGTACAACCATAATAATTTTTTTTTAATTTAAAAAAAAACAATTGTTTTCTAAGTGGCTATTCTGTTCCAGGAACTATTCTGGGTGCTGGGGATATTATGCTAAATAAGACAGACAGAAATCCTGCCCTCATAAAGACCAGAGATCCAGCTTAGGAAATAGTAGTTGTCTTACATCTTTTCCAGGTGAATCCTATCAAAGCCCTCCTTTTATTATTCCATTCTTTTGCTCAAAATTCCTTAGGCTTACTCACTGCCTTTACAAAATAAAGCCCAAACTCACTTGCTAAATTATCAAAGCCCACCATGACTCAAGTATTGTTGCCTGTTATTCTCTTATACACCTGTGGCCAAACAAGGCTCCTTCATTTCTTTGTACTAACTCCCATTCTTTGCTGCTACCTTTCTCTGTGGTGGTATTTAAGGTGCAAAGGAAATTAGCTCAGAGTTCAAAGTTTCATAGACAAAATAAAAATGTTAATACCACTACCTGGCTCCCATAGGAATTCATTAGAATGAATTAAAAATTCCATCAGTTTTTTGTTAAATGTTCAATTAGCAAGATAATACATCATCTTTTGAATTTGGAGATCATATTATATGATTATAGTTACATATGGTTAGGTTTTATCCCTCTTTCTAGGTAATAACTGAAGGCAGGGATTTTTGATATATATAACATTCTTATACTCCTCATTTTCCCTAGTGCTATATAATAAGCTCAAAATACATATTTTTGCCAAATGCACAAATGAATTAAATAAAAGCAATTATCCAGGCTTTTGTATTATTGCGTTTCAAAACTAGTTTTCTACCATAGTATATTTTTCACACTGTAAGGTATAAGAAGCTATAAAAAATTTTGTTAGTGGTTTTGAGTATTATTCAGAAAATTCCCTTAGCCAAGCATTGTCTCTATATCATTTTCTTTAAAACAATTATGACACTCATCTGTTGTATAGATTTACCAAATGCATCCTAAATAACTTTGTAAAAAGGGATAGAACCTTTTGACCTATCTCCAAATCATTATACCACATTGTTTTTGAAATCAGCCTGTGTAATAAGTACATACTTAGAGATAACTGCAAGGGCTTTTCTACATATATCAATTCACAATATATGATTTGACTAATACAGAATTAGTGAACAACTTTTCTACACCCAACCAATGAGATGAAGGCAAACAGGTGTTGATCAATCAAAGATGAAAGTCATTTGGAGATAACATTGCAGAGGTGATGCTCAAATCAGAGCATCAGAGATGGCTTTCAAGTCTCTTTAATACTATTCACATATTAATAAGAAATCTTCTCCCTTAGCCTTTCTTGGGAGCCCCCCAAAAACGGCCTCAGCTATAAAAGACTGAGGTCTAAGGAGGCTGGACTAGATTTTAGAAGTAAGTATGTTCATTGCTCACTGTCAACTGTAGAATTGACTCATGGGATCTGGAGACCCCTCCTGCTGTCAGATGGAGAGTCTCTCCCTTGTCTCTAGGGAGCTAGACATCTCTGCATGAGGACAGTCTTTGAAATGCCATGTCCTTGTTTATTTACTTTTCTTCTTTGAGAAGAAGAAAGGAAGGGAGGGAAAGTTCTGACTTATCACAGGGTATCAACGTGAAAAATCACCAAGAGGAATTCCGATATGTCTACCTCATGTCATTTCATACTTCCTGCACATATACTTCAATGAATCAGCAATTTAATGAGTAAAGGGAGGAGGAAAGGGATTGTGGAAGTTTGAAAGTCACCCCTCTTCTCCAACTTACCCCTAAGAAAATGAGATGCACTGATTATAAACATAGACTCTGGGGACAAAATGCTGGATTTAGGTGTTTTATTTTCTTCATAAAATATAATTGTTGCTACAGGCCTGCAATCTCAGTATTCGGGAAACTGAGGCAGGAGTATTGCGAATTCCAGTTCTGAGCTTGGAATGAGACAGTATCTCAAACGAAACTAAACAAACAAAAACCCCCACATACTTATTGGTAATTTGTGTCATTTACATATTCTCATGTTTTCTGTTCCCTCCACTAAAATGTCATCTCCATGAGGACAGAAATCTTCTCTGCCTTGTTCACTGCTGTCACCCAGGAAGATTGTCTATTAATAAAAATCTGTGAGATGAGTGAATGAACAAGCTATCAAATAAAGCCAGATCTTAAATGCACTATTTTTAAGCTGAGTGACCATAAGCAAACATTTATCTTAAATTCACCTACCTTAAAAAAGTTGCAGATTGAATGAAATAACATTAAAAAAAGTTAGTATGGAGCCTAGCACATATGAAACTAAGAAAAACTAGCTATTGTGCTAAGGGAAAAATTTTAAATATTAATAGATTCTCCTTCTCTGACATTACCTTTTGCTTCTTGACTCCTCTTCTTTGGGAGGAGCCAGATGTTGAGGAAGATTATTGCCTCAGGAAGAAGACAGAAACAATGGACAAGGGAGTGGATAACCAGCTTCTGAGTTTTAAGTCATTCGTAAATTTGATCATGGGTTTTAGGCTCTACCTGAGAATAAGAACAAATCTTTTCTGTTCACCATTCTTTCCCTCTCCTGCATTTCCATCTAGATTAAAGACCCTGCAGTGGAGTTGGAAGAGGATCCAAAGGAGACATACATTCTGTGCCCCTAAGAAAAGGGAGCTGCTCCACAGTAGGATATGGGAACACACAGGGAGGCTGTGGAAACTGGTCTGCCTCCTTTTCCAGGGTGACAAGACTCAGCTTCCTAGGCTCAGAGAACAAGAGGAAGAAGAGCTGCACTAGACCACACCTTCCTCCTTGATGTCCAGTACAACTTAGGGTTGCCAGACAAAGGTTAGGAAGACTGCTAACTGATGGGGATAATAACTGTGTGACTTATAAAAGGTAAGGTACACTGCATAATTTCAAAAATGATAAAATCTGGATCCAAAAAAAATTAGTGTGTTATAATATAAAGTTGAATGTCTTGCATAGCTGATTTTGTGATAATGGGATAAGACTAAGGAGATGAGGAGGAGGAAGAACTTACCAATGAGTGGATGCTCTGGGTGGGAATGCCAAGTACAGAGCAAAAGGTGATGAGGCCCAAAAATGAAGGCAGCAGCTTTCTCCACTTACAACCATCTTCCTCACTTGTGTGGTCCTTTGTGTTTAAGAGCAAATGTCACCTCTGATTCTGATTCTTACATTTGCTCCCTAAGTAGCCCTTGTCTCTGTTCATCCCAGCTCCTTCATTTGTAAATTGACATTGTAATACTTCCTACTCTACTTTTCTTTCTGTCATGATTAAGTGAGATGTAAACGCTACTTATAGAAATATAGGTTGCTATAGAGATACTAGGAGTATTTGCTGTATTTCTTCTTACATAAATAAAAAGATTCTATATATGCAAAGGGTTATTTTGCACATAGAAAAAAGTATATCTGAGTCATATTTGTGGACAAATACCCTAGACTACATTTTCAGCTTCAGCAATCTAACCCTAATCTTCTCATTGTTGGATCAGGATCCTTTCCCTAAATATAGACACTAGTAGAAAGTCCTATGTGTGCTATGCAATAAAGTACTTGAACTTAGGTATTTTAGAAGAAATTAACAAGAAGTGTGTGTGTGTGTGTGTGTGTGTGTGTGTGCGCGCGTGTGTGTTTCTGTGTGTTTTATGTCTCTGTCTTTAAAATTGACTTTTTTTCAATACTTAGGCTTTAATTTTTTCAGAAACAGACGTTAGGAAAAACACTTACTGTTAAAGTTCATTTAGGTCAATTCTGTACATTTATGATTCTCTGAAACTCTCTGAGCCCCTGAGAATCAAGGCAAATACTATACACCTCAGTCTCTGATAAGAGAAAGCAGACTGGGACATGGGCTTCTCTGCCTTTCCTGTCTCTGTTTTCCCACTGTCCTGCTGTCTGCTGCCAGTAAGAGAATCCATTGTGCATTATCAAGCTACTGGGAGTTGTGAGACAGTTGCCCCTTTTGAGTGAGAAGGACAGTGATTCTTGGGCTTGATGTTTGCACATTGGGTACCATGGTAACATTCTGAATAAAAGATATGATCAGTATGCAAATCCTCATCACTATCATCATAAGGAAGTTAGATTTCAACACATTAAAGGGGTATTTTGTAATTAGACCAAATGTATTTATGTTTACTGCATTTTCTTGTCTCAACTTTAAGTTAAGCAGACCCATTTTTAATGTGAAATCTGCTTATGTTGAACAATTTAGGAATACATAATGAATTTCCATTACATCTAGGTTATGTTAAAGTTTTGTGTGTACTTTTTCCCCATCTTTGCACCATTTGGAAACAGAAAAAAATTAACAATCTGTAAACACAAAGGACAAATAGTTTTTATTTTTCTGTTGTTGCATAGTCTGTTTTATTACAATGTGATGTGTTTGTGTTTTTCACAATCTAAAGTATACTTTATAGAGTATCTTACTAATTATATCAATACAAGTAGACTTTAAAAGCTACAAATGAAAACTAGGACCATTTGAACTGTAACTAGAAGCCAAGTGAGACCAAATGGATGTACAAATCCATTTGTCTTTATCCTAAGGTTCAACTCAAGCTTTTCAGTGAAACTTAGGTCTAAGTAGTTTTCCAACCAGTGAGTACAGGGCTGGATAAAATCTCTATAGCCTTCTGATTGCGGGAGTTGTCAGTTTTTTAGGTAGTGTTTTGTTTGGTAAGGATATAAACCATTCTCATGTTTATGAAGAGACTGTGTTTCAACAACCTGTGCACCTGCTCAAGCCTCTTTCTACTCACCCTATTCTCCCACTCATTAGGCAATTAATCACATAGAGTACTAAATATTTCATTATTTTTTATTTATTGTGGCTCAACTCTTATCATTAAACACTGCCTGCTTGTATATACTTTATCTGTGTTTGAATGAAAAATCTGGGTTTATCTGCCTCATGTATCTCTCAATATCTTAGCATTGGGGTCTGGTACAAGGTAGGTAAGTATATGTTAATCAGATTTGCTAACACTTGGCCTAATGTTGGACAGGGAAGAGGAAACTCCATGACAACTGCTTACCTGTGAGCATGCCTTCATTCACTACACAGCTCCCATTAATAAGAACAGCATCACAGGGCAATGAAATTTTTCCTGGAAGAATAAGAGTATCTCCGGGAACCAAGAGACGGGACTCCAGCTCCTGCAGACCTACAAAACAACAAAGTTTCCAGGACTAGCTGACCTTTTCCTACCTTTACTTAAGAATTTAAATCACTAAGAAGTCTTATTGACATAGTGGCCAAGAGCTGGCCAATCTATTTACTTGCTCAGGTCCCTTTCCACTCAACTGAAAATTATAAGAGAACCAGGATGACCAATTTGATTCCTGGGACATGGATTAGCTTCACAAAAAGATCCCATTTTTAATCCTAGTAGCTGGTCAGTACTCTGTCCACAGCCAATCTCCAAGGCATTAGTCAATGGAAAAGCACCCTCTGCTGTTTGTTCTTCTCCTTAGATTGAGATTTCATATAACTTGCCCAGAGAACTTCCACTGCTGGAGGCAAGAGTGTGGGATGAACAATGACACAGGACTCTTCAACTCCTCCTAGAAAGCTGTGGCCACCCCAACCCAGGATAACTAAGAACAAATGCCAAGTGTTCAGTTAGCATCTAAAAGCCCCATTCAGGTCTAGGTTCCAGATGATAGCTCAGAATGTATAATGTAGAGTCTTTGGTGTGGTTAGTTGAAAAAATAAATAAGAGTATGACAAAACCATAATTGCAGCTACTCCAAGAGGCAGCAGAAAGAGGGTCAGGAGTTGGAGGCCAGCTCAAGCAAAGTTAATGAGACCCTTTCTCAAAGACAAAGTAAAAAGAAAATGTCTGGGCCATGGCTCAAGTGATAGAGCACTTGTTTAGCAAGCACAAGGTCCTGGATTCAATCCCCAGCACTGAAAAAAAAAAAAAGAAAAAAGTAGTGGCACCAGTAATAGTCAAAGGAATGATGATAGAGGGAATTTGAAGTAAAGCAGATATTGGGTGGGAATGGTTCAATCAGGCTGGAACAAGGAATTTGCAAGTGAGAGGCCTGCAGTGTAAAATTGAACAAGACAGCCACTCACAGGGCCCTGCATATGTAGCATGAAGATTCCATGGTTTTGCCTCCTTAAATTTTATGCCTTAGATGTCTTGGTTGTCTCACCTTAATCCCAGTGCTGGGTCCAATCAGAAAGCCTTTTTCTACTTGACTATTAATCAAGGACAAATCAGACAAGTTCCATCCTGAAATAGTCGTATGCTGAAGAAACAGAGCACATCACTTACCTTTGTCTTTTACCATGATTGTAACCTGGACTTTGTTGTGATCCTCCACAAGGTTGTGCAGCTTAACTGATTGCTATCAATAGAAAATCAAAGTTTATATGTCAGATCTCACTATGGTAAATGCCGAGCCTACTGTCACAGCCAAACAACTCTGGGCAAAGGACTCAACTTCTACTTTTGATACTCCAGCTTCCCAGCCCCAGAGGTGAGAGAGTCAGCTGTCTCACTTACCACTTGCAGAAGCAACCCTGCTAATCAGTTTAACACTGTGTCACTCCCAGGAAAAAGAACGCACAGCCACTATCTCAGGAACCTAAGCCAGGACCCAAGGCTTCACTGCACAATTAAAGTGAGGAAGAAACAAGTCAGAGCAGGTTACTGCCCCCTCTATACCTCTGTTTCCCTGTCTGTAAAACAACATCTAATGAAATGTAAGTGGCTTTCCACTTATGATCCTATGACTGCTTAAGCTGTCTTGACTGTGTATGAACAGCCGTCTTCTCTGTTAGGAGCTATGCATTTTCATGCAGGTGAAGTCTGCAGACTACAGTCTTGCTGCTAGGTTTTGAATCCTGGTGCTACCATTTATGAGTGAGTTAGCCTGATTAACTCTCTTTTCTTCATCTGAAAAGAAAGGAAGTAACAGTATCACAATTATAGCCTTGTCGTAAGTTTGAAGTTAATTTTTGTAAAGCCCTTTGTATCAAACTCAATACTATGCTGACAGCTCATGAGTGCTAGCGATTAATTTTTTAAAAAGTGGCTGTTAGAAAAACATTTGTGAGAGACATTAATTAGGAAGACTTGCTGGAGATAGAAGGTATTGTGATATGACTGTGAAAAATGGAAGAAATGGAAAGGATCTGGAAAATAGGAGGCAGCATCTCCTAGGATAACACAGGAGACCAGAAGGCAAAGGTGAGAAGGGATTTGGTCCTTCACGTTCCCATACTGACTTGGGGTGCCATCGACCTCAGAATATGTGACACTAGGTCAGCTGGGGCAAGGCTGAATGGCTGGGAAGTTACTGCCCCTTTATCGTGGTGTCAGTGACTTCGATGCTCTAAGTAGAAAAGGGTTTGAATAGTATCAGCAGTACTCAAATGTAGCTTACCCAAATTCAAACACAATTTTTTTTTTCTTTTAGGTGTTGAATGATTTTTATCTGTTCTTTTGAGGATTTCTACTGTTACAAATGCCATCAGGCTAAGCCAAGCATTACACACAATTATGCAACTTTCCCCTTGAGAGAACATAAGGGACGCAATGTTAATATGTATAAGGAAAATGTATTATTTACTTCAGTTCTGCATGAAAAGCTAAACTTCACTAATTTGGATCAATTGAGTGGAAGAAGTGATATTACTGTTGGATACATATTCATTGTCCTCAGGTGGCTTCCTGTGGCTTGACTTTTGGGGCATTCATTTAAATGATGAGTAACAATGAGAAAGTCAACTATGGTTCTGTGGCAAAAACATTGGAGTCAGTTAGGATTCCTGAGTTGTAGGTCTGGCTTACCCTCTAACCAGCCATGTACAGTACATAAGAAATTTCACCTTGTAAGTTAGTTGCTTTATCTGTGAACAGATAACATTGAATTGGATGGGTTTCACATTACCTCCAAGCTCTAAAATGGCATGATAGTGATCTATTTCACATGTCAGAGATTTATCCAAAAACCTAAAGGCTTCATAGAAGAAATACCCCAGGTATAATAAACGTCTCAAATTACTATTTTGATAATCATTTAAAGTATTAAACAGCCACCATGTGCCAAGCATTGTTGTAGGTACTTAGAATATATTATTTGATTTTTTTAAATCTCATGAATGGTTTTATAATGGAAATTATAAAAAGTCCAGGGTTGGAAAAAATTGAAGTGACTTGCCCACAATTGTGTACTTATTAAATATTGAGATTGACAATCAAACCTGGGTCCATCTGACTCTTAAAGCATTTTCTCCTATCACTTGAAAATGGCTGGTTTTTTTTCCTTTTAAAAGATAAACATCCTTCCTTCTAAATTTCTTCAAGTTATTTTCTTGCTCAGTAACTCTTTCAGTCAATGCTACAATAACTTCAGTATAGCTTAAGAGGATGAGAAGCAGCACATTTGCAAGTGGTGAAGGATGAGTTAATAGTGCTTGACTGTAATTCTCAAACCTCATTATGCTGTAAAGCTGGATTTGTTTATCAGACTTAGCGCTCTGTGTAGCCTGCCATGCTTCCATGCCTTTACTCAGTCTATTCCCTTGAATATTCAGCCCCACTTTCTACTAGCAAATTCTTCCTCACCATTCACATAAAGACTTGCTTGAATGTCATCTCCATCCCTTAACTTCCCTCAGCCCAGGAACAGTGCATTGTTCTGCTCCTGTGTTTGCACCTGTGCTGGTGGACTGATAACATTGCATTACAGTTACCTGTTGTGAGGTCTCTCAGACAGTTCAAAGAGGAAGGGGTCGTGTATTCATCTATGTGTCCCCAGAGTCTATCACATAGTAGGCCCTCTGCAAATATGTATTTAGTAGAACTGAATTATTCTATTTCTCCCAACAACACTGGAGTAGGATAATGTAAGCATCCTCTTTGAGTTAATGTACTCAGAAACTCTACAAGCTCAGGTTTCTATGACAACCAGACAGCCAGGAGAAGGCAAATGCTGTGATGCTGGCCATGATTGCAAAGCTTGTTGCCTGATTTTCATTAGGCCCCCTCTGGTTTCTCTTGTCCCTCTTCAGTGGGATGGGGATCAGTTTCTAAGACTAATCTGCATATTATTATTCGGCAACTGTTGCTGGGTATCCTTATGTTTGGTGTGGCTGGATTTCCTCCAGAAATGAATAAGAAAGACATTAACTCAGGTGTCTCCTGAACCTGGCTCATCATGACTGAAGGCAGAAACCTAGGGACCAGATATTCTCGGTGATCTTTTCATCAGTCCCTTCCCCCAAGTCCATCAATGAAATATGCAAATACAGCTAATTGTAAACACAACTGAGGGTAAGGTTTGCACTCAGACCTGCAGCTGGAATGTTTCCTGGCTTAGGTAAGGTATGTGCTCTCAGTGGGACATGATTTGGAGTTAGAAGCACTATATGCATGAAGATATCTTCTTGGACTTGTGCAATTACCTCCCCATTACAATTTCAAAAGCTTTTGCTGTTTAGCTAAGTTCTTTAATTCAGTTAAATGACGAACTTTAATGTGGCACAATACAGCGATTTAGAGATGACAATAGATTCTTCTTCCTTCATCCCTGCCAACCTCCTTCCCTCAAATCTTACTATCACAACAAAGTCTGAGAGTCACTTTGAGAATAGGCTCATTGCTCAATGGGAGAGCGTGTAGTACTAAATTTGGAGTCAGGAAACCTGGGGCTAAGACTGGATGTGAGCAAGTCACTTTGCTTCCCTGATCACCTTGTTCTTGCCTCTCTGGCAGCAGGAGGATATAACAGTTGTATTTATCTCAGTTTTGAACTTGACCTAGCCCACACGAGCACGTATATTGTGGATGTGGGGTCTATTGCAAAGTACGGAGTACTAAACAAATATTGATGGATGATGGCTTTTGATTTAAACCATGGAAGGATATAGTTTCAGGAAACTGGCTCATTTTGTATGGTGTTACAAGATGCCATACAGGTTGGGTCAGATAAGCTTTTAAAACAAATACCAGCTGCTAATGAGATTAGTATTTGTCTAATTCCTTTTCTTCTTTTTAAAGAAATCCCTTGTTGCCCAGCCATCAAATCTGAAGCACCCATGTTAATGTCACTATTTGTGGCACAGGAATTTAGGGATTCCATTAAGAATGCAGAACCTAATGTTTAACTTTCATTGAGGAGTTTAAAATAAATATTAAGCAAATTATATATGGGAAAAACAGAGATTACCTAACTTTGGAAAAGGAGGTACTTATATGCAAAACAAGAAACCTAGAATCCATAAAGGGAAAGCAAACACACTTGACTCTCAGTCTCTGTCATTCTCTCACTCTCCCTCTCCCTCATCCCCCGCCTCTTTCTCTATATATACATATTCCTCTACATACATATATGTTTGGTGGTACTAGAGTTTGAACTCAGGGTCTCTTACTTGCTAAGCAGATGTTCTACCACTGGAGTCATAACCCCAGACCAAACAAGTACCATAGCATCATGTGATAAGCAAATTGTTTTTATAGGGGGCGGGGGAGGTCTTGGGGCTTGAACTCAGAGCCTTGCACTTGGGAGGCAGGCAGCTGTACATAATTTTTAATGTATGACCAAAAAGAAGATAAACTATAAATAAAATGTTTCTACATATATTGTAGATAAAAAGAGTCCCATTAGTATAAAAGAAAAATGTGAAGCTCAAATAGAAATGTGTCTATTTTCACCCGTAATCAGGAAAGTATACATTAAAACATCTGTTTTGAAAAACTTGTTAGACTGAAAAAATTTAAATATCATATATAATATCCAGTGCTGCTGAGGATCTGGGGAAATGGATAATCTTGTGTGTTACTAATAAAAGGAATTATTTCCTTTGGACAAAATTGTATAGTAGCACCTATTAAAATTTAAACTGTACCTATCCTTTGATCTGGTAGTCTGACTTTTGGCTGCTCTGCTAAAACAATGCAAACACTAATATGCAAGCACCTTCCTACACTGCAATTGTATTTAATTTACCATTATTTGTGTGGCAAAAATTGGGAGGAAATAATCTTATAATTTCCCATAAATAGCAGAATGGTTGAATAGATTATTATATGTTATTGAATATCATGCCATATGATTTTGAATTATTTATTTTGTTTGTGGATTGGCATTGTGTGTGTGTGTGTGTGTGTGTGTGTGTGTGTGTGTGTAAATAAAAGGTCTAGCCAGGTCTACAGGTGGTGTATACCTGTAATCTGAGCACTTGAAAGGCTGAGACAAAGCATTGTGAGTTCAGGGCCAGCTGGACTACATAGCAAGACCCTGTCTCTATCTCAAAAACGGTCCAGTAAGACTTTCTTTTAATTAAAAAAATTAATAAATGTGTGTAATTGTTCATATAAGCTTGTATTACATATGCACCTAATAGAGTAAAAAAATAAGAGTGAAAAACTATTTTCAGCTAATGATGACATTAATAAACAAATATGTGTATTTAGGATCTTGGTGTTTGAACATATCCTTCAGTAGATTTCTCTATAGCAATGGTTCTTAAGCCTTTAGAATGCATAAAGATCACTTGTTATGAAACTATTAAAATGCAGCCTCTTGTTATTACTGTGGATATTTTGATTTAATATAAGAAGTGCAGACATTTTAAGTAATTCTCCTTCTGAAACACTGCCCTATAAAGTCAGGAATCAAAGCTAACTTATTCTACAAACTTTTTCCTCACTTCCACATGGGAATCTCTGTATTTCTTGTGGGTTTTTATGAAGAAAGGTTTATCTGGGGCTCAGTGTTACAGCACTTGTCTAGAATGTGCCAGACCCTGGATTCAACAACTGAATCAAAGAAAAATGTAAATTAAGATGGGAAATGTATAGAACAAACACAATATATAAATTGGGTGGGGTGGAGTATCCATTGAATCTTATGTCTTTATGAATATACATAGTTGAGATGCTCCTCCTCCCCACTCTCCTAAAACTATGGCTGACATCATTAACCCATCACAGCCTTTCCCACCACACTCACATACAGCTCCAGAGTCCTTCTAAACACAAATTCAGTGAAGCCTTCTTTTGATAATCAGGGTTTGCAAAGACATTTAAATCCACCTGGTATTTCTAATGTCCTCCTTCTAAGATCTCACATTTGGTAAACCCTTGCTTATTGCTTTGTTATGACTTAAGACTAACAAAGCAACCCCTTGCTCTCAGTAGAAATTCTATAGGCTTTGCCTCCTCAGCCAGAAGCTAAATAGAATCCAACTATGATTTCAGCTCTTACCTGCTGTAAATCATACACACTTAACACAATGGAGATAAAGGTCAAAATGATGATGGCCACAGAGTATTCTACGTAACCTTGAGATAGCCACAAAGTGAGTGTGAAGGCTTGGAACACATAGAATGGATTTAAAACCTGCAGGTACAAAAATAGCACTTGAGTCATTTGTGTGAAATTTGGAAACAATCAAGATGATGCCATTTCTTTATAGAATGATTTTTTCCATTTTTTTTACAACATCAATAACCTCTGAGGTTTAAAAATTTATTTAGAACCTCCTTAGCTCACATAGGATGTGAGATAGTAGGAACTAAATTACTTTGAGTACTTAAAGACATGCCCACAAATTGATAATTCCTATTTATTTTGAATTTTCAAAAATATTTCATCAGTAACAAAATCCAACAATTTACCTTCTTAAACATATTTGTCCACAATGGAGGAAAAATATGATTCAGTTTCCTTTTTAAATGAACTTCGATTTTAAACACTTTTATTATAGGTTTATTTTTCATGTAATCACATGCTATAGACATAGTCAAGTGAAATGAAAGATTCTGTTTTATCCAGGCCATTTTTAAATGACATTTTCTTTAGGCAACAGGTTGTAGCAAGATCTTCTGCAAGTCTGTGGAATTAGCTTAAGTCTTCCCTTGAAGGAGAAGTGCTTCTGCAGGTCAGTGTCTCACCCAAGGTTGAAAGGACAGCAGGCCATCCAGCCCTAAAGCTAGCCAACCATGCATGCAAGTTTTTAGTCTCTTGGTAATACCTTCAACTTTCTTGTTCATTTTATTAATAAATAGCAGAGAAAAAAGTCTGAGGAGTTACATGAAGGTCTCATGATACACAAACATAGTGAAAATTAAAGAACCCATTGGTACAAACAAACATTCTTTTCTTAAGGAGGTGTCCTTTGTGATTTTATAAATTAGGTGAAATTTTGACTAAAACTAGTCATTTATTTTCTTATCTCTACTTTCTATGATTCCCTAATATATAAAATAAAATTCTACTTTAGTCATAAAAATGAACTAACATCTGGTTAATAAGTTAATGGGCTGGATCTTAAGGGGTTTTTAAATCCTTGGGTATATTTTGTGCATCAAAAAAGCTTTTGTTTCTTAATGTTTCTTATTATTTCCATTTCAACTGCTTTACTTACAAATTACAGCTCTTGAGTTCACTTGGCATAAAATGTTCTAATTGTAGGTTTTGCACTAATGATAACATGATTTTAAGCTTATAGGAAACCAGTAGAAAATTGGTTAAATACTTCTTATAAAAGAAGTAGCACCATCAAAATTAATTTACCCCCTTATTCAATATCTTTTTGAAACTAAATGTGTTGTCATTTTGCTTCTTTTTTTCTTATCAAAGACCTCGTAAATAGGTCCCAGAAATACTAGCACTCCTTTCAAAATAGATAAAATTGATATCTGAATCTTCAGCAATTTGAAAATATACTTGAATAAGAAGTTTATAAAGTAGCCTGGTTTTTGAAACTTGGGGAGACCATGCTTATTTGGGGGTAGAAATAGATATGTGGGAACTCTCTGTATCTTCTGCTATATTTTGCACACAAGGAAAATTTTGTTTAAAAAAACTACTAACCAAAGAAGTCACTCTCAAGAAAATGAAAACAATAGAACAATTTGAAAAAGACCAAAATAATATAGTTCAAATTCGTGGAAATCATAGAAATGAATGACATTGCACCATAGTGTAGACTAAATGTTTGTGCTCCTCCCAAAAGAATTAGTATGCTGAAGCTCTAATCCCCAATGTGATGGCATTTGGAAGTGGGCCTGTGGGAGGTGATTCTATATGGAGTCATGAATTTAGGACCCCATGACAAAAACAGCAAGAAATCGAGTCCTCACTTTTTCCACCATGTGAGGACACAGTGGGAGGATGGTGGTTCACAAGCCAGGAAGAGACCTCACCAGAAAATGAATATTCAGGCTTCTTGATCATGGACTTTTCACACTCAAAAGCTGTGAAAAATAGATGTCTGCTGACTAAACCACCAGTCTATGCTATTTTGTTGTAGCCTGAGATGACCAAGACACCTTGTCACACCACCTAAAACTTCAGAAAACAAAAAATGAACAGGATATTACAAAACAGAAATCTGTCTCTCAAACTGGGAAGAGAGTTAAAAATGGATTTGAACTTAAGTGGTTATTGAAAAGGACAACTTAGAAATCCTGAAATAAAATATTTATGATTATTGAAATTAATTAAAGCAAAAAGGAAACCTCAAAAAGGAGCAATAACAAAAAGAAGCTGCATGAAACTCAGATATCATTCACATTGAGAAATTCATTCCTCTAAGTCCTAAGAAATAAAAAGTTAGGGGAAGAAATTTTTTCCAAAAGGAAAAGAAAATAACTGGTTACCTGTTTGACAAGCAGCTTCCATATGGGCTGGATTTCAACCTCAATGGCATTGGGTCCACACACTAGTCTTCTGCAGGAGATTATCATCCATTAGTGTCACACCTCTAAGCTCAGTGATAAGTGAATACAGCCATTTTTCTGCCCTTTACTGCCCTTTAGAGATTTTGTGGCTTCAATTAAATAATAATGTACAAGTAAGTGCTTTTGAGACATAAACCTAAATTGCTAATATATCTTTAGGATAAAAGTCAATGAATTATAAACTAAGTTTTTTTTTTCCTGGTTTAAAATGTCTTTATACAGCTCAATGAATCAAAATGAAGTTAGAAAGGCATTTTGAGTTTTTTTTTTTTTATTTGATTATGTTCTAAGAGCAGCTAAAAAGGCACAGCTATAAAGATGTACCTAGACTTATCAAGTATTCAGATTATCAGATTATCCTTGATGTTAAAAGATCATGCCTGTCTTACCTTGGAATTTCCAACACCTAGGATATGCCCTTAGTATGTGAACTGGATGAATATATGAATAAAGGAGTAAATTCACTGAAAGATGTACAGGAGTAATACATGTATATTGTATCCAAGAGCCCAAAATAAAGCTCTTGGATTTGTGTATTATTTTACAATTTACAAAGCTCTTAAAAAGAGTTATTTTTGTTCCTCACAATACTCCAAAGAAAAGGGTTAATATCATCATTTTGCCAATGGGAAAAACAGTTTGGTTTAGTGAAAGGTGCCCACATCTGATATTAATCATGGCAAAATAACGTCTTAAATGGAGATGAGAGTGTCAGAAACTGCACTTAACCTTTTATGTGCATTTAGGTGCATTAACTCCTTTAATTATCTCAATTTCCCTTAAGATTTCAACTGTGATAGTGGAAGAACTTATATAAATGTCACAATGTACCCCAAGCACAATAATAGTAAAAAAAAAAAATGGGGAAAAAATAAAATTTGGGAGGTTAAGAAAAAGATTTCATATTACACCTATTATAAGGAAAACTGACGTTTAGATAAATTAGGTAACTGTTTCAAGTTCTCAGAGCCACAAAGTAGCAGATTCTGGCTTTCTACCCTGGCCTCTATGGCTCTACTTCTCAACTCTGCCTTATGAAGTGCCAATGAGAAAATCTGCCTGAGGAATCTTTGGTTTCACAAAGGTATAACAGAACTGAACCCAAGTTCATCTGACTTCTAAACCATGCTTTTCCGACTGCAATTTTTGATTACAAGAGACAGACAGGAGTCACACCAGGGTCTTCTGACTCTTTGCGGTGGAAACACTAAAGTTCAGAGTGTTAAGAAATAGAGATGGTTAATAGTCATATGACTTCATGAAGTCCCAAATCTCACAATGAGAAGAGGCCATAACTCAATCCACTTTGGTGTTCAGGATTCTTCTCCAGAATTCATGGCAATAATCAGTTATTGGCCAGTTGTCAGAACTTCTCAGGATCCCAAACTTGGTCACCCTCCCCCACTGCTTGGAATGCCCTTCCTACATTCTTCACCTTATAAATGCCTGCCTACTCACCCACTGAGAGCCAAATCTGACAACTGAGCCTAGTGGTTGAGAAATGTGAGTTGAAATAGACCTAGGTTTGCATCCAGCTGAGGATCTGCACTCGCTCTTTTTTCAACTTAGAACCATTTTCTTCCACATTGTTGCATGGCTTGCTCCCTTGCTCCACTAAGTCTCTGTTCAAATAGCACCTCTATTTGGGCCTTCCACAATTCTATTTGAAACAGCTACAATGGGGGTGGGCATATAGCTCAGTGGTAAAATGCTTGCGTAGCATGTACAAGACCCTGGGTTCAATCCCCAGTACTGGGGGGTCAGGGTGGGAGAGGGGAGGAAATAAGTGACCCTAACTCCTACCTCAGAGTTTCTTTATCTCATTAACATACCTTATTTTTCTGTGTAGTGTGTATGACCACCTGAAATTACACCTTACTTTTTAAGTACATAAACAATAGACTATACCCTCCATTATAATATAACATTCCAGAGGACAATAATAGTTCCCAAAAGCCTAGAATAAGGCTTAAAACATAGAATACACTCAAGAATTATCTGTTGAATGAATGAATGAGGGATGAGTCTTTGTTCCTCCATCTTTAAAATGGGTTTGATAAAATATGCCTAATAAAATTGTTATCAGTGTCACAGTGCAATAAATATGTAAAGCATTTAACACAGCACAGGAAAGTTCAATAGATGGCAGCTGTACTTGAAGTTTAACTCCCTCTGGCACAATTAACTGTGTTTTCTCTCCTTTAATACCACTTTCTTTTTTAGTAACAACACTTACCTCATTGAATTAGAACATTTATAAGGTTTTTCTCTCTCTCACTCTCTCTTCAAATTTCCTAGACTGTCATTAAAGACAGGAATGGAACTTTCTTAGATGATTTTCTAGCATCTATGGGCACAGTATCTATCACAGATTGTGTTCCTAAAACATTGCAATTAATTAACAAAAACCATTGTGACCCATATCTGGAATGCTTTCCCCTGACAAGGCTCAAAAACTAGATGCACAACTAAGATCACATAGTCTATGGAAAGTCAATTTAGAAGGCAAACTGAGTGTCCTTCTGCTCATCCTATTGCAAGATGATTTCTTATATTACCATTAAGAGAGGAGCTGAGGTCCAATGAGGACTGATCAATACTCAGCTGTAGGTAATCCTCGTTAAGCCTCTGATTAAGCCCATGATTAAACCATAGCCTGACCTGCCCTCACTTGTCTTTTCTACTGTCACTTGTCAAAAAATTTTTGACATGTGTTTAGGGAACACGTCACCATCTCAATCTCAGCCAAAACCAAGAAGAATTTTCAGGGACCCTGATGAACGGTTGAGCAACCAGAAGGTATATGAGGCTTGAAGCTGAGTCACATGAAGAAGTTTCAAGATTATATTCCCTAACTAAAATTCTGATGAGCTGGCAGGAAAACAATGCCCTAGAATTGCAACTTCGCTGATCAATATAGACCAAGGACAATTCAGTAGATTTGTCTAACATTCATGAAGAGTTATTCGTTAAGAGAATATTTGCTGTGGTGGTAGATGGTCCCTTCTCAGGGAAAGTTGAAATATTTTACAGCAGGGAATTTAAGGAGAGAATTTCTATACTAACTATGGAATGCACCTGAAGGTTTGCTGGGACTTCCTCCAACTCTGAGATAGAATGTATTAATTCTGAAACACCAAATGTAAATGACTAGGAGTACTTTTGGTGGGGAATGGTCCATATCTCTTTCCAATTTGCTCATTTTTTTCCTTTGTTCATTTATTTATCAATTTATTCACTAAATAATTGTTGGAGATATGTTGTGTGGAGTATTTGCACACTATATGGGTGGTAGATTAGAGCGGGAGTCATCAGAAAGAAGGAGCATGTTAGAATTACTGGTGAGTTTTTTCAAACTACACATGACCACCCTGCTTTTTAAACACTGTTTCCATTGTGATAAGCCTTCAAAATCATCTCTAGCAGGAAAGGATACCTATAGTTTTCCAGTCAATGCTAAGCCAGAGATTAGGGAATAACACAGTTCCAAAAACTTTGGGAGTTTTGGGAAGCAAAGTAGTTTGGCAAAGTTCCCAGCTAATTGTGCTAGCCAGTCCCTTATTCCTTGAACACTCCTTCATAAAGGGAGGGAGACCTAAGATGTTCATAGATGCACAGTATAAGGCGTTCAACTTCCAGGATTTGGATGTAGTTGTATAGTATAACAAATGGGTTGTTAGAGTTCTTTCATTAAATTAAAAAAAACAACAACCATGTTTGGCATGCATTGAGAAATTCTTTCTCAGGGAAGGGTGGGGGGGAGCAGAAATCTCTATTTTAGCAGTGTTTGGACCTGTTTGTGTACACATTGATAAAACATGCTCCATTTTCCAAATGACATAATAGTCATTTAGTTTTTCAAACCATTCCTCATCTGAGACCTGTCCATTTCTTTCACTTCCTAAAGCATGTGTTTTCAGATAGCCTCAGGAAAAGCTGGATTTTTACAGGATTTCAGGCCCTCTTGAGCAAAGTGAGGTTCTTTTGAGGGAGTACCCTGAACATTTCCAGGCATGAAGATCCAGAGGGAAAGTACCAGAAGGGCACAGGAGCTGAGGAGGGAGTACAGAGAAATTCAGACAGTATCTCCCAAGGGATTAAGAATTTAGGTTTACTGGTGCCCCCACATGACTTTGCTCTGAAACTAGCGTTGGAGTGAAATGATTTTATATTTCAAAATGGACCCAGACCCAGAGAACCACAGATCTGAAGAATTCCACTTTATTTAAAAGATAATGTTGATCTCAGCTCATTAAATGTCTTAGGTGTTATATTTAAATATATAATATTAAAATAATATTAACTTCTGAGTGAATATTAAGAGTTGAGACTATGTTATTGGCTTCCAGAAGAATGAATGAAGCCTCCTTTCCTTCTGGAACTAGCTTTTCTTTGTTTCTTTCTGAGGAGCTCATCTGGATTGAGTATCTATGACTGGGCTGTTTTCTAGGAATGTAACTTTCAAAGGCCGTAACATCGTGACCTTTGATACATGATTTCTCTTCTGAATTTCATTCCCTTCAAGACCTAAGGAAAAAGAGAATAGAGTATCACAGTGGTTATGACCTCTCTCTCCCTTTTGCTCTCTTTTTCTCTCTTCTAATGCCCTGTCTTCTTGCAAAACAGCTTCTGCCAACTTGTAGTCCCTTACTGTCAAACTTACCCTTTTTTGCTGCCTGTCACTTGGATTTCTTTTCTCAGGCACTCACAAGCCTGACTTTTCCCTCAGTAGTATAGCAAAGGTTGAGAATTGACTTTGGCCCTGCAGATTCACTGAGCTTACCATGTCTCTTCCTGACTTCTTATTCAGCGATACCACATTTGTGGCATGAATCAGTCATGGCTGGAGCATGTCCAGTATAGAACTGGCAAACACTGCCCATCAAAGCTTTTGTGTCTTTTAGAGAGCAAGTCACCAGTAACGGGATTGCTCTGTAGTTAACCTCAGGTAGGGAGGTTGTCCTGTCTGCTGCCAGAAATTTGCACTATTTTCAGGAGCCTAAACAAAGGGAGAGGAACAGAGTGGGATGAGTGATAAGGAAAATGACATTCAACTTTAACCTGTCCTAAAATCACCTCAAGTGTCTATAAACCTGTCTGGGACAGGTACTAAGATGCAAAGTTGAGTTCAGTTCATGATGGGTGAAGATTGGAATAAGGAACCTATGGGGACAATTTATTTCCTCCCTTCCTGATGCCTTCTGGCAATTTCTCTTCAGGATAAAATCAACTCTCCCAATGTCCTGATGTGCTTTTGCTACTGAAATGTGAGAACTATATAGATCTGTGCATTTTTTCTCTTTGCTTGACTACTAGGAGACCCACAGAGACATTTGCATTTAGATTCTGTAGCTTTTTATTATCTAAGATTCTTGCAGGTTCCCCTTCCTTCATTCCTCAAGTTGTGTTTTTGTTTCTTAATGCAAGCAAGCTCAAATCCATTTAGGAAATGGGCAAACTATCCAGCCAATCAATCACATTTAATTTTCTTCAAAAAGGTTTCAATCTAACCCTAAGAAATGAAAGGAAAAATATTCTACATCCTACTTTCTGTCTTTTTGCCCTCCATTTAGACATGCCTATAAAATAAAATATGCTTGTGTTTTATAAGATTATTGTCTCCTCCATTTTTCATATTTGGGATACTATACTCTGTCTTGCTTATTAGATTGTCATATTTTTTATTGTGTGGACCAGAGTTAAATTTAATTATGTATGATGTTTATTAAAGCTTGGCACTTGATAAATAAGGACAAATATGAGCTAGCTACACTAATGGGAAATCTTTCCTGTGGAAATTATTTCCTGGGCAGAATATATCTACATCTATCAATGAGATGTCTTAAATGTCTTAGATTAATTCTTTAAACATCTAGTTCTTAATGCTATTAGCCAATTTTTTTCCTCTTTTTTTATTGCTGTGCCAGATGGGGGTACATTGTGGCAGTTACAAAAGTTCTTACAATATATCAAATATATCATACTTGAATTCACCTCCTGCACCATTCATCTTTACCAATATGTTTCTGATGACTTTGAAAACTTTTTTGTATTTCAATATATTAAGCATTCATCTGAATATATAATATATATGACATATAATGATACCACTTCTAAGGCATTTTGCAGTCTTGTCCTTTTTAGATGCCTGGTTCATTTATCATAATAGTCTGGCAGAGAAAAACCTTAAAAACAATAAATCAATAATTCTTAGACTTGATTTGTGTAAGAATTATGGGGGACGTATTTGCTAAAAATGCAGGGTTACTTCTTTCACAAGTACCCCCTTTACTCCTACAGAATTATCAGATTTTAGAAGTAGAGCCCCAAACCAATATTTTAAGTACTAAGTTGCTTGTTAGCTTGGAAATTGGTGTTTCTGACTGACTGCAAAGAAGACTAGGCAAGTAATGTCTTTAAAAATGGATGAGAAGTGAAGGGATTACTAAGATTCTGGGGAAGACTAGCAATGTTTCCTTTCAGGCTCACCAAATTGGCCACTTCAAGTACTAGTTGAAGGGAGCAGGAATTCCTTCACTGTAACTTAATATGTGTATGAGTGTTTCCCAATCTATGTGCTTCTACAAGCACCAGTCTCATGACTGTCACTATTTTTTGTCTTTCTTATTTGTTAGTGAATGTCTCTAAGACAATGACTAGGTCTTTCTGTTTAGATCCCTGGTTTCTTACAAAGGCCTGGTGTATTAGAAACATGTTGTTAACAAATCAATGCATGCGTTCATTTATTGACTTCTTCTACAGACATCTGTTGAGCTCCTATCATGAATGGGGGACTGCTCTGGGTGCTGCACACAGCAGTGAACAACACCACAAACTGAACAGACAAAATCCTCACCCCGGGGCTGTAAAATGAAATACTGCCTTTCTGGCTCTCTGAAGATTTGGAGGATTAAGAAGCTGATATTTATGGAATGACTCAAGACTTTTGGAGGAAAGGATAAAAAGGAAAACACAAAAAAGATTACAAACCTGAGAGAAAAGATCAAACTTGATTTGATTGCCTTGCTCTTTTAGTCTTTTCTTTTTAATAAGTTTGCTTAAGAGAAGAATTTAGAATATCTGTCTTATGCCAACAAATTATATGAAGCTGATGAAGCATGAAAACAGTGCACTGAACACAGCCCATTTGATATTTCATTTTCCTGCCAATACATTGGCTCAAGGAGTATTATAAATCCTACCTGATTTCTTGCTCTTCACTGCTCAGACCCAATCCAAACGTGTGGTGGATGTCATAACAGGAGTTACTGTCTTCTAACAACCTACGATGTGATGAGGCAGGAACCACACTTCAGTTCATGGCACTCAATAAACCAGTGTTGTTCCCCTACATCCTGATGTCTTAGTGAGGAAAAAGTTGTGCTTACCCAACTTTCCGAAACCGCTTCTCCAAGTAATCCCAAACATATCTGATTTTTTGTACTTGGATGCATCGCAACTGCAATTACAAATGTGGTGGAACAGGTGTCATTCACAAGGTAAAGCCCACCAAAGGTAGTGAGCCCTAGGGGGCTCACTTTCTTTTATACATAGCTGTCATGCCCAGTCTGACAGTGCTATATGCAGAACATTGATCAATAAATATTTTTATTCTTTCTCTGCAAACATGACATAGCATTGCACTCTTTAAATCACTTACTTTTAATTCAGGCTTTGTTACAGCTTGGTTTATGACAGAGTGGCTGTCCGCCACCAAAGGCTCTTCTGGGTTCTTGCTTATGGGAAATTTCAGTGTGGATAAGGGTAGACAGAGCACCTTCTTCCTCATGTATCTTTGAAATTCATCCTAGAAAGGACAATCCAGTCCATGAAATTCTCAAATATGTTATTCAATAAAGTGTTCAATTAACCAAATACCTACCATATGCTAAGCCAGTGGTTCCCAAAGTTTGAGACAAAACATTTTTCCAAACATGACCATTAGCATTATCTCAGAACTCACTAGAAATGTAACTTTCAGCCCACCCCAGACCTACTGATTCAGAAACTCTGAATGGTCTGTGTTTCAATGAGCCCTCCGGAGGATTCTGGGTTGTACAAAGTTTGAGAATCACTGGACTAGGGGATAAAGAGAAAAATACTTTGCAGAAAAACTTCATGTCGAAGAAATTATTTCTACCTGTTTTTAAATGACATCTAGATGTTTAAAATGTCTAATATGCCCCCAAAAGAAGTATTTTTGAAAAAGTGAGTGATCATTCTCACATTATGGCCTCTGAGTTGTAACATTGATAGCCATTGTTCACGGAAAGGCTGGTAACACCCCCCCTTAGCCTGACATGCTAGAAATGAAGTGAAGGAAGTGTCTGTCCATTGTTAGGCCCAAAAAGAGCACACAAATTGTAGAGATAGTTTGGTCTCCTTTTATTCTGGTCTAGGGACACTCTTAACAAAGAGGAAGTTCTATACTCTAGAATGCTGGCTAGCCACTGGTTAGACCATAGATTCAGTATTAAAGATAATATGGCTTTTCTTTTCTTCAATTGTTTCTATTTTTAATTGATATGTAGTGATTTTACATATTTATGAGGAACAGTGTGACATTTCAACACATATAGCTGATGTGTAATAATCATATCAGAGTAATTAGGCTAACCTCATATATCTATCAGTTCTTCATATTGGGAACATTCAGAATCCTCTCTACTAGCTATTTTGAAATAGAAATAGTTGAACTGTGTCAACTACGTTATCCGACCGTGCTGTAAAACATTAGAACTTATTTCACCTATTCAACTGCACCTTTGTAACATTAGCAATCTTCCCTCCATCCTTCCCTCCCCACACCCTTCCCAGGTGCTGGTAACCTCTATTCTACCTTCCATTCTGCAAGATCAACTTGCACATATAAGTGAGAACAGGCAGAGTTTGTCTTTCTATGATGATTGTGGTATTGAAAATAGGAAACAGAAGGGCACGCACTGTTGTCCTCAGCAAAATAGTGTCTGCTTCTTGCAAAGGGCATGGGGTGCAGTTGGCCCACACCCTCCACTCAGGCTTCCAATAGAGCACCAGCTGAAGAACCCCTCCAGTCAGCACGGATGTGACAAGGCACAGGACTCTCCGTAGATTCTGGGTATGGTAACCAAACAGCTCCTGGAGAGTAAATAAAATAGCACTCTATTTTTTAATTTTCATATAAATATATGATTTTGTTTCAAAAGACACAAACTTTAGAAACAGGGATGTCTAAAGAGACAGAAATCCTGCATCAACTGGTTGAATCAGGTTGACTGCAGCTGTCAGCTGATATAGTTAAAAAAATGACTGCTTTTACTACCCTGACATAAGAAACTAAACCATTAGACAGGAGGAATGAGGAAATGGCAGATTTATTTGCTTCTATGTATTTATTTTTATAAAATACCTCATTTTGAACCAGATATGTTGTCTTTATGTATGTACTCTTTTTTATGGCTGAATGAAACTCCATTGTGTATATGTACTACATTTTCCTTTTTTTGTGTGGTACTGGGATTTGAACTCAAGGCTCAGCCCTTTTTGTGATTTTTTTTTTTTTGAGTTAAGGTCCTGTAAACTATTTACCCAGACTGGTTTTGAACTGTGATCCTCTTGATCTCTGCCTCCTGAGCAGCTAGGATTATAGGCATGAGCCACTGGCACCCAGCTTATCACATTTTCTTAACTTATTCATCAGTCATGGGGTACCTGGCTGCTTCTAAAGCTTGACTATTGTAAATAGTATGTACTGTTTTCTAAAGCAATATGCTCTCTTCCATTCTCAATATTACCATTGTTATTATTACAAGCTAGAAAATACTTAATTACACACAGTACAGGGACAGTAACAACACCAAGGACAATGACAGGAAGACAGAAAAAACAAGGAAACCAGTTTCCCCACAGCAAAAAATTAGTACAGGAACCAGAGGGGAATGAAGAGAACAGAAACTCAGAGCCAGACTCCAACAAAATGAAGATAAACTATGCCAAAAGACCCAATGAAGCCTACAAGAATAATTTAAAAGAAGACATACTACAAGTACTCAATGAGAATTTTATAGAGATGATACTGGATAGGGTCAACCAAAATGTACAGGAGACACTCAAGAAATTCCAAGACAATAAAAATAGAGAATTTGAAAAAGCAAAAGAAGAAATAAAGGAAACCATAGAAGCACTGTATAAACACCAAAATGAAAGAGAGAACACAATGAATAAATGGATAAATGAACTCAGGACAAAAATAGACAACAATAAAGAAGAAAACAGCCAGGATATGGAAAACCTCAGAAAAAAGAACAAACAGAACTGCAAAACAAAACGGAAGGCCAATCCAGCAGAATAGAACAAACAGAAGACAGAATCTCAGAACTTGAAGATGAAATGGTAATTAAAGGAAAAACTGAAGAACTATTAATTAAACAACTCAAGACCTGTGAAAAGAAAATGCAAGAACTCACCGACTCCATCAAAAGACCAAACTTGAGAATCATGGGCATCGAAGAAGGAGAAGAGGTGCAAGCGAAGGGAATGCGTAATATATTCAACAAAATAATAACGGAAAATTTCCCAAATCTAGAGAAAGATATTCCCATACAATGCAAGAGGCCTCCAGGACACCAAACAGACCAGATCAAAATAGAACTACTCCACGACATATCATCATTAAAACAACAAGTTCAGAAACTAAGGAAAGAATATTGAAGGCTGTAAGAGAGAAAAAACAAGTAACATACAAAGGTAAACCCATCAAAATCACAGCAGACTTCTCAACAGAAACATTAAAAGCAAGAAGAGCGTGGGGTGAGATCTTCCGGGCACTGAATGAAAATAACTTCAACCCCAGGATACTCTACCCAGCAAAGCTATCATTCAAAATAGATGGAGCAATAAAAGTCTTCCATGATAAGCAGAAACTAAAACAATATGTGACCACAAAGCCACCATTACAAAAGATTCTGCAAGGGATCTGCACACAGAAAGTGACACCCAACTTAACCATGAAAAGGCAGGCAGCACCAAACCACAGGATAAGAAAAAGCAAGACAGTAGAGAGTAACATCAAGTTAGGTACACACAATCAAACCTTCAAACAACTAAGACAACTAAATGGCAGGAATCACCACATACCTATCAGTACTAACACTTAATGTTAATGGACTTAATTCACCCATCAAAAGACACCGTTTGACAAAATGGATTAAAAAAGAAGATCCAACAATTTGTTGCTTACAGGAGACTCATCTCACCGACAGAAATAAGCATATGCTTAGGATGAAAGGCTGGAAGAAGATTTACCAAGCCAATGGCCCCCGAAAACAGCAGGAGTAGCAATACTTATCTCTGACAAAGTAGACTTCAAACCTACATTGATCAAACGAGATAAAGAAGGACATTCCATACTAATAAAAGGGGAAATAGACCAAAAGGAAATAATAATCATCAATCTGTACGCACCCAATGTCAACGCACCCAATTTCATCAAACATACCCTGAAAGACCTAAAAGCATATATAAACGCCAACACAGTGGTTGTGGGAGACTTTAACACTCCATTATCATCAATAGATAGGTCATCCAAACAAAAACTCAATAAAGAAATCCAAGATCTAAAATATGCAATAGATCAAGTGGACCTAGTAGATGTCTACAGAACATTTCATCCAACCTCTACACAATATACATTCTTCTCAGCAGCCCATGGAACCTTCTCCAAAATAGATCATATCCTAGGGCACAAAGCAAGCCTCAGCAAATATAAGAAAATAGAAATAATACCATGCATACTATCTGACCACAATGCAGTAAAAGTAGAACTCAACAACAAAAGTAAAGACAAAAAACATGCAAACAGCTGGAAACTAAATAACTCATTACTTAATGAAGAATGGATCATCGATGCAATAAAAGAGGAAATTAAAAAGTTCCTGGAAGTCAATGAAAATGAAAACACAACCTACCGGAACCTATGGGACACAGCTAAGGCAGTCTTGAGAGGAAAGTTTATAGCCATGAGTGCATATATTAAAAAGATTGAAAGATCCCAAATCAATGACCTAATGATACATCTCAAACTCCTAGAAAAACAAGAACAAGCAAATCCCAAAACAAATAGAAGGAGAGAAATAATAAAAATAAGAGCTGAAATCAACGAAATAGAAACCAAAAAAACCATACAAAGAATTAATGAAACAAAAAGTTGGTTCTTTGAAAAAATAAACAAGATCGATAGACCCCTGGCAAACCTGACTAAAATGAGGAGAGAAAAAACCCAAATTAGTAGAATCAGGAATGCAAAAGGGGAGATAACAACAAACACCATGGAAGTCCAGGAAATCATCAGAGACTACTTTGAGAACCTATATTCAAATAAATTTGAAAATCTAAAAGAAATGGACAGATTTCTAGATACATATGATCATCCAAAACTGAACCAAGAGGAAATTAATCACCTGAATAGACCTATAACACAAAATGAAATTGAAGCAGCAATCAAGAGTCTCCCCAAAAAGAAAAGTCCAGGACCTGATGGATTCTCTGCTGAATTCTATCAGACCTTTAAAGAAGAACTGATACCAACCCTCCTTAAACTGTTCCATGAAATAGAAAGGGAAGGAAAACTGCCAAACACATTTTATGAAGCCAGTATTACACTTATCCCAAAACCAGGCAAAGACACCTCCAAAAAGGAGAACTATAGGCCAATCTCCTTAATGAACATTGATGCAAAAATCCTCAACAAAATAATGGCAAACGAATTCAGCAACACATCAAAAAGATTATTCACCACGACCAAGTAGGCTTCATCCCAGGGATGCAGGGGTGGTTCAACATACGAAAATCAATAAACGTAATAAACCACATTAACAGAAGCAAAGACAAAAACCACTTGATCATCTCAATAGATGCAGAAAAAGCCTTTGATAAGATCCAACATCATTTCATGATAAAAGCTCTAAGAAAACTAGGAATAGAAGGAAAGTTCCTCAACATTATAAAAGCTATATATGACAAACCTACAGCCAGCATTATACTTAACGGAGAAAAATTAAAACCATTCCCTCTAAAATCAGGAACCAGACAAGGATGCCCACTATCTCCACTCCTATTCAACATAGTACTGGAATTCCTAGCCAGAGCAATTAGGCAAGAAGAAGGAATAAAAGGAATACAAATAGGTAAAGAAACTGTCAAAATATCCCTATTTGCAGACGACATGATCCTATACCTTAAAGACCCAAAAAACTCTACTCAGAAGCTTCTAGACATCATCAATAGCTATAGCAAGGTAGCAGGATATAAAATCAACATAGAAAAATCATTAGCATTTCTATACACTAACAATGAGCAAATGGAAAAAGAATGTATGAAAACAATTCCATTTACAATAGCCTCAAAAAAATCAAATACCTAGGTGTAAACCTAACAAAAGATGTGAAAGACCTCTACAAGGAAAACTATACACTTCTGAAGAAAGAGATTGAGGAAGACTATAGAAAGTGGAGAGATCTCCCATGCTCATGGATTGGTAGAATCAACATAGTAAAAATGTCGATACTCCCAAAAGTAATCTACATGTTTAATGCAATTCCCATCAAAATTCCAATGACATTCATTAAAGAGATTGAAAAATCTACTGTTAAATTTATATGGAAACACAAGAGGCCACGAATAGCCAAGGCAATACTCAGTCAAAAGAACAATGCAGGAGGTATCACAATACCTGACTTCAAACTATATTACAAAGCAATAACAATAAAAACAGCATGGTACTGGCACAAAAACAGACATGAAGACCAGTGGAACAGAATAGAGGATCCAGATATGAAGCCACACAACTATAAGCAACTTATCTTTGACAAAGGAGCTAAAAATATACGATGGAGAAATAGCAGCCTCTTCAACAAAAACTGCTGGGAAAACTGGTTAGCAGTCTGCAAAAAACTGAAACTAGATCCATGTATATCACCCTATACCAAGATTAACTCAAAATGGATCAAGGATCTTAATATCAGACCCCAAACTCTTAAGTTGATACAAGAAAGAGTAGGAAATACTCTGGAGTTAGTAGGTATAGGTAAGAACTTTCTCAATGAAACCCCAGCAGCACAGCAACTAAGAGATAGCATAGA